AAAGCTGCCACAGGTGGAGAGGTATTTTATATTTCCAATACGTTAATTACCCGTGGAACTGCCCTCGGTAAATTACCACTTGCGCTAATACGCAATGAGTTCACAGGACCACCGTGGGACATTTGCATTGTATAAGCTACGGAGTACTTAGGTACTTGTCTATTGTTCCTTTTGGTATTGTATATTCCCCAGGCAGTTACGATATCGCCAAAATTCACCTGGTTCAGATCGCATGGATAATATATCATATTAACATTAATATACTTAAACGCTATTTACGCAACGCCATCCAATCCACAAGAAGACTGTAATTCAGAAAGACTTTAAACATAATATCAGGCACTCCTTCACATCCTTCACATCCTTCCAACCCAAAATACTCCATTCGCCCGCTCACCATTGGACGCCTTCTCTTCTCCTTGCTGATCTTCTTCACGACTCGTACCAGCTTTCTCCGTAAGCGGGCAAAGCTTCGGGTTCCGCGAGCTGGTTCAATTCCCGGCGCGGAGTTTCCTAGCTGAAAAATAGTGGATAGATATGAAGTACTCCATACAGACCACGGAGCATAAAGTATTCCACTCCGTGCAACAAAGAGTTCAATATATTCGTGTACTTGCGTACATCGTAGGTTCCACAATATGGCGATATCATCCTGATCCCGAGATCCTGCTATAGCCACCATTATCCGACAAGCTAAGAAGCTGTGCGATTCTGCCCGTGGGGGTTATCTATACGCACTACAGACACGTGGGATTTTGTGACGAGCTAAAAAGAGACTTTGCTTATTTCTCGGCTCTGAGGATCTTTTTCTGTTTTGTGTCTACCGTTGCTCCTAGCTCGAGTCTTGATTGTCTTTCTAGAAAATGGTGTACGGAGTATGGGACTCGGATATATGGCATTATGCACAGTAAGGATTCCTATGCTAGATGGACTCAGGACACAGTAACAATGAGATAGGAGCTGACAATCACAATTTTTCATTTATCCATGATTGCACTATGTATTATGTTTTCTGCAGACCACTCTTCAGCCGAAGAACACGATCTGCCTGAGTGAATTCTGGTCTGTGCAGTACACTGGTACATACCAGGTCTCCAGACCTTAACTTAAACCGGCCCACTAACCGCTTAACTGCCGGTTAAACACATGTCGTCTGATGGTTTTATAGGGCGTAAATGCAAAGTGCAGAATCGGTGGGGAACAAAACCATTGTCAGACTCAGAACATCTCGTATACGATATATACCGTCTTTTCTTTTTTTTTTTTTTTCTTTTTCTTTTTTTCCTTGTCTTACTCAGGTTCGTACATTGTACTCCGCATATCTGTATGTTATATGTATTTCAACGGGCTCACATATAGAGACTGCAAATACACACTGCATCCTGCAGGATATCATAGTTAGTGGATTCCGATCAGCCCTGACGGCCTGATCTGGTACGGAATCAGTCACATGGCTAAGGGAAACACTATGTCGCCATACCAACGTGCCCCCAAAAAGAGATTACCACTGCAAGGCTGAAGGGGAGTGGTTGGATTGGACGCAAGTGGGCTGAGGAATGAAGGGGGTGGCCGAATGAGCGTACATTTGGAATGACCATGGTGAAAGGATGTGACATGGAAGATCCTGCAAAGCCGCCCCCAAAAAAGAAAGCAAAAAATAACAATAATCTTCAGAACCAACAGTTAGAACGAGCTATCATTCGTCAGGACGAAATCATCAATCCCATTATCCCTCGGCCCACGGCCCTGAGCGACCGTGGCGATCATAAGATGATGCGTTTGGATAGTCCTTGCGCTTTTTTTTTCCCGACTTCCCTGTTCGATCGCACATCCCTTATAACTATCGGTGAAGGCTGCTCTCAGGTCGACGACATATGTCCACACACGTGCGTATTACCTCCTGCATCGTTCCCAGCCACGCCAATCAGCCCCCGGGCATTGACGACGGGGCGAAGCACTAATGCTGCCATCATCACACCGAAGCCAGAGACCCGGGTCGTTAGTCTCGGGATCGGGCCTTCTGGCGTGGGCTATTTCTGCATCCTGGTGTTTCAGCTGATAAATTGCAACGTCCAGTCGCGATCCCGTTGGACTGTTGGATGTCCTTTCGGGATCGCGAGTGGCGAGCAGATTGCAAAGGGGGGGGGATGCTCTTGTGGGTAGTATTTCGGGCTTTGGTGTTGTATTTTGCTTATTTTGCTTATTTTTTCTGTCTTTTTCTTTTTCATTCTGGACTGTTGGCCTTCAGAGTATCCTGCAGGGAAAAACAGGGCTAATCCCAGTTAAGCAAGTGGTTGATAATCCGTTCTTCACGGCATCTGAATTTCTCCGGGGAGATTCCAAATCCCCATCTGCTCCATTATAATCAAGAAAGTGAACTCCGTCATCGGGCAACTATGGTATATGTCCTTTGCAGCAGACTTGGCGGTGTTCTTCAGGTATTCAAAACACGGATTTGAGATGCTTCCAACTCCGCTTCAAAGACGGACATCACATAAATACCGACCATCTAGGTATTGCGTGGATCTACCTAGGTAATTTGGTCTTCCCGATCTTCTCCGTGCACATTCTATGTGTTCGACTCAATAACGGCACTATGCAATCTTGCATGAACCTGACGACATTTGCACATCTTGACTCGGTTTGGCAACATTCTGTGTCCGATACTTGATGATTCCATGGGGCCTGGGCAAAGTGATGGGCTTTTCTCCTTTTTTTTTTTTGCGAGCCAAGCCATTGCATGCTTCTTTTGAAGACGGAGCACGGAGCATGAAGTACGGAGTACGGACTACTCCGTATAGGAAGGAGATATCTCAGTAAATGAGCTGGACAGTAGGATCCATTTTCCCTGTGTATGGCGGTATGGCACCGGTTATATTTTCACTGTATCTGTGTATTTGTAATTGCGTGGGGTCTGAAAATTACGCTTAGCGCGGCTTTGTTTTTTTTCTTTTCCCTTTTTGCAGAGCCGCACATCTCCGTCGAACCCAAACATTTAATTGTCACGCTGAACCATGGAACCAGAGAGAGCTAGAATATAGCCCCCAATATCACTTCGGTGAAGCCGAACGTGAATTCAGGAGCACATCATTTATTAGGGTGGGTTCACGGAGAACACGGAGACGGAAACAGAAGCGGTCTAGGAGTTCCAAGATTCTTCAGATCAGTTCATTCAAAAGCAAAAAGATGACAGGGTATGAAGATTACCAGAAATCTTATATCCGCACGGGATCTCTTCGATTGCATGACGAATCCTATCTTGTCCTCTGATCTTCGACTTCACATGTGTCAGGTCGGTTGTGCAGAAAAAAGAACAGTGGGGGTGGGTAGCCTCGTCTTAGATGCCTTGAAGCATCTCGTATACGGAGTAGAATAGTATCGTAGTATTCAACCTTGTACGGAGTACCCGCTCCAGTACAACATACATTCAAGACGGTTGGAATGTGAGTACCACTATAGTGCGGTTGGTGTGCTCTCTGAAAGAAAGCTGTTGGTCGAATCTATTAGTATCCTGGCCCGTTGTCCGGTTTAGGCAGTAGTCTTCGAACGTTAGCGCTACACTAGTCACCGCTACAGGATCGATCTCCTGCAGCATGCACAGCAAACTGTTTCGGGGTATGCAGGGAGACTGATTCGTATAAGGTCTTCTCTCGGGTGTTTTGAGCGCATGGTATGGCTAACTAAGGTATAGTGAACGGCAGTGGCTTCTGAATCGGAATCTACCCTAAACACCTATCCCATCCGAATATCACGATACATCCATTGACGGGTGCCCAACCACTGACGAAATGATGATCAAGCGGCCAATCAACTCCCACCCCGAGATCAGGTATAACATACAAGGAATCCCCGAGATCGACACAACGACATCATGTATCCAAACACCTGACCAACAACGAATATGCAACTACCTCCCTTGCCCTAGCACTATACAATCCAACGGCCAACGCCAATACCGACTCTACCCGTGCACGGAAAATGACTTCATATGTTCACATACTCTCTACCCCGCAATGACAACCAAATCTCATCCCATCTCGCGAACCACATCTAAGATTGGAAGGAAGAAAAAGAGTAACTCCACGTGGGCACAATCACGATTCGCCTTCCTATCCCGATCCGGTGCGATGCGTAAGCCGAGAAATCCTTCAACGGTACCCGTCTCTGGTTGGTTCCGGGGTAGATCGGAGATATCGACGCATCGACCAACCACCCCTCCCCCGCTGATAATCTGACTAACTTTCCACCGGAGATTCTCCGACCACAGCTCTCGGGGCTTTTTGTGGGACCGGGGGCTTCGTGGGTGTTTTCGTGGTCCTGTAATCCCGGAGGAGGGGGTGTTCTCGGAGATGACGAATATCGGGGATTGGAGATTGGAATGGAGGGTGGTGGGGAAGTTGACGCTGTTGGTTGCGCTTTTTTCTGCTATTGGGTGTGGTTGCTACCTGGTGTGTTCTTTTTAGAACTGATGCCGTATGGGATCGGAGGTGGTATAGTATAGTAGTATGTAACTTCGTAGCTTGGTTTCAGGTTGCGGGTTCAATGGGAGATCGGCGGTGGGGGAAGAGATGGTTTCTCATGTCGACGGTTTGGTCTGGTTTGGTCTGTCTGAGGTTAGTTGTTCATCGTGTGAAATATAGTAATTACATGTGTCTTGGTTGGGTTGGGGCAATTAGATTGAAATGTATGATATCAATGATGGAGGGCTGGGCTGAGGCGAGAAATATAGTATGGACCCAAGGAATATATACACGTGAGCTTCAATGCAAGCCTCGTTTGGATCCATACCCGATATGCTGGTTCTTCTTGTCGACATATAAACAAAATCCAAGTACATTTCATCCAGATACACACCTTGCGGCAGTTACGGGCAAAACAAAGCAGTCCTTGGATTGGGTTCAAAGGATAAAAATTCAAATATAAAGGCTATGGCATATTGAGCAACTTTGGTGCTAAAGAAAAACGACTCGAATCAGAAATCAGAAGTCAAAAATCAAAAATCAGTAGTCCTCGTCAGAGTCCACGTGTCCACGGTAGCGCGACATATACCCAGTCCCGCCATCCTCGCTCGCCGAGTCATCGTAATCGAAGCCGTCATCATCAGATGACATTTCTTCGTCTGGGTAATCATTGGCTGGGTTGTTTTCGGCTAAGAATCAAGAGTCAGTGAGTGTTCATGGGCGAGGACCAGCAAAAGAGGAATAAGGCACATACCATTAGAGTCCGCATCTTCACTATCCCATTCCTCCTCGTCATCTTCAACAAAGTGCTCCCAGTACTCCTCGTCCTCGGCTGTGATGACAATGACACCAACTCCAGGCAGAGACTTGGCCATCTCCTTTTGCTGCTGTTCGGACTCGTATTCGGCAAGAGGATTCTTCAGCATCTCAGCTTCTGACAGCGGACGCCGAATGTAGACATCGTAGACATAATCGCCTTCGTCATCCTCCTCAACAGCCTGCTCATTCTTCACCAAAGATTGCGGTGGTGTAGGTGCGACTCTCGGCTCCTTGGGCTCCCGGGGCTGGTGTTTCAACGGAGTCTTGGGAGCTGTGCTGAAAGCATGCTGTAAAGACACAGGTTGGGGAGGAGGAGGGTTGCCAGGGACGTGAGCATCGAGGTCCATGCCATGAGGTTGCTTCCCCTCTCGCTCAAGCTCCAAAGCAACCTGCTCGAACTCATGGGCGAGGCGTTCAGACTCATCCCAGTTCTTTTGCTGCATCTCTGAGGTTTTCTCCATAGTCTCAGAGAGATGCTGCTTCGCAGCTGAAATGGCATTCTTGCGCTCCTCCCGCCACCGTTTCTCGGCCTGGTTGACAACAGGTCTCTTACGTGGTTTCACCGGGGACGGAGGTGTGTCTTGAACAAGCTCCTTCGGTCTGATAGACAGTGTCTGCGCCTCAGCAACCAGATCCGAGACCATGGACGCCTTGCGCGAGTGCGCATTTCGCTGCAACTGCTCGACCAACACAGCAACACCAGGCGCAGGTCCACCAATCCGTCGCTTCTGAACTCCCCCTCCAGGACCACTCAAGGAAGCCAGATTTGCGCGCGAGATCTGGAATCGCCGCAGGGCCTGCGCATGGCTGGATGATTCCACCGAGGCAGGGCTGCTGTTACTTACTGCGGATTGGTGAGAAACGTCAGAGCCAGTTGCAGAGCTGGGATCCGGCTCAGAGAAAGGAGAAGGGCCTGAGTAAACAGCACGCCTGTGCCTTTCCTCGGCCTCTTTGCGCGCAGTTACAATACGCTGCGCTTCACGGAATTCCGCTCCCGGTGAGGTCGCCCTCACCATGGGGACGCCCGTCGAGGATGCTGGCGCGCGGCGGTTCACATGCAGACTGCTTACTGAGCGCGGGCTACGAATGAGCCGCTGCGCGGCCGGTGTTGAGGGTGGGCTTGGAGATGCATCTGCGCTCACACTAGCTTTTAGAGTGACTCTGTGGAAAACAAAGTCGGTGAAACGCCGCTTCGTTTGATGGACTGCGGATTGAATGACTGCGGGGTATGTTAGCCTCTGGTCATCAACACTTTGGTCGAATATGCATCTCCAAGACCAGCCATTTTCATGGCATATATTTTTTTTTGGAGCGGTCTACATCGCGGGGGAAAACAAGGGGATTGTTCTCATACATAAAGTCTCCACGGGCTCCTCCTCGCGTCGACGCTTAATATTGATTTGCTCTGGTGGAAGCGCCATAATGCAAAGTGAATGCAGAATTTGTGATGGCTTCCTTGCGGGATGTGGAGGGGAGATGAAGGGAAAGTGATTTGAAGCTTCCAATGTGATGTGGATGATCCTTTCCGGACTTGGTTGTAATAGTCACGTGAGTCATATCTGTCGATGCCCTCACTGGCGCATTTGAGGACAAGGCCAGGAACATATTAAGAGTTTGACCTTGGTCTCTACGGGATTTCAATGGAAATAGATATCAATTATTCTTCAGGAAATGGTATCTTCATCTACTCGTTCATTCTTTCCACGGGAACTTTCCACTAATTACACATCTGCAGCCCCAACCAACCCCTGTAAACCCCAATCTTCACGACGCTGGAGCGGGAAAAGGCTAAGCATCGGACCATGCCACCTATGCAACAGGTTGTAACCTCATGATAATGGAAAACCACCTAGAGGCCAAGATAGATTAAAAAAAAAGAGCCAGGGCTCTCGCAACCATTGTCGTCACCGCCCCTCGTTTCTCTCCACAGTCATCATCCAACGAAACATGCGGTATGCTCACAGCCCCCAAAGCAAAATAAAGAGACAGAAAAGTCAAAGGTAAAGATGAAAAGAAGGTGACACAAAGCCAACTAGCAATACAAGGTAGTAAAAGAAGGAGAAGATGGCATAAGGATTAATAGGGGAATAAGATCATTGCGAACGGGATATGTCCGGACAAAGTGAAAGGGGAAAATCCAAAGAAACAGCCAAAGAAATGCAAAGAAAAGGGGTTCAAAAGTGAATGGTGTAAAGAATCAGAAGTGAAGAAAAAGTGATTATGACCAATACAAGAAACGAATCAAAATCAAAGTCGGGGGAGGTAAGACATGACAAACTATATGTAAGAAGATAGAATAAGATGGCATTAAATTCACCAAGGACAAAGGGTCGATCGATGAGTCCCTCGGCATATGCGCAATTGATTATTTGGCTCCGATCTCCTCTTCAGCCCAGCCAGGCAGCGAGTTTTCATTTTGAATCGCCAGGCCGAATCCTGAGTGGTTCAGTCCGCCAAGGGCAGAGAAACTGGAGAAACTGCTCTGAGGCTGGTGCGCACCTACCCGGCTGTGACCAGTGTGACTAGAGACAGGCCCAAAAGGCTCCTGGGAAAAGGAGGGCAAGCTGACAGCACGCGAGTGCGAAGCCCGGGGCACGCTGAGACTGCTGGTGCTGGCGTGGTGGCCGTGCCCAGTGCCGTTCGCCACACTCAGGTAACTGTTGGTCGAGGACTTGTGCTGGTGCATAGGCGGGTCCATGCTGCCGTTCGACATGTCACCGTTGCTGACACTGTACAGCGACTGTTGTGGTGCCTGGGACTGAGCGTGCAAAGCGGTGAGCGCCATGGAATCGCTAAGATGGTTCTCCTGTTCCTGTGCCTGATGAGCAGACATCTGGTTCAGGTACATGGTCAATGGGTTATTTGAGCCGACATTTAGGACGCCAGAGGGGCAGGACACGTTCTGCAATGGGTGACGGAGTTGTCCGTTCTGAGAACCGGTAGATCCCGGTGCGGGGGAAAGAGCAGGGCGAGTCGGGCTGGAGGAAGAGCCGGACTGGCTGAGACTTTGGAACCCATTGAGGGCAGGTGGTGACTGAGGGCCGTCGATGCCGTTTCCGTTACGCTGCTGGCCGTTAGGATTGTTCCCGGCTTGACGCGGCGGGTTTCCGCAGCGATCCTTGCCAAAGTTGATCTTGAATCGCCGATAGTCCTCGCGGTTGCGCATGCCCTCAATAGCCTTGATGGCATTGGCAATATTGGTGAAGTTGACAAAGGCACAGCTCTTCTCGCGCAAGGTGTTCACCAACTCGATCTCACCGTACTCCGAGAAGTCCTGGCGAAGGCGCTCCTCCGTCCAGGCTTCATCCAAGTTACCGATATAGACGTTACGGGATGCACCACCACTGACCGCCAGGGCAATGGCGGGTGGGAGAGGACCAGAGTGCTTGCCCCATCCAATCTTGAGGCGTCGATTATGGATCATCAGGCCCTGTAGATTGCTCAAGGCATAGAAGGAGGCGGCGGAGGTAGGATCGATGAACGTAACGAAGCAAATGTGCTTATCAGGAATGTATCGGACATGGTGCAGCAAGCCTCCACGAACGACATTGCAAATCTCTTCAATGGTAGTTTCGGGGTGAATGTTTCCAAGATAGATGGTACGGTTGCCGAGATTGTTGACACCGCCCGCTGTTGTTGCCACGGCGGCCGCAGCAACGGACTGCTGCGCGAGCGCGTTGGAGATGAGATCGCGATCCGCCGTGTTGAGCACATGCGCATATCCAGGCGCGATTCCAAGGAATTGTGCAGCATTCTGCTGCTGAGTCTTGGAAACATACGCACAACGGTCCTTGCCATAGAATACCCGCTTTGGCGCCTGCCATTGCTGCTCCTGGGGGAGCTGGGTGACAGCCTTCATGGCATTACTGATCGACAGGAAGTGAACGAATCCAATGGCCTTCTCCTTGACAATCTTGACAGTATCGACGGGCCCAAATTTGCCCAGCTCCTCCCGCAGATCATCCTCGGCGGTTTCCTCGGGCAAATTCCCAAGGTACACGTTACGCGACGCACCCGACTGTTGAACCGCCAGAGCGACTGAAGTAGGGACCTGTGAGGGCTTACCCCAGCCGACCTTGATATCATTTCCCTTGATCGCTAGCTTCTTCAAGATGGCATCTGAGTGGAAATGAGTGGCGGAGCTGCTATCCAAAAATGAAATGAATGCACAGTTCTTATCAGGTAGCAGGCGCACCGACTCAATCTGGCCGCTGCGCACGTGGTTGAGGATCTCCTCGGCGGATGTTTCGGCCGGAATGTTTCCAAGATACACGGTGCGACTGGTCCCTGAGAGCATGCCTGGGGCCACGGAAGCTTGGGGGCTGCCCAAGGCTGCGTTTCCCATTCCTCCGAGGCCATTAATTGGTGACTGAGGACCTCCCATCATTTGGGAGGGCCCCATGCCATCTGGCGACATCATTCCATACAAACTGTGGCTTTGCATCCCTTGAGTCGGGCTGTGGAGATGATTCTGGTTGTTCTGGACATGTCCATTGCCATTGGCCTGTGGGAAGCCACCGAAATTGGCAAATTGGGGCGAAGCAAAAGCGGAAGGAGTCCCTGGTTGGAAGGGACTTCCTACCAGCAGCTGGGAGGGAAGTAGGGGGGTGTAGTTCATATCGAATCCGGACGCCATATCGGAGTGGTGGCCTGCGGCAGTATTTATAGCGGGTATATTGGCGCGGCGAGCGTTTCGATCCGAGAATCCTTGAATAGGGTTGGGGTGGTTGTTGTTGTAAGCTCCGTGGGAAAAGCCAGTGTCACCGTTCAGCACGTATTTAGAGCCCGAAATTAGACGCGAGTTATTCGAGATGCTCGATACATCCGAGGCTTGCATGGCGAGGTAAATCCAACGCTTGTCCTGAGACAAGAACCTAGTCCTAGTTGTCGGGGATAAGAGGCCCTGACTACCAGACTGCGAGGCTCGAAAGAGAAAAGAAAACAAAGAGACCGGGATTATCAGATCACCATTCAGGAGATGACTCCACAGCCAAGAAAGAAAAAAGGGAGGTTCGGGTGGAGAAGGAAGAAACGGAGAATAATATCACAAAAAAAAAAAATGAAGCAGCTCTTGAACGGAGACGTGTCTAAATGAAACAAAAGTCAATTGGAATGTGCATCAATTAGGGTGAAATTGGGGAATGGGGGGAGACAAACCCGTCCTTTGCTTGTCTTAGAGAATGCGACTTATATAAATATCAGTCCACAGCCATGCAGACCAGTTCCCAGCTTCCGCAGATGAGGAGAGAATGAGGAAAGAGAAAGAGAGCCCAAGGTGTCAAAGACTATGACCAACAGAAGTCATTAGCTTAAAGAGGTTAGGGAAAGGTCTAAAAGGGAAAAGGACCTGAAGAGAGAGAAAAAAAAAGGGGGTAAGATGGGGGAGATGGGGAATGGATTTACAGTTGACAGGTTCGGACTAAAAAAATTATTTAAAAACAATGTCTCCCCAAAAAAGCCGAGCAACACGAGAGACAAAAAGGGTTGAGAAAGAGCGTGGAGAAAAGGAATGAAAGGTAAGGAAGTGAATCCAGGTAAGGTATGGGCAGAGAAAGAGGGCCAAAAAAAATACCATAAAAGGGGGAGAATAATATCAATAGGAGTGGGTTAAAGGGGGCCACTTTGTCGGGTTGACTATTACCCAGACTACGGACTAGAGTAAATAGCAGTTCTCCTATTCTCAGCCGAAGATCAAAATAAGACAATAAGCCCGTCAATATCAACTTTGGTTCGTGTTTTTCCCCAAAGTTCGAGTTCCGTGGCTCCTGCAGAACTGGATCAGGATCTCCAGCCACAATCTCTCCCCCTGGCATGAACCGATACACCGGATGCTGTGGATGCTGTGTATATCCTGATAGGTAATAGGACCTCGGTACGGAGTAATCACACAATATAACTGGAAGATCGAGACTAATGCACTATTGACGGAGTATAGGAGTCATATCTACTCGGTACTCCGTACGGAGTCCCCTCTTCTCTAATCTCGTTCTCACATAAACCCATGGTCCCGTGACTGCCCTTATATCTCCAACGGCTGCGGGATCCATCAGCCCTGTGCCCGGATCAGTAGGGATTCTACATATGGAGTCAAGGAAAGCCACCTTGATGTAGGTCAAGTCCGGACCCGACTCACAGGTGAGTTGGAAAGGTCGATTTGCTGTAAATAGGGTATATTCCTGGGTACGGAGTACATGTATGGAGTATACTCCGTTGTACGTAATATGCGGCCCGATTTTCTTTATTCGTTTGCCATGAGAGAAGTCAAAACAGGATCAAATGGGTCCATTCAGACTAAACTCATGTCTAACATCTAGTTCCCATGACCGACTAAACCGCAGGATACTCACCTAAGCTCTGGGAGAATATGCTCCGAACGATATCCGAGATATAGTCCGATTGCGGCCTCAGGCATCCGTGGGGAATCCCGCATCTATCGGAAATTTACCCCTCCGTGTCAATGTGCGATTCTTCCTTGCGTTGGTCAACTTGCAATTGGGAAGAGATAAGACTTCTTGTCTCTGCATATCAGGTGAGTTGGCTCTGCATCGCATTCTCGTCTATCCAGCCCGAATTCCTTCCCTACAGTGTATGACTCACAGATCGAACCCTATATTAATGATCCCACAGCAGAACTCCCGCCACAATCGGATCAGTCAACGATTGATCAAACATCATGGCGTCCACCACCATCTATATCGACGAAGACGTCGGTAGAGACGAGTCTTCCGCTACTGGCTCCGAGACCGCCCCCTACAAGACCCTCGTTCACGCCTACGTCCAGCACCCTCCCACCACCGAAGGCATCCAGTACCTCACGCGCAAGTCCCAGACCGACGCCGCCGGTGAGAATGTCGACCCCGCTGCGAAATTGGAGTGGAAGTCGGCTACCAAGTCGGCCATGAAGAAGGCCAACAACCTGTGGGAGCAGCGCAAGAAGAAGGCCGCCAAGGAGCAGGAGCTGGCCATCCGCGAGAAGGCCGAGGCTAAGAAGCGCCAAAAGGTCCTCGATGAGGCCAAGAAGGTCGTGATCAAGGAGGACACCTCATTGCCCAAGCCCGTGCGGGTCCGCCTCGATGTCACCGACCCGGCCATCGTCAAGCTGCGCACCCCCGAGTCCGATGAGGCCGGCACTCGTGTTCGCGTTCTGGGCCGAGTTCACCGTGCCCGTGCCCAAAAGGATGTCGTCTTTATCACTCTTACCGATGGCTATGGCTATCTGCAGTGCGTTCTGACCGGTGATATGGTCAAGACATACGACATCATGACCCTCACCCTCGAAACCTCCATGTCCATCCACGGTGAGATGCGCGCTGTGCCCCCCAAGCAGCACGCGCCCAACGACCGCGAGCTGCACGCCGATTTCTTCGAGATCATCGGCAAGGCCGCTGGTGATAAGGAGGCTATCACCACGCGTGTGGCGCCGGACGCCGACCCGCAGACTCTGTACGACAACCGCCACTTGGTTCTGCGCGGTGAGACCTCATCCTCCGTGATGAAGGTGCGCGCCGCCACTCTCCGTGCCTTCCGCAAGGCCTTTGAGGAGACCCGTATGTTGGAGGTTACTCCTCCCGCTATGGTGCAGACCCAGGTCGAGGGTGGCAGCACCCTGTTCGGATTCGACTACTACGGCGAGAACGCCTACCTGACCCAATCCTCGCAGCTGTACTTGGAGACTTGTCTTCCTTCTCTGGGTGATGTGTACTGTGTTTGCCCATCTTTCCGTGCCGAGAAGTCGTTGACCCGCCGACACTTGTCTGAGTACACTCACATTGAAGCCGAGCTTGACTTCATCACCTTCACCGATCTGCTCGACCACCTCGAGGATATCATCTGCCGTGTGATCGATTACACTCTGGCCGAGCCCGAGATTGCTGGATATATCAAGCAGCTCAACCCGGATTTCAAGCCTCCTTCCCGTCCCTTCCGTCGCATGAAGTACGACGATGCTATCCAGTGGCTGATCGAGCACGAAATCCCCAACGAGGAGGGTCAGCCCCACAAGTTCGGTGACGATATTGCCGAGGCTGCCGAGCGCCGCATGACCGATATCATCAACCAGCCCATCTTCCTGACTCACTTCCCCGCCGAGATCAAGGCCTTCTACATGAAGAAGGCTCCTGAGGACCGCCGTGTCACCGAGAGCGTTGACGTTCTCATGCCCGGTGTTGGCGAGATTGTTGGTGGCAGTATGAGAATGGACAACTGGGATGAGCTGATGGCCGCCTACAAGCACGAGGGCATGGACCCCAAGCCCTACTACTGGTACACTGACCAGCGCAAGTAAGTTTTTCTTCCCCTTCCATCGCTGTTGATGTTTTATCCCGTTCATACACTAATCTTGGAACAATAGGTACGGTTCCTCCCCTCACGGTGGCTACGGTCTCGGCCTCGAGCGTTTCCTCGCCTGGCTGTGCGCTCGCTACACCGTCCGCGACTGCTCTTTGTACCCCCGGTACACCGGCCGTTGCACTCCTTAGATATTATATAGTCAGGAAACAAAACAAAAATAGCCATGATCACGATAGGTACGGAAAGTTAGTCTCCTTTAGATCAATTAAATTGATTCTTTTCTTATCTGTACTCAGTACAACTAGCTTTCCATTAAAGCACATAGACTAATGCTACACGCTGTGAATTCCACTCGAACACAGTATGTACACAGTTGCACATAAACGAGGGAGAGGTACTCCGTACACCACACCACATCTAATACAACAACATAACTGGAATCCTCCCCCGGACCTCCCTTTTAACCAAATGCCCATACACATCCCGTAGGATATACCTAAATTCCCCCACAGGATACCAAATGCCGCCAGTGTCAGAATCTAGGACCATTGCCATTCACTCCCAGCCCGAGACCCGGGCACCTGGGATTGCAGTCCCGCCCACAGATACATGCGCAGACAGCTACAAACCGAGTCCCCTGGAAAGAAACCTGGCTAGATTCGGAACACGACTGTCATGCGCGGCGTGGCATAATCTGCCGTGCGTTGTGCATCTGGCATCGCCCCTGACCGGGAAGGGGGTTGTGGGCTTGGATTTCACTCATGCTAGACAGGGGCTTTGTGGTTCGGTTGCAAAGCAGGGCTGTGATGGCTCTGGATTGGAGGTACAATAGGGCTTTCGTGTGATTCGGTCAACGGGGTAGCAGAATTGGCAGTTGAGGTTGGGGATTTCGGGTTGTGGAATGATGGTTAGATGGGTGGAAGTAGGAAGTTCGGACTTGTTTGTTGGAGTTACAATAGGGACTTTGTGGGGTTGGATACGGGTGTGAGCAGGGGTGTTTTGGTGAAGCTGGTGCATGGGCTTGATTCCTGTTGTGGGTAGATGAACAGATGGGTAGTAGGGAATTGGGTATGCTATGGCCGTGATTGAGAATTGGATAGCGAGTGTAGGAGTTGGTCGAAGTCTGGTCATATGGTCGGGAATCGAATCGGCGTGTGTTGTGTCTTTTAAAGGTTACTGGAGTCGTTGGGGTTGCATGGGGGTTGTTCCTGCTTCATCTCATGTCATCTCATGTCATCTCGCACAGCCATGTCTGATGTGCTAGTACTGTATCTTGTCGAAACAGGAACAGGCGGGTGAAAGCTTAGGCTGCATCGAGCAGTAGGGGCTGGAGAGGAAGAAGATCGTGTCCGTGTACTCCGTACTAGAGGAGAGGTAAGCAGTGAAAGGGTGTTTTTGGGGCGAATTTCAAGGCGCTCTTGTTGCCTCTTTTCAAAACAGATCAAAAGATCTTGGACTGTCTATAGAAAGAAAGGATTGGACAACCGTCGCTGTCTAAAGGGCAAAGAACCGCCTGAGGGTGATCCACTATCACACCGGCCTTCCATTGCACCAGAGCACACGGAGATAGAATCCGTTAACCGACAGGTCTCCCATTCCACTTGACCCCTTTCAGAAAGTCTCTACCATTAGGCCAGCGTGGGTAGGCGTCCAGGGTCCACGCGAGAGATCAAGTCTGTGATTGTACTTTTGAAGCAAAGCAGAGACTCGCGGCTTTATTCCCCCTCTCTCCAACAACCGAAGCCGCACAACCCGGAAACAGACGCAGCGCAGACACGGCACTGTTCACCCGTTACCCTCCCTTTCGTGTGGATTCACCTGTCGATCTCAAGGGTTGCTTCCTTTTTTCCACCCCGACCCGGTCCATTTCATTCGTCCCATCGCCAGCATGACGTTTCCGCCACGCGCGTGGTGAGGGGCTGCGTTAGTGCCAGACTACTGTCCCTCGGGTGTCTGTATTTCAGTTTCGCATACTCCGGAGGTTGTGTATTTCACGCTGACATCTGGGGCCTTTGATGCCTCTAAACGCTTTGTATCAACGGTTCGGCCACGGCAGTTGGCTTACCATCGCCGCGTCATTGTCACTGGGGTACAGTGTCATTTTTCTCGTCTGCCTTTTGTGTTCTTCGGCACATACATCGTCATTTTGCTTTTCCGATGAATGACCTTATGCATAGTTCGTACCGGGCCAATACTAGGGCGATCTGACATGACAGAAGAGAACGCACCGGTAATGTAAGTCCGGTAGGGCAGACCACCAACCAAGGACTGAAGATGGATATGAAAGAAAGAAGTTCAAAAAAATGCGTCACGAGCATGATTCATCACTCATTAAACAGCGTTCGAATTTTTTTTCCTTATGTCTTTTCCCAGACGTGGGTAAAAATGTCATAAGCAAAGCAAAACAGCAAGGCACTCTCTCATGACTGTTCTCTCGAAAGACAATTAACATGCAGGAATATCCCAACCTTTTGTTCCATCATCCAATTTGAGCTCCAAGGTGCCCTGGGTCAAGGCCCAGGAAAAAGAAAGGAAAGGAGCGAATAGTCGCGAAAAATCGACACAAAAATAACAACCATGAACCGCAGCGCAGGCGGAGAATGTGCAAAGATCCGAATGGGTGCAATATTCAGCCCTCGCTCTGAACGCGGTGAAGAGCAGTCTGGATCTCATCGTGGGATGCACCGGAGCGAATGAGCGCGATGATTTGAGTGACAGACTCGCTACGGGCGTCGCGCATCACGGCGACTAAGTCTTCCAGAAACTTCCGATAGTAAACCAGGTCACGTTCTTGCTGGGCCAGCCGCGCGGGCTGCTGGTCCTCAGATGAGTTGTTACCGAGGACAGTGGTGTTCGCCCTGGTGAGGTTTATAAGATCTCAGTTTTCGGGTACGTGGAAGGATTTCTGGAAAGGGGTATTATGCGGATGGAGAAGACTATGAGACAAGATCATGGAGCAGGGAGGGGAGACAGGAATGCCTATGCAAAAGTCGGGCGGACGGGAAATGTGGTCGGTACTCACTCCAGTGTCTTGGTGCCTGTCGACACCGTCTGGGGTTGTTTGTGGTCTCCTTGGTCGACAGAGAAGTCTTTGGCTGCAGTGGCATCTGGCATGTTGATGGACTAACTTAAATTGTCTGTCCTGTGTGGCAGGTAAGGCTCTCGACTGGTGTTGTGCTGCAAATCAAAATTCCTTGCTATCCTCGCGCCTTGTATCTACCTATAGGAAGGATATCACGTCTTGGTGGCAACTGGTCAGCAACCCAACTACATATGTACCTGCAAGGAAAAATCAAGTAATTCTGGGGGAAGAAGGGGTCAAGGGCGAAGTATGAACATCGGCGAGGACATGAGGGGTCGATGGGGCAGGAAAGAACAAGAGGAAGCGGTCGGCCATACATTTATAGGCAAGTGTCACCAGAACTGGAAAGAGCAGCTCATACGGAGAATGCACACAGATGTCGAGAGATGAAAGATGAATACTGAGGTTGGAGACGAAGTGGGAACTTTAAAGGTACCCTTCAGGTACCTGGAGCAGATTGGTTGCCCGTTGTATCTCCGTCATTCCCACCGCGGGAAATCGATATACCACGTAGACTGTAGTCCCTCGTGAGATGCCCTTTGAGTATCCCATTGCAAATACCGAAAGCAATAATGAAACGAAAAAAAACAAGGGATCGAACTGTTCCCGATTTACACCTCAAATCGGCTGCGGATAAAAATGGTAGCCAATCGCCAGGCTTGGTTTTCTGCATGGAGATCCTCCCAGCTGCCGTAACGGGGCCAACTTACTCTTCTCCTGGTAGTAGAGGCCCTATATTGGGTCTTTTTATAGCCTAGATTGCGAGGGCTGAGGCCTGTTGGGCTTTGGCAAGGCTGTGGCTGGAAGGGAACTTGGCCGTACTCGGGTATTTCGAGATCAGAGATCATCGAATTCTTGATTCCCAAAGAGGCAAACCCACTCCTTTTCACTTTCATCTGTGGCGACTTTGCAGGACTCTTTGCTCAACGGAGCTTGAGCCTAGGTCGGTTGGTACCTCTCTCTCTCTCTCTTGATTCTTGGTTCTTGATTCTTGTTTCACCCTCACAAGTCAAATACAACCGGAACGGTTATGCACTTCCGGTTGAACTGGCGCATGAACTGCAGACCATGAAGTTCGAACCTGGAGGAGCCTGCGAACGTGTTGGGGCGTTCATGTTGCCTCGAAGTTGACTTCTCTATGCTTGTGAGTAGATCAGTGGTTTTGAACTTGCACAGTCTGCAGCAAACACCCGTCTCGTGAGTTGCAACCCAGTTCTCCTGGGGATTCTTGGAAGGGATTTTCTGTATTCTTCCAACGACGGATTCGTTGGAAAGTTGCATCTGCCCTGTACTGATATATTAGTATCCGAGGAGAATTCAGCTGGAGATCCTTGGGAAATAATCTGCTGACTCGCGCTTTCCGTGCAGAACTCAACACCGCATCCCGTCCAAACGTCCTCATCACCTCGAGCTTCCTACCACCTCTCTATCTCGCCTGTCAAACCACCACACCCTCCATCTCCCCAGTGTCTAGATGACTGTATGGTCTACCGGAATTGTCATGTCGGACATGAGGGACTCGTCCGGTGACGCTTGATCGATTCCTCAAACCTGGCAATTTCGGTCTCCAGTACCACGACCTCCGCACCCCTCTGAGGGCTGACCATCACGGCTTGAACCCCCACATGCGAGATCATCATTTGTGTTGATAACTGGGTGTCCAAGACACACTGCGACTTGAAATGGCCTGGCTAGAGGCTATGGACGCCCTTCGATGGAAAGTCCGTTTCACCAACAAGTCACTATCCCATGGCACTACAGTCTCTAGCTCTCGGAGTAGAGATTTCAATTCTGGGAGTCTGTCATACCCTGGGATCGTGTCCTGCCAGTCACTCTGTCTCCTGACCGTTGAAAGCACATTGTGATTTCAAATGGGCTAATCGCAGGTTGTGGACACGGTTGGATGGAAGTGGCATTTCATCGACATACATGCTGTTCTCCAGTATAGCGATGTCAACTGAATATTGAATTGATACCACAACAGAGAAGCTCGTGAACCCTTGAATCCATACTCCGAGCAACAGTCCAGGCATCGGCCATCCCAAGGGCATTCGTCAAGACTCGACGCTATCTCCAGTATAGCAGCTTCTGGTGATATATATGGAAATAAACCCTTGAGAGTTTCTCAGGCTCTGAATCCACCCCACGAGACTGTGGATTGGCTGCTGGATTTCTCAATGCGATATGGCACCTGAAGTAGTATGCTTTGCCATGTTCTAGTGGTTAACCAGACGAAAAAGGTCTTTAACTGATGACCTAGCACATGTTTTATGTTCGATCGCCCGGCTCAACTATGGCTGTTGTCGCCTTCGTGGTATGTTCAGAGGAATATAGGCTCAAGAAGACATCTCTCGTGGACCCAGAACGAATGAATGACAGGGCGGTATCGGGTGTGGGATACCAAATTATGCGTGGACGTCGGCGAAAATTGTGTGGATGCATCGGCGGCGCGTTGTATACGTATGTATCATTATTGGGTTTCGTGTTTATTCGAACAAAGAGCATGTTATCTTCTAGCCTTGAAGGCTCTGGAATGAGTGACTGAAGATGCTCTTTGGGCCGAATGGACCTCGATAACCAGGCAAGCAAAGCTGGAATCTCTTGGGCCAGACCCGTGAATGGGAGCATCGATCAGTGATAAGAGTCTATGTCATTCGTATCTTGACAGAGTTTGCTTCGATGTCGTCGGGTCTTCGGTGGGGGTTCTGATGGGCGATGGGCATCGTTACAGTGTGGCGAAAGGGTCTTCAGGGTGACAAGTATCATCGTTCGTTTTGAACATTGCTCAGAACCAGGCAGCGCTCTCATGGATTTCGTCATCTGCTGCAGATTCGTGGACATCCAATCTGTTCCGAGTCAGCCCTGACGCACCACGGTCGGTAAGCTTTACCATCGTCAACCTACAGCATGGCCTTCGAGCACCCTTCTGTTGCTCTCGTTCGTCACCATGAAATTCCTCTTGGCAGTGCTTCCGATGCATCATGGCACGATGAAAATGGTATTTAAGTGGATAACTTGATGGGTACAAGAGGTTTGCTCAGTTTCAAAGCACAAGCCAACTAGACTCGACCCCTTGGACTTGGGAGAGGGCCTCGGCCACCCAGCGGTGTTGGAGATTTCTGGAAACAGCCTCATCGCGAGAGAATGTCCTCCCTCATACTCTTGCCGCCTGGTAAGGCGCAAACTGCTATCCAACGGAAAGTCGACAGCCCACTGTCCTAAGGGGAAGGAGAAGACAAGGGAAAGCCCTATTCTTCACCATGTGCCGCCAATTGGATCCACCGGTAACGAGGAAAATAGTTCCGGGCGAGGTTATTGGGGGAGACTCCACCAGCGCCAACATCGAAACAGCATAATAAGCCTCATCCATGCGTTCTATCCATCTGGGGAAGAAACTGGTGCTTGGCTTGGGTTCCGACAAATACTGACATTCGCTCAAAGGATAATTTTTGTGTATGAAGCCTCGGGAGAAAGCCCAGGGAAGATGTCTGTGACCAGCCTGGAGACGGTCGCCGTCAGGGCCATGTTCTCCAACGGATCTCAATACAGAACTACCATCGATCTAATGGCCGAAACCAAAGTGAACATCAAAAGCAGCCGTAGCAATATCAAGGCTCTAGGTAAAGGCATACATTACTACCGTGATGCAGCTTACAGTCGGACCACCGCAAGCTCGTACGGACGCACTCCCCAATATGTGTCTGCGCGTAGCTGGCTTTGGTCTATCTCGCATGCGCCCATATAGCAACACTGAATCTGTCGGGCAGAGTCCCGATCGTCTTGATGTAGCTTATATTGCCTTTGGACAATTACGAATGGCGAATCTTATATACATATATGCTACTCAGAGATCCCTCGGCTTACCATGCGAAAGTGGAGTTGCCAGGGCCGACTTGCGTACTAGGTAGTTACGATCGTTCGAAGGCAGAAGAGAAACATGCTTCAACTTAGAAGGTCAACCAAAGCTCAAGCCGAGAAAGAGTGCAGTATCAGACGAGGGGATTTATATGCCAAGGCTATATACCTATACCCTGGCCGCGAGAGACAGGAGTGCAAAGGTGAATCATAATAACAATGATCCGACGCTTTCCGCCCCAGAGTGACAGAGCATCTGGCCAATCTCATTGTTGGACTCGCAACTGACACGACCATGACACGAGTTCCGAGGTCGACCCCAATTTAAGATTTTTTGTACCGTGGAGAGAGCTGGGAGCTATCATGGAAGGGCATGGGATTCGTATACCTCTATACAATCACAGCCTACATGTACTATGGTAATGTATTCACCACAACTACGCATAGTATGGGCTTAGCCTCTCATTTGCAATGATCAACTCACTTAGTATCAACCTTGACACGTGTATCGTGATTCCAAACCAATCAAAGCAAAGGGGCTCCCGTAATGCCCTGTCTATCACGGGATATGGAGATACACGCGAATGTTCGTATGCCGACGTCATAATCCAACCTCGTCCCCCTTCGGACCAATCGAACAACAACCAAGTCACCAGCTTAAATAAAATCAATGGAAGCCCTCCGTACGAATGTCGACATTGGGGCCTCTATTATTTCCCAATACATGCCTTTTACGAGTGGTATTGTGTATATAACCTGTACTCAAGTGTCACATTCCATAACCACCCAAAAATGCCACTAGCCAAACCCTCGTCTCCCTTGCACGAGGGATTGCCTAGATGAGCAGATTCCTAGTCTACGCGTGAAATACTAATACCCGACCCTGTCCCTGGCGCTAATCCCCCGACAAAAAACAACTATCACAACTCCCCCGGACACCCAAGCCGCCATCCAGATAATCTAGATACGCGGAAAACAAAAAAAATAAACAGAAAACCAACACGAGCAACGACAACCGAGTGATCAGTTCAACCATGCATTTCCCCATCCTCCTCCTCGGCGCCTCTCTCGTCTCAGCCCAATACTCCCAGCCCTACGGCCCCAGCCAAGACCAACTCGACTTCATGGAACACATCAACGAACACCCGAACAGCAACCTGCCCAACCCCCACAACGGAAACTACAACGGAGAGATTTACAAAGACCACGATAACTATGATATCACCGTCTCGCGCCCCCACGTCCAAGCCCAGCCTCCAGCTCCTATGGTCCACAACACCTTCGTCGTGCGCCCTTCCCCAGCACCCATTGCACGGCCACAGGCCCAGCTCCCGGCTCAAGCACAGCATCCCGACCAGCAGACGCCGCAGAAGAAAAACCAAGCCCGTTCTGCGGATTTCATCCCGCGGGATATGCCAGCTGGCGCGGTGGGCAAGGTAGCTCCGGTTGACCCGCTGAAGCCCGGTTGGCACACTGCGCCGGGGCCTTTCGATAGGCCGCCACAGGGCAGGGACGAGGGTAATACCTTCTGCTTTGGGCAGTGTTATGCTGATGAGAGTCAGTTGGAGTGCTCGAAGTCTTATGTGAGTTTTGGTTGATGGGGGTGCTGGATATTCGGACTAATATCTGGAACAGGTTTTGCCGGTTTATCAGTCTGCTAAGGGGTGTTATATGTGTTGCTTTGCTTCTGATTTTTAGATTATAGGGGTTGTGTATAGTTTGCTTGTAGTTGGGGGTTTGGTTCGGTTGGAGGGTGGAAGATCGGATTATGGAGTTGGGAGTGGGTTGTTTTATTTGGGGTTTGGTTGGATGTGTTTCTTCTTTTTTCTAGAGAGGGGGGTTTGCCTGTTTGCCTCGTTTTCTGCGTATGCTTTTACGCTGTTTTTCTTGAGTGTTCTATCTAGGTACATACTGCATAACATACCTGCGTGTCGATAGGTGTATGTAGTGTTGTACAGGGATTTCTTTTCATTCCGACAAAAATCGTTTATATCATTCCTAGTCAATGATATTCATCTCTATAATCTGACAGGAATTGAGAGTGCATGTGATGCATGTAATCCATTGAAGATCGACCTGTAGCCCTAATCGCAACCGCTTCGCCAAGTCTGACCCCCGCCTGTTCCACTTGTGGAATGGGGATAATTCCCCGGATCTACTGTTAGGCTGTATCCACAAACATATAAGCTTGGGCTGGAGAGATCCAAACAGGATGGGGCTAGTTTGATTGAATGCTGTAATAGATATGAAAACAATTCCAAAGAGTTTGATTTGATCTAGATACCACGGATATCCGTATTAAGAAATCTATATTTGCTCGCTGTGGCTATATGGAATAAGGGAAAACAGAGAGCTAAATCCATCACATCACATCATATAATTTTCCACGCTGAAGAATCACAACTCGCTCGTATCCAAAAAGAAAGCCAAAGGAGAGAAGAGAGCAAGTGTGAAGATAGAGATGCCAAAGAGAGAAAGCAGCTGGAACAAAAGCAGCAAAGCAAAGCTTATCTCATCCAATTGAGATAGGGTTCTTTTTTTCAATTCTTCATGCAGGTCTCGGCGGGCCGGCCGCCAATACTCCACCCCATTTTGATGGGCGCAGATCGTTTCTCGTACGAGGCATCTTCCCACACTGCACTGCTGGCGGGGAAGATAGAGCCGCTGTCGGATACACCAACGGGGCCGAGATCCTCATGGGCAGAAGCGATGTGCGGGACGACTAGCTCAACGCCCTTGGTCACACTCGTACCGGAGAAGTAGGGGTTGTGGCGCGGAGGTAGCGGCCGCTGGGCCTCGTACATGCCCAGGTAGTCGGAGGCCGTGCTGCTGAAGGACGAGGCCACGGTGGACGGGGTGCTGGTCAGACAGGGCACGTGGCTGTGAGCAGTACCTCCGGCCAGCGTGGGGAGGCTGGAAGTGCTGCGGTGCACAACGGGCCGGGCCAGCATGGGCTCGCTGGAGCGGTGGAACTGAGAGAGGTAGTTCCATGCGTCGGAGCATGCCAAGGATGAGGCGCTACGCGGTAATACAGGCTTCCACTCTGTGGGGTCGAGATCTGACATGGCATCATGCACGTGGTTGGATATCCGGACGGCCGAGATTGGGTTACTAGGTACCCTGGTTGGGGTCATTGGAGCCACGATGATGCGTGGCGAGAGAGGTGGAGATGTGGGTGGTGTGGTGGAAGACATAGAAGACATGGAGGACATTGAAGGTAATGATGCTGAGAGTGGTTTGCAGGAGTCTTTGCGGCGGCAACTGTATGAAAAGACTTGATAAGTACACAAGTACCAAGATATGATGCAGGTCTCCAGACAAAGAAATTGAGATGTTTGGCAGGAGAGGAAAGAGATCAATGGGGCCTTGATATAGACCGGGGAGGTGGTCACGTACCTTTCGCTACAATATAACAAAGTGTTGTTGGGGACAGTAATCTGGTTCTCGCACATGGCGCTGGTATCAGGTCAGCTTTATATCCATTGGAAAAAAGACCGGTGTAAGGGAACACAGATGACGGCAACAAGCATGTGAGGGAAATAATCCCTGCAAGGTATTCATAGATAAGAGCTTTTGGGTTGATCACATACCAAAAGTTCAGGAAGCTGGCCATATCAAATTCGGTATCGTCCGAAGACGGTTTGCTCACACCCCTTTGTCCCGAGCCCAGTTTAGAGATGGAGACGTTGGCACTGGATGTTCCTCGACGATGCAAGACTGGACGAGCCTTTGACTTCAAGGCATGAGGCAAAGAAGGGGAGCGGCGGTGGAAGGAGGCTGTTTGAGTCATATAGGTGGCGGTGAAGCTTTCAAATGCCTCACTATCTTATCGATGAGAGAGTAAATGTGGAGCATGAGGGCCCCTGAGGGAGCACAGACTTGAGGGATTTGTGTAGTGGACCGGTGCAATTGGGAATCCGGAGCAGTGCTATTTTAGAAAAGGAGAGCCTCTGTATTTCAGGCAGCGTGGAGACAGGAATGCTGATAAGGTTAGCATACGGCCTCTTGTCATACGAAGATCCCGATTCGATGCAACGAGACTATCTCCAGGCGCTGAGTGGGGAGAGATAAGGCAGATAAGGGGACATACCGGAGAGAAGGTGATGTATAAAGGGAAAGGAAGAAGAAGAAGAGAAAGAGGAAGATTAGATCTTTTTTTGTTTTGGAAAGAGGAACTGTGATCCAAGGAATATGGGGAAGAGCGTCGAGTATAAATACAGGCCGTGGGAGAAGGTCGAAACGTGCTGCTGCCATAGGATGAGACGATCACGTCTAGACTCTTTGGACAGCCCATCGGGGGTACAGGGGTACCTTGGAAGTCCCTCCCGACAGGCCCCGATGCCAGATCGGTGCTGGGCAGGTACTTCCCGGGTACTTGCGATCCCGAGTCGCAATCGTCTAGACCAGCTGAGTCACCCGTGACGAGGTTCTAAAATTATCCTCTTTTGATTTCGGCGTCTTTGTCTTTGGACGGTCATTGCCATTGTTCCCACATATCCACCTGAGATACAAAATCTATGGAGTACAACAGAAATAGGTATTCCCCCTAAGCTCCCGGGCCTCAAGGGTCCACCTGAGACGCACGGATTCTGCTTCCAAGTATTCTGCAGATGCGATGCAGTAGCGCAGAGTGCATATCTCCGGAGAGGGTCGGATCTGGCGTGATCGCTAGATTGACTCTTTATCACCCCATAGTCGAGCCAATGTCCTCAGATGACATTCGGCAGACGAGATGTCCATTACGCGACCGATCATGCAAGGAGAGTATGGTTTTGAGCAATAGGCTGTGAACAAACCATATCCGAAATGACGCCATAAATGCCTCGATGAGTCTAAGGATTCAATATAAACAGAACCAGGCTTAAACCGGTGGGTATCAATACATCATCGCCCACCCGGTACTTTATTCAAGGTAACAACGTTGTTTGGGGATTCCATAAGAAGGTAATTCAAGGTTGCCATAGCATGATCCAATCAGTAATAACCGGCTATGGCGAGAATGAAAAAAAAAAGATCGGCGGACATCGAGATTCTGGCTGTGGGGGAGATGAAGTGCCACATATACTGCCACGTCGCGCTATAAGCGATCAGATGAATCTCTCAGGTGCAGACACTTGGTCGTTGTGGCCAGACTGGGCTAGTTGTCGATCTTCCGCTGAGGTGTGTTTCGGGTCTATGGGGAGGAAAACGGGGGCTTCGAGAATGATCCCTGATGCCTAAGACGAAAATTCTTCAGTGTTTACATCAGATGTCTCACCCCTTAGGCGTTACTCTGTGGTTGATCTTTTCTGGTCCGGTCTGTCTCTTTTTTTACACTCCCGCCTTCTTCCGCCGGGTACCGAAGGGTTTCCCTGGATAGGTCGTTTGGGGATAGAGATATCACAGGGCGAGCCTGGACAAATGGTTCAAGGGTGGGTCGTGACATCTGTCAACAGGGACATAATACATCATAACAGCCAAGGATTGACGCTAATATCGCTGCAGAGCGGTTTCTGGAGAAGACAAAAGTCGATGATCCGATGTGGAGAAAAAGTGATGCTAACGTTTCGGGCCTTGGGTCTCGATGCTATCTGGGTATCTACTAAACAATATCGTACAAAACAAAATGGCTCATGGTTTATCGACCTCCATTGGCTCCCCCGGAGGCGCTAGTTGAGTCGTGGGTGTGGAAGGAATTTCGCCATTGGAATGTGTTAGGTTGACTCCCTTCCCTGTAATCGACTCGGCCTGACCGTCGCTCTTTTCTGGTTGGTATCTTACTGTGCCTGGGCCCGGCTTACCCGTAAACCGCTCGGGCACTCCGCGGGCAGCCTGAGCCGGGCCGACAAAGCACCCAAGCATCGAGCTCCAGATATACCCTTCCGAGAGCATACGGCGGATTTGGCCATATGCGTATGAGTTGGCGTAGGGGAGAGCGGTTTCTGGGTCGCGGTAACGCGAAGGCAATGAGGTGATGACACAAAGTGATGACGAGATTTCTGGAGTGAGGTTAGCCACATAGCTCAATTCGGAACAGCAAATGTGATATGATACAACATACTTGTCAAGCGAGCGGGCTTCTTGGCGTTGAAGTACATGCTGTATTTACGATGGTTGGCGGTCGCATAGTCAAAGTTTTCCAAGATTGTGAGAGAGCGTCCCGTGTGCTCAATCACTGGAGGGGGTTGTGGAATCTCTGGTTGTGTTGGTGCCGGAGCTATCCCATCTGATGACTGCAATTCGTTCTGTGCTGTAGATGGTTGATTTAGGCTCGAGGTTGAGGCGTTTTCGGGCACCGGAGCTTGACTAGGTGCTGTAGCGGCCGGCGAGGCTGGAGGAGCCAATGCGATCTCAGTGCCGATGGATGTGGCCGAATCAACTGGCCGAGATTCACCCACTAGCGGGTGTTCTCGTACAGCCGACACGGCAGCATCTGGTTTGGGGATCTCTACCGAAGTCCGTTGGGCATTAGCGGCGTTGGAAGTAGGCAAGATTGCCTGGTCCTTGGATTCTGGGACTTCGTGATTTGCCTTGACAGCATTTGAATCCGCTGCAGCCGCCGGCGGTTGGTCCACATCCATAGCATCGTCGTTCTTAGTGGGGGTCGGGCTTGGCAATTTTTGGGTAGAGTCATTCCCCGCAGAGTTCGATAAACGACGAGGCGCTGGAATTTCCACAGCAAACATCTTTCTCTCGGGGCCTTTCAACAACTCCAAGCCTCGTCTTTCGTCGGGCTGGGCCTTGTCATGTTCAGAGCTTGGCACTGGTGCACTTGCATCAACCTCTGAGGCTTCCTTTTCCATAGCATTCTCGTTGCCTTGTTCAGTAGAGTTGGTCGATGTTGGCTCTATATCCGGGGATTTTGCCCGCGGTTGACTGACGCTCGTTCCCACAGATACTATAGATGTGTCTGTATTCCCCACAGTCGGAGCTGCGATATTTTCTGATGGCGGCTCATCTTCAGGCGGCTTTTGATCTAGGGTGGGATTGAGATTGGGCAAAGTTGAGTTGGGAGCGACTGTGATCCCAACTGCAGAGGAATTTGGCGTCAGTTGTGATGGGGCTGTAATAGAGACAGGGGCGATTCCTGCAGCGGTAGCAGGTCCCAGAGGTTTCAGCTCTGCTGCGGCTTTTTCTTTCTCTTCTTTCTCCTTTTTTTTCTTCTTCGACTCTTCTTTGTCTGGTTTGGGTTTGATGTCGATTTTACCCACCCGCGTAAGTCGTCCATTGGTCCATGTGGCCACACCACTCCAGTAAGACATCACTGGACCATCAAGACGGCGGTTTTGTAGTGCCTCGATTCTTGCGCGTCTTTCATCTGCCTTTCGTTTTTCCGACAGCTCCCACCGGTTCAAACTTTTGCTATTGAGCCGTTCGATTCTTGCAGCTTCCGCAAGATGATCCTCCTGTGTCATCTGTTTCGGCTTCAGATGGGCCTTCCGCTTCTCTGCCTCCTTCATGGTAGCGATGATGCGGACTCGCTTCTCCTGGCTATCCTTGAGACGCGCATGCGTAAGCTCCTTGTTGACCATGGTCTGTCGACGCGAGGATTGTCGAGTAGGCCCATCTTCCAAGGTGGGAATCCACGAAATGCGCTCTGACTTCTTTTTCGGGCGAGGAGCGGCGGCCATGGCGGATGGAGCGGTCGGATCAATCTTGACTCGTTTGCGTAAGGTTTGGAACCGGAGATCATTCTGTGTTTTTCGTTTCTTGCGCTCTTCTTTCTGTAGTTTCTGTTCGCCTTCGTAGTCGTTTTGCACGTTCGGTCCCTGGTCTTCCTCCTCGTCGGACGATTCAAGCGCCAGGTCATCCTCCGCGTCGGGATCTATCACGTCCGCAAATTCGTTATCATCTTCAACTTCTTCGAAAAGAAGCGCCAAGTCATCATCGGCGGCCGCCTCGAGGAGAGCAGACATGTGCAGTCCTGCAGTGCTTCGTTTCGCGCGCCCTTTGACCAAAGATTCCACGGGCATCTCTTCCTCCATCTCCGAAGACTGAAGCCCAGAGGATGGGTCTTCTTCCATTATGTCGGCCATATTGTTACTGATAGGGTGGCAGACGCCTTAAGATAGTCGGTTAAGCATCGGACGCGAGACGGGACGCGTGCGCGACAGGTTATGCTCGAATCGCGAGTCAAGGATCCGTAAATATTTGATAGTAAAAGCAATCTGGATGTGAGGCCCGCTACACAACTAAATGAAAGTCGTTGAAGTGATGGCAAGGTAGCGTTTACGCGAGCAGTTTGTCAAGGAGAGAGTGGCTTGACCGCAGTGGCGCGAAAGAAAAGTTGAATGCCTCAGGCATCAAGAGCTGGCCAATAGTCTTAGCTAACGTGTTTACATCGACCTTGAAGCAACGACACCAGCTTCTATGATAGTTCATTTGATACTACTGCCATTAAATAGGGATTGCTTCCACTAACATATGTCAACATCGATCAATATAGAAGTGCGAACACATCTCATGACCACGATGCTACGAACTGTCCGGTTGTTCCGCCGTACCCAATGTTTTTAGAACTTTGGCGGACCCTCCGAAGATCCAGAACGCACTCCGAAGCTCTTCATCCAGTCGGCAATGGCCTGGCCAGATAGGTGGCAGTGCCATTGATGAGAGACGTCGAAAGGCCAGTGCATCTTGAGGTGGCATTGGTAGCGAACCAAGACGGAGACACGTACCTGATCCATATCCCTTGCGCGCACTCCAGACGCGGGTTTTGTGTGGTTTTAGAACAAACAACGAAAGCTCCTTGCGTGGCTGCTTGCATCATAATCCATATCCCAGGATGATATCTCTCAGACTCATGACGAGTCTCCCCCATTGTGGCACATATACATGGTATCCTGAAGTCAAGCATTCAAGCGTTGAGACATGACGCACTGAAATGCGGGGCTTTTTCTGCGTTTCCACACTCGCTCTTTTCGGTGCCATGAGATTTCCCCCGAAAGAAAACCTTGGGCTCGCTTCTTTTGAGGGAGGGGAAGAATACCGCCGTTCTGCACCAGGGCTGGTTCTTACTGGGATCTAGGTACTATATAAGTTTGCCCCGGTGTTGATGCCTCAACCATATCCAGGCAACAGCCAGAATGGAGTCTCGGGTTGCAAATCAATAACATCCATGGGACTGTGCTATTTTCAAATGCCTAGAGGAACTGCCGCTTTCCGATGTGTCTGTCTGGGAGGTACACACAATATGTGAATGCTTATACTTGGTACATCGTAGTTGCGAGTCCTCTATGCACCTTGGATCCCTGGGTATAACCCACACTTGCAATTAAAAAATGCAAAGCCTCAGACTATGTCCAATGATATTCACATAATATAGCGTGTTTAAATCAAAATTGACCTAGATTAACAATTGTATTGTGGGTGAAGCTGAAGAGGGCCACTCTCCACCAACCACAGCCATCTTCCTCGGGCATCCGGCCAGCTCCCCAACATCTCTTCTCCTTCTTTTCCTTTCCCCTTCATCCTCCCTTGACTTCTTCCTCACTTCTTTTTTTTCTTTTAATTTCTGCATTATTAGGGTGAATTCAACCTTTGGTTAGTCTTGAATCGACCGTCTTTTTCTCCGCGACTGACGCTCGGTTCCAGCCACCTCGATCCCTTTGGACCCGGATCATCCTTGCGATCTCTCATTTATTTCTCGCTTGACGCACTCTATGCCAGACCGTCCGTGTGCATTTGCCGTGTTTTTGAGCCTTTGACGACCATAGAAAAGGACTTTTCTCTTTTTTTTCTTCCAACTCAACGCGATTTGCTTTGGGACACCGGCAGACTGTCATACACCCCGAGCACAGAGAGATTATCGTCAAAGACCCTCGACCCTGGAGAGTGGTATATGCATCTGGAAACAATCGGTTTTGGTACGAATCACCCCCACGTTTGGTCTCGACTCTCCAGGAGTGCTCTGTCGACCCCTCCCGCCTTGCGACCCCCGTGACAAAACACCCATTTTAGATCACCAACTAATTTTGACTCCCGTTTGTGCACAGTGCCTCTTTGATAATTCTCAACGATCAGTTCTTGCAATCCTACCATCACCCTATCGTTATCCCATGGTGCCTGTCCCCCACTGTTGAACAACAACTCTCCACTGGGGTTTGATCTTGCTCTGTTTTGGCAGTCGCGCAGAGGGCATACATCGAAAGGGACTCGCGCATCTCCTTGCTGAAGGAATAAAGTGATAATCCATAATGTTGCCTGTTTCGCGATCTGATGGTCAGATGAGTTTCAATTACATACCAACAACCCAGTCCATGTCGGGTACCTCGACGGGGCGCAGCTCCCCGAGTGATCTGGCTGGGTCTGGAAATACAAGAATGCCCTTTGGACCTTCTCCGGGGTCCATTGGTAGTTCAAGGCCGGGAGCTGGCTCCCCTTCTCATGAATTGGCCTCCCGGCTGTACTCGAAGCGGTAGGTTTGCGAGGTGGTGATTCGGAAGCTGCGACATTGAGCTGACATATCCCTTCTATCGATAGAGCCCGTGAAATTCAAGCGCAAGAGGGCGTTTCACCTAGCATTTGGGGACCGCCGACTAGCGGTCATTCAACCCCGCTTCGCGAAAATATCCCCGAATCGCCGAGTCAGGATAGTTTCCCTGAACTGATCCCAACCTCCAGTGGCTCCATGGACAGCCCTGGCCGCCGGGCTCGTGCTGGAACAGTGCCATCTCGATTTCCCCCGATGGGCACACTAAATGAGATCGATCTTCAGCAGCCGTTTATGTCGCAGACCTCACGACCGACTCCCTCCACCAGTCCTTTTAGGCCCCCGGGCGTTTCCGGCATAGATACAGGCTCCAAGATCGCGAGTTCGGCTGCTGGACCCAATCCAACATCGCTATCCCGTCTTCGAGCTGGTTCAATGCCGCAGAGAAGCAACTTCTTAGGAGGCGGTGGTCCCTTCGGTCCATCATTGTTTTCAACCAACTGGTCGACGGGCCGTGACAGGGCTACAACCTTAACCAGCATTCGATCTTCAGAAGGGCCAACTTCTCCTAGCCACTCTTCGTTTTCGAGGGATGGACTTGCCGATACCGACGTCAAGACACTGGACTATCTCGGGCTTGCTGAAACTCCTCAGCAGGCAATGGCCTCCCTTGCACGCCCCTCGATGGAGGCTTTGATGCAACAGCAGCAACAACAGCAGCAAGCGTCCGCGTTGCCGCCACTCCTGGCTGAGTTGGCAATGATGAAGAACAATAATCGATTCCGCTCATATTCTGTCAATGCGAAAGAGAAGTATGCGGATGATGAGGATCTCGAATATGAGAGCCGTTACTCTCAACTTCCCTCGGGCACCATGACACCAACAGCCGCGGCAACCGCCGCTCAACTTGCCGCTACACAGGCTCAGATTCATCAGCACAACCTCGCGGTTCAGGCTTTTGCTAGTCATGCCTCTGTCAGTAGACCCCGTGCACGGACTGCTGGCATTTTGGAGGCACCTCCCCAGCGATCATCCATCCGTAACTATCTTGCTACTCCTTCACGGCTTGACAACAGCTTTAGCGCCGCCGATCTACAAATCGCCGAGAATGGCGAGTACGACGAATTGTCCGAGGCGGTCCAGTTGATGCACCTCGGCGGCACCGGTATTCCCACCATGGGTGGCCGGCAGGCCGGTGAGATGGCAGAGGAGAATAACCAGGATGGGCCTACCAGGGCGCTTTGGATTGGTAGTATTCCCGTTTCAACAACTGTCACTTCTCTGGAGGCCATCTTTGGCATGTATGGAAAGATCGAGTCCACCCGCGTCTTGACTCACAAGAACTGCGGATTTGTCAACTTCGACCGCCTTGATAGCGCTGTGCAAGCCAAGTCGCTGCTTAATGGCAAAGAGATCTTCCCAGGCGCAGGACCAGTAAGAATTGGTTACGCCAAGGTTCCTGGTGCATCGGCCACCGGTACCCCTGGTGCAAATGGTATCCAGTCGTCTCCAACTCCTGATCCAAACTTCAGATCAAACCTTGCTGCAGCAGACGGTTCGGATCGGGCAGACAACGGTAACATTATTCCTCAGATCCCGGCACTGGCCGATCTGTTGCCTGAGATGGTGCAAATTGTGCAAGAGTTCGGCGCTAGTGAAGATGATTTACAGAACATCACCGCAAGCATCCAGACTTCTATCGGATTCCAAGCTTTCGAGGATGAAATTCCCTCGGTTCAAGAACCGAGTCAGTCCCGGATGTTCGACGCTCCTCGTCTCCGTGACATTCGGAAACGCATTGACAATGGTGCATGCTCGATCCAAGAGATTGAGGAAACTGCCGAGGCCATGCTTCCCGAGATTGCAGAACTAGCATCTGATTACTTAGGCAACACTGTTGTTCAAAAACTGTTCGAGTTTTGCTCTGAACCCACGAAGGAACAGATGCTGGCCCACATTGCACCCCATCTTTCTGAGATTGGTGTTCACAAAAATGGAACCTGGGCTGCGCAAAAGATCATCGATGTTGCGAAGACTCCTGGGCAGATGCAATTGATTGTTGATGCCCTCCGCCCCTACACTGTCCCCCTTTTCTTGGATCAATATGGAAACTATGTCCTGCAGTGTTGCTTGCGATTCGCTGGCCCCTTCAACAACTTCATCTTCGAGTCCATGCTCAGCCGGATGTGGGAAGTCGCCCAGGGACGTTTCGGCGCCCGAGCGATGCGGGCTTGCCTAGAAAGCCACCATGCCACGAAGGACCAGCAGCGGATGCTCGCATCTGCTATCGCTCTTCACAGTGTGCAATTGGCTACTAATGCCAACGGAGCTCTTTTGCTCACCTGGTTCCTTGATACGTGCACATTCCCCCGCCGCCGAACTGTGTTGGCCCCGAGACTTGTGCCTCATCTCGTTCACCTCTGCACTCACAAGGTTGCATACTTGACTGTTCTCAAGGTGATCAACCAGCGCAACGAGCCGGAAGCTCGAGACATTGTCCTAAAAGCACTTTTCTTCAGTCCCGGTGATGAAGTATTGGAGAAGATTCTGAGTGACCAGACATCCGGTGCGACTTTGATCTTCAAGGTCCTCACTACACCGTTCTTTGATGAGTCTATGCGGGCTGAAGTCGTGAAGAACGTGTCTAAGGTTCTCACTAAACTTAAGGCTTCTCCCAGCCAAGGCTATAAGCGTCTGATGGACGAAGTTGGCCTTTCTTCGCGAGGAAACGGTCGGGAGCATCATCATGGACGTGAGCACGGAGCTGGCCACTCCACCCCGGAGAAATCACAGCACCGACAATCCTCCCGCCACGGAAGCACCGGTTATCCAGCTCAGCCTTCCATGGATAGGCAGTTTAATGGACAGTTTGCTCCCACCGCCTTTGGGCAGAGTCCCGATTCCCGCCCCATCTCGTCTGACCAGGTCAACAGCACGTCTCTTGATCCTTACTCGACCAACGGGCTTGGGAACCATCTGAACGGCCTTCCAGGTGCAGGCGCATACAGCCAGGAACCTCTGAGCCAGCAACAACTACAATATCAAGCCTACCTCGCCGCCCAGGCTCGTGGCGTTTCATCTGGTTATCCTGGCATTCCAGGCGCCAACTATGGCTACCCCACAGGGTCGCCTGCCCTCGACAACCTACGGTCTTTGCAGCCTCAGCAAGCCTCCCCGCTGTCCGCTGGACCGAGCCAGATGAGCCCTAACCAGATGCTTGGCCAGAACAGTTATCAGCAGTTCAGCCCCGTTGTCAATCCTGCCCAGATGTACCAATACCCTCCGCAATACTACTCCCAGGCACAGCCCGTGCAGGGGCAGTCGAGCGGAGGCCGACGTGGACGGGTGAGTTCATTCTCAGATCGACTCTAACCGTCTCGTACGGCGTCAATAGACTAACGCATATCTTGCGCCCAGCGTTGATCCATCTTCGCGTATGATTTCTAATCGATCTTACTGCCTTCCCATCTACATGTATAAATTTTCTCGATCATCTTTTCTTCCTTCTTCTTTCTATCTTCTTTCCATTTTTGGAGACCAAGCGGGTTTATCTAGCTACGCGTTGTGATTTCACTGTCCTATCTCTTCGCCCTGATCGGACGCTGGATCGCCGGCAGGGGAGAATTGGAACCGGGAGAGGAACTGGATGCGCATGGAGAATCGGTGGTGAAAAGTCTGGTGTGTCTCTGGGTGGAGGCTCAATTTTGTATCTTCTTCAGCGTTTTTGAATGACCTTGTATCTTGTGATCTAACGATAGGCCTTTTTCTCTTCTGTCTATTGTTCTACGATCGGGATTTTGGCTGCTTTGGGAGCATAGTGAATCGGTTAATGTAGATGCTTTCGCATCTTTAAAAATCTCCTGATTTAGTAGACGATGTAAACACATTGTATCGATGAGCGTCTGTTTTATCGGATTGTTTGCGCCGCAACAGCTAACTACCCACGTAAGATACATATTAGGACTTCGAGATATTCCACACAATCAATTCAAGCTAACGGATATCAATCTCAAACTTCATCTATATACATTTCCTAGTCCCATGATGAATTTGTATGAGAGGTTAGGACCTCCACATCTACCCGAAGCCGCAATCCACCACTTCTCTTTTTCACCGTTCCCAACAATGGAGAGACCACAGAGACATAATCCAAAATGAACAATCCGACCCGGGAAAAGACTGCAATTCTCTTTCAGGCAGAGAGAAACATCTTTCTCCTCGATATCCCACATTCAATTGCCCTCGCGCAAGCACAATGGCTGGCACCGCGCCAACAGCTAGCCGGGGAATCGAGCTCGGAGACAGGAAAAGGCACGCACAATAAGAAAGTAAGCCTACTCTCATGCTCCCCTCTGGAAGAGCCATATCTATCTACGGAGCCCAAAAAGCCAGCTGCTCTCGCCAAGCTCCTGGAGACCATTCCCATCTCTGAGCGGCAGTTTCACTCTGAACTGATACTGCCCCTGGTAAGGGATTCTATGGAAACTATCAAGACCGGTTTCTCTGCCGATCGCCGTTGGTGCTTTGCTCGAGCTGTGCCTACTGAGGGATTCCATGATAGCCAAGCACATGATCAATCCCTGCGGAAGCGCCGGAGGGGAGCGGATTATCCGTTTTCACAGTCTACGCTTGATGACTATGTTTCAACGCAAGATGAGCCACCGATGATTCTGTCGACTACGTCGCTGAATGTATTTGAGTCATCATGGGATCTTGGCATTGTGAAGAACCCGTCATTAGAACAAGCAATCATCAAGATTAAGGACTGTGCCTGTGATGAGACGGGTTCTTCACAGGAATTTATCGTTCCCCCTCAGTCGAGTTTTGTACTTTGTACACTGCCCTTGTCTAGAGCTGAAACTGACGTTTCATCTACATACAATGATTATCCCATCCCTGGGCTTTCTCGGCACCAGAGGTTCAATCTTATTCTCATGGATCCGCCCTGGCCAAACAGATCTGTGCGGCGCAGCAGGCACTATGTAACCCATCATTATTCTGAGATGGATGTGCTGACCAAAGGATTACGAGATATACTCCGCGTGCACTCGCACCGCCCTCACACAAAACCGGGGCTGGGCCCATCGGAGAGCCCGTCTGAAGCACAGATCCAAAGCCAACAATCCATAGCTGCAATATGGATCACCAATGCAGAAAAGTCCCGTCGAGCTGCATATGAGGCCTTGCGAGGCGCTGGCTTTTGCGTTAGCGAAGAATGGGTATGGGTGAAAACCACGTGGGACGGACGACCGATCTCAGAATTAGATGGTCTCTGGCGAAAACCGTACGAAATCCTTGTTATAGGCTGCAAGGACGGTCATCACGTTGAGCGAGATGACGACTCACCCCTATCTCAAGCAGACCTGACTCGTATGAGTGAGGCGATTACTACACGACGGGTCATCGCTGCTGTTCCAGACCTGCACTCTCGCAAGCCGAACCTGAAAGCGATCTTTGAGCAAGTATTTTTCACTTCTGGTCACACTCAGTCGTATTCTGCCCTGGAGGTGTTTGCGCGCAACTTGACTGCTGGCTGGTGGGCTGCTGGTAATGAGGTTCTCAGGTTCAATGCCCGTGAGTGCTGGGTTGATTCAGAAAATTGAAACTTGCCAGGAAATTGGATTCCGCAATGAGGCGGCACGAAGATGATATTTATATTTATATTGGAATGATTTCCAGTTGCTTACAAGTACAGATGGCGCCTTGGAAAATCCAATCGGCGGTGATTAGTGCGGAACGCCCAGCCTTCACCGTTCCGCGCTGACAAAGTGTCATCTACTTGTCGACATTGCGGTGACACTGGATTCTTGAAATATGATGACATTGGATTATGCTTGATATAAATCCACGGAGAAACGAGAGCTAACTCTTGCTTAACAAGACGACTGCCCGTGTAACCCCCTAAACCCGCCGAACGGATTCAGCCTCATCGCGACATCTGATTGAATTCTCTGTTGCACCTCGCGCGCCAAATTCTAGTCATTGGTAACTTCTTGACTACCATGGCTCAAGACCAAGAGAAAAACGGTCCAGGGGTCAACCTCGACAGCGCCGCACAGCGCCCGAAATGCTTCAGTAGTACATTTCAAGAAGTCATGTTTGTCCTGACCGCTACCATGGCTATTGGCCAGCAGTCGTTCTTCCAGGGCTGTATTGTGGGAGTTACTGCTTCAATTGGCACGGATTTGCATATGAACTCGGCGGAGATCACTTGGATTAATGCTGGCGCATCGTGAGTCTACCATGTTTCTCCCCTTCCCCACACTTCTCTGCTGGGGTTTGAGTTTTCCCTTAGCTTTTGTTGTATATGAAACCTCATCACCACAACCTGGCCTCCGCTATATACCTACATATCACTGACCATGAATATTCCAACAGTCTCACCAGTGGCGCCTTCCTGCTCACCTTCGGGAAGCTCGCCGACATGTTTGGACGCAAAATGCTCTTCATCATCGGTATGGGTGGGTACACCTTCGCACTCCTCATTGCAGGGTTTGCAAACAATGCCATCTACATGGATGTCTTCTCAGGGATCATTGGTCTATTCGCAGCGGCTGTCGTCCCACCAGCTGTCGGATCACTGGGTGCAACTTACGAGAAGCCCTCGAAGCGCAAGAACCTTGCTTTTGCCTGTTTCAGCGCTGGCAACCCCCTCGGCTTTGTGGGTGGTATGATCATCTCCGGAGTTGCGGCTCATTTGTACAACTGGCGCGCTTCCTTCTGGGCTCTTTCTGTTATTTACGCTCTCTTTACTGTTCTAACGGTGTGGACTGTACCGGCCGATACCTTTGCTCGGACACCGATTAGCATGGAAGCTCTGAAGAATTTTGATCTCCTGGGGACGGTATTGATTATTGTTGGGTTTGCGCTCTTCTCAAGTTCGCTTTCGTATGTTTCGCCCCCGGGCTAATGGGAATTGCCCGTTTTCGAGCCCCGCTAACAATTTTCTACAGATTAGCAGGAGACGCTCCGGACGGCTGGAAAACTGGCTATGTCCTTGCCCTGTTCATTGTGGGCTTTTTCATTCTTGTTGGGTTTTTGTATTGGGAGTCTATCGCTAAAAACCCTTTGATGCCTCTTTGGGTCTGGCGAGACCGGAATTTCTCATTGGTATGTATCCCACTCTCCAAAAAAACACGTTCAGGCTAACATCTGCCCAGCTTATGGCAATTTTCTGTCTTGGCTTCATGGGATTCGCGGCAGTCAGCTTCTACCTTGCCCTCTACCTTCAACGAGTTAAGCACCTGAGTGCCCTTGAGATCACTGTTAGACTTCTCCCGATGGTTATCGCCGGGGTGCTGGTCAATGTTGTCTGCGGTCTGATCCTGCACCGTGTAAGCAACAAATTGCTGACGGGTATTGGAGCATTGGCATACGCAGCTTCTTTCCTTATCCTGAGCTTCATGAAGGAAGATGCGATTTACTGGGCATTCATTTTCCCGGCACTGATACTTGTCGTTGTTGGTGCGGACATTCACTTTAATGTCACAAATGTATGCGCTTCCTTTCTTTTCCCTGCGATGGTGTGTCTGTTGGATATTGACAAGCTTCACCTAGATGTACGTGATGTCCACCCTCCCACCGTCCGAGCAATCAATTGCCGGCGGCATCTTCAACACTGTCAACAAGCTGTGCAACAATTTAGGAGTTGGCATCGCAACTTCTGTTCAGAGTTCTATCGTCCGTCGGATGACCGCTTCCTCACCCCCGATTCAGCCTTACCTCTCGGTTTATTGGTTTTCGGCAGCAACGGCCGGACTGTCTCTATTCATGATACCATTCTTGACCATCGGTAAGCAGGGCAATTCTACCCCAGACACCGATAACTCGACTGTCAGTGAGGAGGATCAAGACACAAGAGCTATTACCACTGCCGCGACTTCTGTTGTACCATCTGCTACAGAGATCATGGAGCTCGGGAAGAAATAGCCTCCAGGATTACTTTACCTGGAATACTTTTCGTGGTAGGATTCAAAATAATGTGTGCGATATCGCATAGCCTGGAAAATACCCCTAATACACATATAGATTACATCTTTGTATGCTTCCAAATATAATTTGCGGTTGAATTCCAGCCACAAAGCTAATCTCATTCCTCAACGTGCTCAACAAAAGAACAATGCCCTCAAGGCAATTGAAAACAAACATGTCTATCCGAATACCAGATCCAGAACGCCACATAAAATCCTCGTAGAACATAAAGCCACTAAACCCCGGAGCACCTCAATCAAACAGAGGCCCCAAGCTCACGAGACTAAACCGCAAATCCGGATTCCCACCCTGAGCCTCCATCTTCAAGAACCTCCTCACACCAAGCTCCAACGCAGCCTCACTGAGCGCATCCTCCCCCTCCTTCAAAACCCCCCGAGCCAAAGGCCCCTTCCGCCGCCCATCAAGCTCCCAAAGCGTCCCATCAAGCCCCCTCACAAAAGCCACGAAATGCAAATCCACATGATCCTCCGCCTGCGGCGCCGCCGTATCCCCCAGCTTCGCCGCATCAGCATGCGCGCTCTCCAACGCCTTACTGTCATATAGCAGATCCGCACGCTTCACCGGCTCCAGCGCCTCCGCCTCACGGAGCAAGATGTCCAGATCTGAGCCTGCGATGACGTGCTTGCGCGACTCGCCGTTCGACACCGCGTGCAGCAGCCCGATCAGCCCGCATGCGTTTCTAATTGTCTGTTTGAACCACATGACTGGCTCGGCGGGCCCGCAGCCGGTGTAGGCATCCTTGGTAGCATCTTCGGCTTCGCGGGAGGATTCGTAGGTTTGGGAGACGGGGAAGACGAGGAGGAGGGCGTGTGAGGGGCGGGGTACGAAGGCTAGCAGGTCTGGCTCGTCGATTGAGAATACGTCGGTGAAGCCCAGGGTTGGGGGGAGGCCTAGTTGGTGTACTAGGTGGGACATTACTTCGGGGTTGTTCTCTATCCGATTTGGGTCAGTTGTCGTGTTGTTGTGTTGTTAGAGGGGAGGGGAGCTGTACCTAGAGGCACAAAGGCCTTTTGGGTGGTTGGGACGTCGACGGACGCCATTCTGATTGAATTGATGCGGCTTGCGACTTGGAGATGGTCTTGCAAGTACGGGTTCTTAGTTGTGGTGAGGACCTGGAGGTTAGGTGTTGAGTTTGGGGGTTGGATTGCGGGGTCGGCGAACGGCACATCGGAGCTTCCACGTTTTCTATAGCGTCCGATACATATTAACTGCGGGTTCACGGCAGTTCGTTGAGATTAGGGGCTATTTAGCGGTGTTTCTGGTTAGATTAGATTATAGAAGTTAGGTAAAATAAACACATAAGACGAAGACAAATAATGACATACTTGTAGAAATCGCTATGTAGGTTATGTCCTCGACACATGCCCCTGGTAGAATATTGGCCTGACAGCCTGAGAAACAAGGCCAATATTCAGGCTCCCACTGCAAACATGTTTGCAGCGCAACGACCAGACAACTACATACGCATAGCTTCGGCGTCTACTTCGTGCTCCACGGAGTATATCGTGGGATCGACCTACGGAGTACGGAGTACATATAAAGCAGGTTGTACATCGGGTTCAATTTATTTGAATACAGATCGTCCATTTCCCCCAAAAAAGGAGACACATTTTTAATCACCGAAGTATCCCCGCCCCTCGAGTGACGAATGATAATGCCCATATGCGCGAAATGAGGTAGCACCCACAAAGCTTTGTTTCCAACACAAGCTAGTGTACGCCTTCTTGACAGCGATCGCCACTTTGTCCGCTTAAAATACTACGGTCTCCGAAAATATCATGTGCCCCATCGGTGATTATCGCGTGGATTTCCGCGGACCCAGTGTCAATTTCGGGCTCCATCGCGTGAAAGTGGGCACCGAGGCAGTTCAAACGAAGCTAGGCCCAACGGCGTGGACTAGCTTTTCGCAAACCCCTGCCGAGATTTGGCTAACACGGAAACCCTGACGAAGACCTGTCAGGAAAAAAAAGCCGGTTTTTCTTGGTCCAGCTCCACGCTATTCACCCAGACACCATGGGACTGGCACATATCAACAGTGTGTGGATCAATGTGCCATCCATTATCTCCAGGATGCTGGTTCTCCCAAGACCTGTCCAATGTGCAATGCGGTTTGATACTACGTATCAACTTTACCTACTCCGTAGTTAGAAACCCTACGGTGGCGAGCCGTCTTGTCGATCATCTTGCAGTTAGCGGTGGATTCTCTGGTCTACTCCGTACTAAAAACGCCCTGGTAATAGCCAAGGCTAATAGGTTCTAGTCCTTCCCTTCCCCTGTTTCTTGTATCTTTTTTCTTGCAAATCCTGGCAGGAAGGGCATTCTTATTTAGAATCCTTCCCCCCACATTTGAATCCTTCTAGGAATGCAAGCATCTAAATCAATGTACCGATAGCATGACCGATGAAAAGCAAAGAAATACCGCGGTGAAGACCATCGCGGCGGTCTTCCTGCCTATCGCTACTATAGCAGTGATGCTGCGCATCTACGTGCGCGGGTGGATCGTCAAGGGATTCGGATGGGATGATGGAACCATGGTGGCTGCACTGGTATGTTTCGATCTTCGAATCCTTCGATCCTTTCTGAAAATCATGCGGGGATGTCGCAGAAATCAAACTAACTCTACGTCAGCTATGCTATGCCATGTTCTGCGGGACTATGCTTGGAGGTTCCATATATGGCACAGGCTACATGTATGAACACCTCGAGCCCAGCGCACGCGTCACTGCCATGAGATATTGGTGGCTCTGCGAAATCGCCTACTGCTTCGCTTCGGTCGGATGCAAGATCTCCGTCTGCATCTTCTTGATGCGAATTACCGTCCGGCGCATCCATATCTGGATCCTCTATATTGTCATGGCTTTAACCGTCCTGGCAGGACTGGTCTTTATGTTTCTCATGCTTTTACAATGCCAGCCACTCTCATACTTCTGGACTAAGGCGGCTCTGGATGATTCCATTCAGGGCCACTGCATTGATATGGATATTATTATCATTATGACCTACGTGTATAGTGCATTTGCGGCACTGTGTGATTTCACCGTAGGCACCATGCCGATTTTCCTGGTATGGAATCTTCACATGAGGCGCCAAACCAAAATTGCCGTCATAGGCATTTTGGGCATGGCTTGCGTGTATGTCCTCATCTTCGGCTTTCCCGGTGTTCCAAGTGACTGACTCGATCCTCCAGTGCTTCATCGGCAGTTATCGTCCGAATTCCCTTTGTCTATACCTTCGGCGACCCTGATTTCCTCTGTAAGATTTACTTTCCCCGGTGCGCACCAAACGAGGACATGAACTAGATACTAACCAATATCCCCACCCTCTAGACGCAACTGTCCAAATCGCCATCTGGTCCAATGTCGAAGCTGGTCTTGGCATTACAGCTGGCAGTCTCGCAACTCTCCGCCCTCTGCTTCGCGTCATTATGGGCACTCAGGCCGAGAAAGATTACTCCACTGGCTTCCCGGGGGCACCGTCACCGTCGGTTTCACGCCAGCTGGGCGGGCCCTATCCTTTAGGCTCGCTGGATGATAGTGTGCAGTCTCGGTTGAGACCGGACAAGCTGGCCGTCACTGTTACGACTATCAAGAGCCAGAGGGATCCTAATGACAGTTACAATATGTCGTCAAGTCCGACTAGTAGCGAGGAGAGGCTAACAATTGATCGCCCCTCGCCTCGCTTAGTCCGTGACATGGGGCTGGGCATTCATCGCACATTCGAGGTCACGCAGACCTCGACGGATACGCATGACGATGAGTGTAGGTTTGCAAGAGAACATGTATGATTTGATCAACGTATATATATGACCAAAATAAAAAAAGTTTATAATAACACCCTATTACTGTCAGTGATTGCGGATTCTTTCTCTTTAGTTGTATACATCGTTGAACTACACGATAACTATAAGTGACACAAAACGAGCCAGATGTAGATTCTGTAATTCGATTCATTCAGTCATAATATTTTGGTCAATATGTATACCCAAGAGGTCTTTATTGACTGGGCTTCTTCCCCTCCTTCAATGGCTTGAAAATATCCGTCCACAGTTCACTTGCCTCGCCCAGGTAGTATGTCAAATCAACATCAGCCATACTAGCATCTCCATCCCCCGTCATAGTCTCAAGCTGCGAGATCAAGTTCTCCAGACCAAAAGCTTTCCCTGTTGCCTGCGTTGCACCAGCTTCAAGCATCACGTTCACAACGTGGATATGGAAATGATAGTAAGTCGGTTGATCTATTCAACAGTCAGCCAAGATAAAAACAACCCAACTCAAATCCCAAATACTCACAATGGACATAAAGCTTCAGCTGATCCTGCTCCAAACTCGGATACATAGAGACCGTAGCCTCCAACACCCTCTGTCGTAGGTACTTCAACCAAGGCACAAAACTCTTCTTCAAATCCCTCAAACTCCAAATATCCCTGCGATGCACTAGCGCCAACAAATGCAACGATCCCATACTCTTCCGATCCCAGTTCAGATCCGGCAACATCAAAAATGCATCTTCGGGTCCGTGGCCCTCGTCTCGCATGATCACATCTTCTTGCTCAGTTCGGCCTTCCAGGATATTGAACACCCAGTTCAAACGTCCCTCCTCGCGCTTGGCTTGCATGTACGGCCGCACATGCTCGCGGTAGATCTGCGCGGTCTCGGTCACCATGCGCAGCTGTTGGTCTGAGTATTTTTTGATGTGCTGTGCTGTGCACGGCCAGATGAGGTTGAGCTTGAGGTCTTGCTGGGGCTGCTGGGCGGCTTCGGCGGGTGTGGGATCTGTGATATTGCTGCCACTGGATGACGCCATGTACCACCGGTAGATGTCGTTGTCACCAAGATTGTTGACTCGGGAGATTGCGGCGTGGAAGGCTTGGAGCACGGATAGAGATTCGGTAGCGAAGGCAGCACGCTCGGCTATCAAGATGCCCTGGGAGTCGTCGATGGTGCCTAAGAGGGCGATTCGGCGGCCATTTTGGTCTGCAGGTGAGGGGGTTAGATTGGTTGCGGGGTGCAAGATTGAGAGTGTTGTTACCTTGTTTGAGGAGCTTGCTCACTTGGAATTTGGCGATTAATGCCTCTGGGGCTAGCTTGCTGGTGTCTGTAGAGTCACTCATGATTGCAGACTTGGGACACGGGCAATGAGAGATACCATCGTCGGTGTCGGATGGTTTTTGTTTATCAGTTGGGCGGTCAGGCTTATCGCGAGGAGTATCAGATCGAGGAACGAGAATTGGGAGTTGATACATCAAGTCGAGGGGTTCCTTTTGATTTCTGATATGCTGTATCCGAAATTGGTACGGAGTATCCATTCTATGCAATGCCAAATACCTGCTCCTGCGTCTTCAACACACATATACTGGGTCAAGCTCATCGAGACCTCCCTCGATTGATAATTGTTGCTTTTATATAGACACATACACTCCACTAGATCCTACTTCGGATTTTGGGTCCATTCTGAATCACAAAGTCCTAAGACCATATCCGCGGAAAGAGGATTCGCTGGCCAGGTCTTCATGTATACAGTGGCACAAGACGTCCGACACCCTGCACACTTCAGGTTATCCCCTGCGGCCTGCCCGGTAGATTCGAAAGAGATGATGTAGTGTCAGCTGACGGGCTCGATGGACCTCTGTGTCATATATCCATCAGTGAAGGTCCTAGTCTGGGGTAGGGAGATCCGGTGATTCCTTCGATGGGCGTGGTGGTTCGGTGCTACGAACCCGAGTGTTCGACGAGCTAGATCGCCGAGATATACGGAGTAGACACATTCAGTCTGCATGTCCCAGCCCCGATTATGAACACGGGCTTGTTCCCTATACCCTGGAATACATAGTCAGCCCATGGTTCAAACTAAGCGATCGTCGATGTTTTTGGCATGGTCGTCGATCTATCACCTTCAGTCAGACAAGTTCACGGGGACCACTGGCTCGGGCTTCAATTCACGTGTGGTGAGAGGGTAGAATGTTTCAGTTCTAATGTGATGTCATGACTAACGCTCTGTAGAAGTGGTAAACGAATGGAGGGATACTATGAGCTACACCCTCACAGCACAATTCACCCGGGATAACCCCAACGGGTCGTACATCAGGAACTATTTTCTGTCCTACGAGTTGGAACCTGGGTATATTTAACTTGGATCATAGACCTGAAATTCTGTAACAATGGGATTCATTTCGTGACTAGCCGTGTGGAAGGAGTTGGATACTCGGCAACAAGAGGGCAGCGTGGTACTGCTAGGTCGGAACTAGCATGCAACCACAATTCAGCAGTCACACACGCAGGACATTGAATTAGGAGACGACGGTCATCCACACATCAAAAGCCGGCAAAGGCCGTAGTCCTGAATTGAAAGGGGGGAGGATACAGACGGAAAGATCGAGAGAAGAAAGCGAAAATAACAAGTACATGAGAAACGCAGATGCGTGAAGGGATAGAGAGAGAGAGTATCTGAATCGTTGGTCCAACTCTGTAAGTGGACAATGGCAATAGGATGTTGATCAAGATATGGCGAGAATCTCCCAAAGTTCTCAGCCCCAGCTAGAGAAAACGGGTGACACAGGAGAAAAAAGATACCGAAAGCGCTGAAGATGAACCGTATGCGTGCAAGATCGAAACTTCTTACCAGGTCGACAACGCGCGTGGCTGCTGTCGCGAGGTGGGTTTATTGAAGGCAGGCTTTCTAAAGCTACCGCCGGAAGCTTCACCGGACTTGTTGTTGGTCAACTTGCGGGGCTTAGCGTTGTTGTTATTATTCGTGTTGCGGCCTCGAGAGGGAGCGGCACCGAACTTGCGTTGAATGAAAACGGTTTTGGGTTCATCTGCGCCGGGAAGAAAGACCGAAACGCGGGTATTGCCATGGTTATCACGATCATTGTATCCAACCCAGAAAGGCTGGACGGTCTGTGATAGCACGGGTTTGATGTTCTTACCCCGGGCTCTCTCTGATGGTCGAGTTGCGCTCCAAGAGTTCTGGGGTGCCATGTTTGGCACACGGACGGCAGGCAAAGAGCCGGGCTCGCGGTCTTCAAACATCTCATCCTGTTCATTGACTTGTCGAACGGCAAGATCGCCATCGCCAGTCTGGGGACTAATCCTGGTATGAGGGATAGAGACGGAGACTGGCGCGGTATGAACGGACAGTGGCTCTTTAGTGGCAGATGTCACAGCCAAGACATTCCTTTTCTCGGTCGAAGTAGTCTTGCCGAAGAGACAGTTGATCTTGTCCTGCCACGACTGAGCAGTCGAAGGAGGAGGTCCTGCATTCCGCGGATGGCGCAGCTGCCATCGAAGCAAATGTTGGCGGAGCCACCGGGACACGGACGATCTTTGGTGGAAGCTTCACAACAGGTTTAGGACCTGGTAACTGAACATTGGGTCGGTCATGAATTCCGGAATAAACGGGGTGACTTGACACTTCTTCTGGGGGAGGTGGCGAAGGACTGCTTCGTTCTTTTTCAACTTGGCGCTTCGTCTGTTCGGATGCTGAGGGGAAAAATCGGGAGCTGCGTGTAGGAACACTGGCAGATGGACGAACACCGATATCAGTCACAGGGAGACCATCCACAGGAGTATCGAGGCTTGTAAGTGGATTTGATTGCTGTTTCGCGATCGCTTTGGCGATCTCCTCGTCGTTGTTGACCACCTGTTGTTCGATCTTGCCTTTATGTCGGTGGCCCTTGTCATCCACGCTTATTTTTGTCCAAGTCGTTTCAAACTGAATCTGGCGGGGTGGCTGGTTGCGCCTCTCGTTGATTTTCTCGAGAAACTTCTTACGGTCCTCGGACTCCTTCTGAGGAGCGGTCACGGTGTAACGTTGCCAATTTTGAACAGCAGATTTGTCCTGGGCGTTCCGTGACCCGATTGGGCCGGGGCGACCAATTGGGTTCAGCTGTCCAAATGAGGGATGGCGTGCCTCAGATGACGGCAGAGAGACAGTTGGCTCCTGAGGAGCAGAGAATTTGGGAGGAGTAGGCATCGCTGGTTGATCTAAACCCAGTTGACGTAGAGAATGCTCATGAGACGGGAAACCCCCGAGAGGTTGATCAAAGATGCCGTTCCCGAGAGTGGGAGGGTGGTCAGAGCCAAATGGTTTCCAAGGATTTTTGACTGGCTGAGAAGTCGTAGCGATGCTGGGATGAGACCACGGTGATGTGGAGACGTTCAAGTTTCCCTGCCACTGAGGGCCGTGCTGCTCATCTAATTTTGTATCAGATGATTTGCTCTGGACAGGTGAGGCTGATTCAGTATTGAAGTGGATGGCAGATGCAAGAGCAGGGTCACGCTGAGGATCTTGGTGGGGTGAAGAGACACGTCGGTTGAAGTGTTTGTTTTCAGAGGTTCGATCATGCGCATCAGTGAATTTCTTGACGGTATCTGGATGATGCACCTTGATCAAACCCCATTCTTTGGGTTCACCAGTAGGTTCTGGGACAGGAGGTTTAGGAGGCGAAGAAATAGAAGAGATGGGTTGATGAGGAAGTTGAGAGGGGGTTTGTGGAGGATGGTGAGGTTGAGACTGAGGTAGAGGCTGTGATGGAGGAGGGGCAGGTTTGCGAGGTTCCGGAGCCTTCTTCTCTGGTGCAGGACCCATTGCCGCAAGGCGTTGCCTAATCCTCTCCTTTTTGGCCGCTTCTTCTTTCTCCTCCTGCTCAATTCTTCGTTGCCTCGCCTCTAGACGTTTTTCCTTCATTATACGCTCTTGCAGAGCAACAGGATCTTCTTGAGGTTCTTGGAAAGCCTGAGGAACTGCTGCCTGTGTCTCCACAGGGGACATACCTACATTGATAGCGGGATGTGCCGCGCCGTTTGGTGCAGAATTAGGAATCTCATCTTTACCATGGTGCTGCTCGTGACTCATTAATGCTGGATCTCCCAACCCGTTCACCTGAGAGCCTCTTCGAGCGTCGTTGTATCTTGGAGGGGCATCAAATCGTCCAATTGACATCCTACGGGCAAATCCTCCGCTTCCACCGCTCACGTTGGATGATGTGCGGCGACGATTGCCCCAGCCCATGCCATCTTGATGGCTAGACCTGTGCGTTTGGAATGCAGCAGATGGCTCTGCCTGTCCACTTGGGTGATCATTCGGTCTCTGCAAGACCGCAGGAGCACGATGGTGTTGGTCGTGACGCCATGATCCTCTCCTAGTATCTGCCACTGGCTCGTACTGAGCAGATCGAGGATTGAAAAGTTCTCTTGGCAAATCTGAGTGGGGTTCTTTCCATGCACGGTTGAAATCATCCGCTGCAATCTCCTTAGGTGGTATTGGCATTGATGCATGGTGGCCGTCATCTCTCTGGTGATATCTTACGGGCATACGCTGCTGGTGAGGTTGCACCGGGGCATTGATTGGAGATACTCTTTCAACAGGCGGCAAAGTAGCCCAGGGAGACTTGGATGGCGGCGCTGGGCTTGTAGAGCTGGACGGGATTTTGTCGTTTGTACCTTTGGAGGAAGCACTCGCAGTTCTAGCTTGCCGTTCGGCCCCCAATCCAACTTTGAAGACGAGAGCATTTGGCCCCATCGATGGAGTTGACTTCGGTGCAAGTTTGGGAGGCTCCTTTGCAATTCTTGGCTCCACGGGTGGTAGCTCTTTGGGCTCCTGATGAATAGGAGCCGGCGGGGGATCATTATGCGGTTGAGTGAGATTGACCTTAGTTCCGTCTGTCCATTCAATTGTCTCAGGAGCCCAGTCATCTTCATCGTCGTCAATATCCGCCCACTTCGCTTCGGAGCTAACGGCCCCATCTTCTTGGATGCGAGAGGTCATATGAATTCCATATTGTTGTTTCAGCTCTTCATCGGTCAAATGCTTTGGCGGAGCGGGCGCGACGGCTACACGAATATCAAAATCAGTTTATGTGATCCAATCGCGTTTCCTGACTTATACATACGTCGATTTTTGTTCCAAACTTGATTCGGATCAGGCCCTGTCCCACCAAGTTTGCCTCCGGCAGCCCCAGTCTTAGAAAACGAGTCACGCATCCCGAGGGTGGTCTTTGCAACCAAGCGCGGTCGGGAGCTTAGCTGGGGAGTACCGAGCGGCGTTGTTGACGTTGATGGCGCTGTGCGAGTTAGCATCAACTGTGAGAAATGTCTGAGGAGGAAATACCTTTCTCAGGCACCTTGGGTGGTGTTGGAGCTCCCGGTACCTTGTTTACCGAGAACTTGGCAAATGAAACAGGCTTGAACCCTGATGGTTTTTTGACAGAACTGCTACGCGGCTGATTCTTGCTGTCTGAACGACTTGCATCCGATTCCGAACCACCTTGTGATGCAGTATCATCTCCGCCGTCCGATCCTGAAGCCAGCCCGTTAAGTTCAAGGACTCTGGTCGCAACAATTCCAGCACCTTGCTTAGAGATATCCTGCACCCAAATTAGCCAGTGATTTGGGGCGCATCCAGGAGCGATGCTCACCGTCGTTGAGTTTCCTGCGTTCTTGTCTCCAGCAGCTTCTCCTCCCGGGGAATCAAACGATTTCATTGTGTCATGGTTCTGCTGATCATTCAAGTTCGAGTTGGTTGATTTAGTGGTGTTCATTGCGATATGTTCAGTCTTCCCTGCGTCCCCTCCAGCAGATAGGTTGTCGTTGGTGCTCGCAGGAACGTCGGAAGGCGAAGGCTCGCCGCCCGACAGGGTCTGATCTACCACATCGCGGCTGCTCTGCTCTGCCATAACAATACTCGATTCTGTTTTATATCGCATTTGCGACCATGTAAGCCTAGTGCCCTGGCGGTGGGAGGATGGATCCGGGGAGGTAACAGGCAGCCGCAGATCAAACATGCCAGGTTCCCCAAAAGACATACCTATCGTCAAATATCAAGGATCGCCACAGTTGCACTGGTTCCTTGACTGGTTGCACCCTGAATATATGGGATACCACAACCAGGGATGGGGTCGGCTAACACTCTCGAAAGCTGATGGAAGTCCGGCGTGTCAAGTTGGGCTCGATGTGGAGAGCACGATCGCGGAATCGATAGGCGCGGAGGTCTTGGGATATACCGCGGCCCGAGATGTCCCAAAAAAGGGAGTAGGGTAAAGAGGAGGGTATTCGGCGTAAGGGCGGTTGATGATACAAAGATAGGAGGATGATACGAGATTCAAGAGCCAACTCGGGTTGAAGCTGAGGGTCGCTGTTTTCGGTTTAGCGTGGCCCGGACGAAACTTGTGAGGTCTGCCCACCTACATATAGGTACACACACCTTGCTTGGGCTCTGCAAAAGCCCTAATCGTGGTCAAAGAAATGAGTCCTTGATTTGGATACTTCGTTGCCTATTAATGAAATTTGACAGTTATTTAAGAGAATTTGGCGATGAAGTTATGTGCTGCGATGACGGACCGTGGAAAGAGCCCGTCACTCAAGGTTCACTATTTAGGTACAAACTTCCATCCATGTCTACTGTGGCTATTGGAACTACGGGCAAGACGAGGCAGAATAGTAGATGAATATTGAAACACAGTGAGATTCTAATTTCTCGCTAAGACCACAGGTTTTCCCTTGCACTGGGGTAGAGAATCCAGTATATACATCAACTCTCTGCCCATTTGATGAGAAGAAAAAGTTTAGTGGGGGTGGTTCTTGTGGTGACCTGGCAAAAAAAAAAACCAAAGTTAGTGATGTTTTATCAACGAAGAGGGATACCAGAGTGGTTAAGATAGTTTTGGGGGAACCTACGCAGGTGGAAGTAGTACTCCATGCTGTAACCGAGGATCAAGATACCGGCGATAGCGTGGACAAGGGCTGCCTCAATCAGTATTTGGATCAAGACAAATTGATACTTGAGAATACATACGAGCAGCAGAAGCGTTCTTGCCGCTGAAGTAGCGGGCCTGGTAGCGACCGATGAGGCCGGTGGGCTTGACAGCAGCAGCAGGGCCGCGGGGAAGACCAGCGTAGAAGGTCACAACACGCTCCATGCGGGCGGCATCCTGGGCGGCACCGATGGCCTTGAATGAAATCATGTCAGTTACGGAGGCGATAGAAAGGCGGCATTGGGTTATATTCCAGGCTTCACGAAAAACGGCCTCGGAGCGGCACGGGTGCGGAAGGGGTGCACGGAGTCGAAAAGCGCAGCGTGGGAGAAACTCACGTTAGGAGAAGCGACCTATAGTAGTTATTAGCATCGTTTGCGAAGGCGAACGACTAGAATTAGTCATGGGTGTGAGGGTATTCTTACCTTGGGGGGAATCAAGGTCGAGAGACCTCGGCGGGCAATGTAGCTCATCTTGTCTAGGCTGAAGGGGGTCAGAAATTGGTCGCACGAGGAAGAGCGTCTCTCAATGAGTATATGTAGGGTGGCAGGAATGTAGACTTACGTTGATTCGCAGCGCAAGTGAACCAAAGAAAGCTGATGGAGGAGGAAGGAGGAACAAACCGAGCCCTGCGGGTGTTCGGCTTGCCAAGCCCGGCTAAACCCGATTCGGTGGTGTCGTGACCTGTCTGCAATTCGCAACCAAACCACACTTGAAGGGAGTCCTTACTGGCAACGACCATTTACCACATCCAAAAAGACACAATGTCGTTCTTCAGAATTGGGGGTGCTGCTAGCCTTCGGGTCAGCCGACTCGCTACGCCTGTCAATGCCCGTTTCGTCTCCAATGCCCCCAAGGGCATCCCCTCTGTGAAGACCAGCACCTCTGATGCTCCCACCACGCCTCCCAAGGACAGCTCCTTGCTCACCAAGGAGACTCCCTCCGAGGCTATGACTCGTCACCAGCCAGATTATGAGGCCACAATTGATCACGGCACCTCGTACGGCATTCCCTTCTAGTTCCGTCGCAGATCCTTTCGCTAACCCTTTGGCTTCAATATAGGCAATTTTCCCCGGTGCCCAAGCGTGTGATGGATGGCAGCGAGCCTGGCAACACTCTCCCTGCGGCTGTCCTCTCCGGAGCTCCTACCGATCTCCAGGCCCGCACTGTCCGGTACGTACAAATTTCGAGCCGTATCGCCCAGCTCCCCCACATTAACCCATGGCTTCCATAGTATCTACCGCCCTACTAAGGCCGCAACACAGTCCGGTACCTGGCACCAGCACCACTGGCGCATGGACTGGGATATCCTCCAGCGGGGTCACCGTTGGGAGAACTCGCTCATGGGCTGGCAGTCATCTGCCGATAGCATGCAGGGAACCACCCTGAAGTTCAAGTCGAAGGAAGACGCAATTGCTTTTGCGCAGAAGCAGGGCTACGAATACTTTGTTCAGGAGCCGAACGAGCGTCGTTTCGTGCCCAAGTCCTATGCTAACAACTTCATTCACGAACCCAAGAAGCTCAAACACATCAAGACCAAATGATTTGACTTCGCGCTGTATTATGTACATATTTGCCAGTTTATCACTCGAAATCACTTTCATGCAATTCATCCTATAGTTTTTCTTGTTTTTATTCGTCTTATCTTGAACAAGGAGTACTGAATGCTTATGGATATTCAGGATACATTAACAATTACCTGTCAGCGACCAGCAGGAATAGGAAGAGGGGAACGATGCCAAGTCTGTTTTATTTGATAGCTCAATGTTTTTACGCGGCACATACATGCCCATGGTAACTCCCATCTACCACTTTTGCCATTCCTTCCGTTCAATTAATGTGCTTATTGTAGATGAAGCTGGCTAGCATGGCCCCCTCTTTGCAGATCCTCATAGAGGCACCAATTCATTATACCGAGGACAACGCTTTCCCACGTTCATTAAAATATCAAGATAATCGTTTTCTCGGGAACGTGAAAAGATAATGAGCGTCGCACGGTAGGGCTTCAGCCAGAGAATATCGGTCGCTAGTTAGGTGTCCAGGCAGGAATATGGATGTTTTATGCGATCATACATCGTGCAGATCTAAACCTATACCTAAGTAGATATATGTAGACGCTGCTAAAATCTTACTATATCACGTTGGTTGGTAATTTCGACCCCAATCCATTCAAGTTTCGTAGGCATCGACTAGGTGGGTTTGAAATTGGATATACTATGCATCTACCTAGGTAGTATATATCTATTTGCTCATTCGACTTTTTAGCTCTAGAATGTCACGGTTACGTATTTTTAGAGGTTAGCGGAGTATCTAAAGATTTACCTACATACATGGATGTATGTATGTACCGATGTACCTAAGTCTATTTTTTCAAGATCGACAACACTCCTATAGAAAACTGATTTAGAACTGAACTCATAGCATGACCATACATAAGCCATATATTTTCATTGGAATAGCTTGAACACACACCGGAAGCATTGAAGAGAAGAACGTACGAGCCAAAACCCCCCTACACAACTAGAGCCTGAATGGGCCCCGCCACCCCCCACTCTAAAAATTGATAAGATCAAAAAGATTAACAACTTTTCTCTCCCACTCTTATACCCCTCTGACCATATTCTTCAAAATGGCTCCCGAAACAGATAATACCGTCTCTGCCCTCCGCAAGGTTTTGGTCTCTGAATCCGAGCCACTTGCTCGTCGCTTTCGTGCTCTTTTCTCCCTCAAGCACCTGGCCTGCCTACAACCTACCACTGACCAGACCCTCCCCGCCATCGAAGCGATCGCCGCAGGCTTTTCCTCACCCTCAGCCCTGCTTAAGCACGAGCTTGCCTACTGCCTCGGTCAAACCAAGAATTACGAGTCTGTCGCATACCTGCAGCATGTGGTGAAGGATACCGAGGAGGATGCGATGTGTCGCCATGAAGCCGCCGAGGCGCTAGGTGCCCTTGGATACGCGGATAGCTTGGAGATTCTGAAGAGATTGAGGGATGATACAAATGAACTGGATATCGTTCGGGAGACTTGCGACATTGCTGTCGACCGAATCCTGTGGGAGAATTCAGAGGAACGCAAGGCCGAGAAGTTGAAGCCTAGGTGAGACCTGCGCGGGACATGGCACCCTGTAAAGAGAAAGGCTGACATTGATATCTTTGGTTTACAGTGATTTCACCTCTATTGACCCTGCTCCACCCATGCCCCTGGAGGCCAGCGCCGAACCCTGCATCCCCGACCTGGAAAAGACACTGCTTGACACAAAGCTTCCTCTGTTCCAAAGATACCGTGCAATGTTCGGCCTGCGTGATCTCGCCTCGCCTCCGGATCTTCCCACAGCAGTCGACGCTGTTAATGCGCTGGCTAAGGGCCTCAAAGACCCCTCTGCCCTCTTCCGCCATGAGGTTGCCTTCGTGTTCGGACAACTCTGCCACCCTGCCTCGATCCCTAGCCTCACAGCCTCGCTGAGTGACCTGTCAGAAGCTGGAATGGTGCGACATGAAGCGGCGGAGGCTCTTGGAAGCTTGGGCGATGAGGAAGGTGTGGAGGAGACCTTGAGGAAGTTCTTGAATGACCCCAATGAGGTGGTCAGGGACAGTGTCATTGTTGCTCTTGACATGGCAGAGTTTGAGAAGAATGGCGAAACTCAATATGCGCTGATTCCAGATAGCGCTCCAGCTGTTGCTGCTGCATGATGGACATCCTGCAAAAAAAAAAGAAAGAAAAATAAATTTGTCTCGTGACGTCGTGATTTTAGTACTCTTGTCCCGCTAGTTATACAGCCTTTCTCCAGAAATAGATCAATTCCACATCTTTTGTACAATTCACCCTTCCAAGATTAATTGTTAGACGTTTCCCTGTCAAGAACGTTAGTATTTGCCGGCCAAACATATGCTTATGGAGAGGGATGGCGTACTTGAATCCACAGACACATCTGTAGAACACAGTACTTCCTTCGTCAGCACTGCGCAGCTGCACTGTGGTATAGAACATCTGCTTCCTCCCGCACTCGTTACATGTGCGATCGATGATAGCCTCGGTCTTGCGGTCCTCTGCTGACAAGGTTTGGACTGCCGATCGTTTGGCTCTCAGTGCTGAGGGGAATGCGGAAGGCTTGGACTCGGACACGATGGTTTGGGGGATTGTGTCTGTAAAAAATATCAGAAATCAAGCACCAGGTAGTCTGGTGGAAGCCCAGAGGAAATCAATGCACTGACCTTTATTCCGAGTGCCGCAGACATCACAGTGTAAAATCGCATCTGCATTGCCGGTAGATTCTCGTAGGAGATTACCGCAATCTGTGCAGAAAATCAAAGAACCAATGACAGACATGTTGACGACTAGAAGATAAACCTGACAGCTTGGGAACAACAGATATCCTAGAAGCAAAGCAAAATGAACACGAATCGACTGGGACTTATGCAACAGCGAATAATCTATGCAACTTTTTTTTGGACGCACGAGCCCCCCGGCAGGCGGTCACACGCGGCAATAGGGGTGCCGTCACCCATACGGAATTCATGAACTGATTTGGTCGTAGCTTAGGCAGCTTCTTCTTTCAGATTCCGATTTCTTGTTCTTTAAATGACCTAGAGATGTCCTAAGGCGCGTGCCTTTTTTTGCCATGTCTCTACCACAAGCATGTGAACTTTGTGATCCGCGCCTACCACTTTTGACCTAACCGCGATCATGGACCAGAATGGACGCCCGGCCTTTCAGGTGGTCATCAACGGCCATAATCAGATGCCACAACCCTATGGCTCTAATATGCAGTTTCAGAACAAACCACGGCCGCTGTCTGTGGATGAAGCACTCCAGTATTCTTCCATGTCCAGCGCGCCCGTTTTTGGGCTTGGTCAGTCCGTTCGCTTTGTCTCCGAATTTGTTCAATCGACTGACAGCTTGTATGTACAGATTGCATTCTACGCCCCGATGTTGGCCGACCCTCCAATACCACTTCTATAAACCATGTCCTCCAAGAAGGTCGCAAAACACTTGGTGAACTCGATGCGGAGATGCAACCCGGACGGGACGAGTCTAGTCGTTTAGAGACATCTCGAGAATATATTCAACAGTTGCTGGATGGAGACCAGTTGACAGAATTGTAAGAAGAACCAGCAGACTTGGTATCGTACTCAGCTCATTTGCTTTCTTATAGTAAATTCAAGCTTCCTCGTGTTCCTACCCGAAATCAACAGTTGCGTCCAAATGATTCCGATGGTGCTCCTTCCGGTCGTGATAGCCTTGGCTCCTTCGCACGGATGATGCTTGAATCCACGGATATTGCGTTCAGATGTAAGTTTGAGATACCATGATGCTTGAGAAATGGTCAATTGACAAGCCATCCGCAGACCCCGAAGCAGCGTCCAGAACCAAACCTGAAAAGAAGGATCTCACTCCGAAGACCGCTACTTCACTGAATCAGCGTGCACATGCTACGAACAAATCGAATTCCGCCTCTCTGTCTGCTTCATTTGAGCAAGATCGCCCTCTTACATCGAGCCAATTATCGGTAGTCATTCCAATCAAATCGGTCCCTTCACACGGTGATCACGCGAATGCAAAGAAGCTCCGAATGAAAGCCCATGGCCAAGACGCTATGGCAGCGGTGCGACTAAAGGATCAAAAAGCGGAAGCAGATGCAGCCCTACAAAAGCTTCAAGACCTTCTTCATGAGATTTTTGAAGCGGAAGATCAAATTGAGCCTGATAATCTGACTTCCCGGACTTATGACACACCCAATCCCATATTCGTGAATCTGACGTCGTTAGAAGTGCATGGGTTGGTGCTATCATCTGATGCCCATACTCGTCTTCAAAACGCCCTTCGAAAAGTTGCAGGATTTGACCGACTCAAGGACATACCGTCTGAATATCTGAATCGCATCCAAAAATTGTGTGAAAAGCCAATCATGGCTGCACAGTCTCCGGATATAGGCTTGGGTGATTCCTCCAGCGAGACTGAATCCCAAGAGTGGTTGGGCAAGGTTGAAGATGTGTTAAATGCATTATTCGCAATTGGAACGCTGCTACAGACGATGTCTGGACGTCAAACTGAGCGCGACCTTTGCCCAGAAGATCTCATTGAGGCTATTCCTACTGTCCTCAATCAGCTCTTCGACAATTGCATCATTCCCGCAGTGGAATCGCGCCCTGGCGGCAAGGATAGCCAGCACTTCCAATTCTTCTCGGCTCAAAAGAGAATTATTGGAACCCTAGTTCATCAGAGCAAGAAAGTTCTCACCCTTTTTGCAAACTTTTTATCTCGAATTGATGTGTCTGAAGGGACCATCACGGCAACCGAGTTTTTTGCAGCAAAGCTGATCTTTGTGGAAAATGCACACAATGACAAGGATTCGACCTTGGGATACCAGAAGTACGAACCTGCGAGACGGGCGGCGATGGATGTGCTTGCAAAGGTATTCTCCAAATATCCCGAGCAAAGACCGTTCATTCTAGATGAGATTCTAGTCTCGTTGGAGAAACTTCCCACCACACGTCAGAGTGCTAGGCAATTCAAAGTCGCAGATGGCAAAAACATCCAACTACTCACTGCACTAGTTTTACAGCTTGTTCAGACCACTGCATTGGAGACCCCTTCACAATTGAAGATCAAACATCGGGTCAAGACACAAACAGATGGTGACGATGACGAGCTCATGGGCGATGGCGAGGACCGCGCTAGTGGTGAGTCTGATGACGACGAATCAGATGCATCGTTGGAACGCCTAGCAAACAAAGCCAACCGACTCTACGATAATGCCATGCGCTCCGCACAATACATTGTGAATTTCATCGTTCAGCGTGCTATGAACTCGACAAAGACAGGTGACCAGCCATACAGGAACATCCTAGATCTTTTCACCCAGGATTTGATCAGTGTGCTTGGATCGGCTGATTGGCCAGCTGCAGAACTTCTTCTTCGGATCTTGGCGTTACGTATGATCCAAATCACCGACCAAGATAAGAGTGCGGCGACTGCAAAGAGTATGGCACTTGAACTCCTGGGCTGGATGGGGTCTGCTATCTCAGACCTGATAGCAACTGCCCAGCACATGCTCCCGGCTCTGGAAGATTCTGACAGTGAGTTGACCGATTACCTCAAACAACAGTTTGAGGAATTTTCTTCTGGGGCACTCCACCATCAAGACCTCATTACACCAACGGGTCCATACAGGATTGCACTCGAGCACCTTTTGCAAGACAAAAACTCCGACAACTGGCAACTGGCCAGCGCGCGGGGTTACTACTTGGCTCAATGGGCCAAAACAGCTTGTGCCCTCTACTACAATTCTGAAGATCAAGAAGAAATTTCTCACGATGAAGTGGCTGATGATCTGGTTACTCTTTTGACAAGATCCTTCTCAGATTCACGCTGGCTGGAGACCCACAAGGAATTCGATAATATTCCGAACGTGCATGGAAAATTTGCATACATTCTGACGGTATTGAATTCAAAATTCGGCAAAGCATTTGACACTATTCTCAAAGTTCTGTTGGCTTCTTTCCTTGGAGACTCAGCCAAGGTTCGCAGCCGCAGCTTGAAAAGTGTTATCTACATGCTCGAGAAAGATCCAAACCTCCTTGATAGAGATCCTTCTGTTCTGCGCGTAATACATCGGTGTACGACAGATGCCTCGCCCATGGTCCGCGATTCTGCACTACAGCTGATTGGACAATGCATTGGTTTGAAGCCTAAGCTCGAAGAAGAAGGATGCCGAAGCATCTTAGCCTGTGCGGCGGACCAAACGGCTGGTGTCCGAAAACGCTGCATTGGGTTGCTGAAGGAGCTTTACCACAAAACTTCTCGAAAGGAGTTGAAGCTGGCCATTCTCGACAGCTTTCTTCAACGCACAGGTGATCTTGAAGAGAGCGTGGCATCTTTGGCCCGTCAAACCTTTGAAGAAATATGGCTTATTCCATTCCATGAAACCATTGATTCTTCATCCGAAGGCCCGAAACTCAAAATGGCTCTTGGGGAACAGGTAAGCCTGATTGTTGGCTTGATCGAGCGCAGTGAAACTGCACTGGAGACTCTTAGCGTTTGTTTGAAGGCTGTCCTTTCGGAGAAATCCAAGTCTGCAGCCTTGAACTTCAAAGTTTGTAAGGCGATGGTCGCTACCATGTTCCAGAGATTAGTGGAGGATTCGGATGGATCCAGCAAGGAATTTCAACAAGCTCTTTTACAAACGATCACTGTTTTTGCCAAGGCAAATGCAAAGCTGTTCAGTCCAGACCAGCTGGAGGCGCTCCATCCTTACATCGGACATCTTTCTACCGCAGACGATCTTTTCATATTCCGATCCGTTGTGGTCATCTATCGTTGCGTCTTGCCATTTTTATCCTCCTCTCATAATACCCTCCTGAAGGAAGTGCAAAATGATCTTTTCAAGAGCGTCGCCAAACTCTCCCGGTCTGAATTGAATGAAGTCATGGCATGTTTGTGGACGATCAATGGTGTTCTACAAAACACGAACCGCTTAGTGAAGTTGACAGTCTCAGTCCTGAAGCCATTGCAACAGTATAAAAGCGTTGATCTCTCTTCGGCCACCCATGCTGCAATTCTGGCTCGTGCCAAGAGTTATATTCGTATTGCAGGGTGTGTTGGGCGTCATTGCGATCTTGAAAAGTATGCATCTCATTTCAAGAGCGAATTCCCAGCCTGGGGTGGTGGCTCCGTTGCGGGGCTGATGGTTGATTCCATCATTCCCTTCACTGGGTCAAAATCACCTTTCGATCTGCGCGTCATGGCCCTTGAAAGCTTGGGATCTATCTGCCAGTCTTGGCCTGGCCAATTTGGCAGAGAACGCACACGACAGACATTTGCGCAGGCTTTTAAGGAAGATGCTCCAAGCCTGCAAAATATCGTTCTCCGATCATTTGCAGACTTTTTTGCCATCCATGAAGGCAAATCCGAAAAGGCCGTCATGCCAACTTCAGAAGCTGCCCAGGAAGATACCACCCGATTAGGTGGTTCTTTGAAAGCTAGCGATAATGATGGCGCTGCTGCTCTGATCGCCCAACATTTCCTCTCAAACATGCTTCAGGTGGCCCAATCACGCCAGGACACTTATTCCCTGACCGCCATTGAGCTCATTGCGAGTATCAATAGACAGGGTTTGGTACATCCAAAGGAATGCGCGGGTGTTCTTGTCTCCCTTGAGACTTCTACAGTCCCTGCAATTGCGAAAATTGCTTTTGACACACACAAAATGCTCCACCAACAGTACGAATCCATGTTTGAGAGAGAATACATGCGAGCTGTGCAAGAAGCATTCTATTACCAACGTGATACTGTTGGCGATTCCAATGGGGCTACCTCTCGGCCTTATATTTCAAAGCTCGCACCATTGTTCGAGATTGTCAAGATCAGCAACAGCCGTTATCAGAAGAAATTCCTTGCGAATCTTTGCTCGAAAGTCAACTTTGAACTCAAGAAATTGGTTGTGGCAGGCAACCCCCCAGAACATCTTCTATTATCACGTTTCATCTCGCAAAACCTGGCCTATTTCGACTACGGACAATTAGCTGAAGTGGTGCCTACTATCGCGTGTATGGAACGCATCGTCTCTTCGACTGGCACTATCGTTGCGCACGCGATCGAAACGGAGATATCCCCCACACCAATTGGTCCCCCGCAGTTAGATGCTTCCAATGGCATGTTGCCTGGGTTGGCGCCTGAGATGGCTCCATCCACAATCACACCACGGCAGGCCAACCCTGCAACCTTGCGATCGTTGGCAACTGCCGCCGCATCATTGTCTATGCTTTGGGAAGCTCGAACTTACCTTCGGCGCCTCTACGGGGTGAACGCACACAGCAAGAACAAGGAAGGCAAACCTGCAACAAAAGAGCTCAACAAAGCTGCCACAAAGGTACACGGAGTGACCGGTGATAAGTTTTGGGAAGCCATTGCCAGGAACATGACAGCCTTGGACAATGAAGAGGCGATGCAACAAAAGTGTCGTGAGTTCGCAACCCTACTCTCCATCGACGAGGAGTTTAGAGTGGATGCAGATGACGACGCAGAAGGGGATAGCCTGGACACCGGCGGAGATCTTGATGAGACGGTGGCTCCTCGGCCCATGAAGCGCAAAAGCTCCATCTCCAGCTCATCCTTCAACAAACGACCCAAGAGCCGGAAGAGCTCAACCGGAAGAAAGAAGTCCAGCGCTGAGCCGGACGAGGACCTGGATTGGGACTAATTCCGCGCATCCATATCATATCGGTGAACATTTTTATTGCATGTCAAGCGAGGTCGGCGTTTAACTATTTTTATTTCTTCTGCACTTGAAGAATTTCATGGGGGATGGCCTTTTCATTTGCTTATCGCGACCGCAATAGCTGGTTGCTATATTCATGCTCTTTTTTCATACATGCTCCGAGTTTTTGAGGTTTTCCTCGGACTTTCGATATCCGGTGCCAATAGCTATGAGTATATAATAGAATCCAGGATGTTAATTTCAAGATACAGCAGGGAAATAATCTATCTCGATCTGGTTGTCGGTGAGACTATACCGGAACCTCAGGCTGTCATATGCGGTCTTAGTTCGGATGCCGGGTGTCCGTAGTGGATCCCCTGCACGTGACCGGACCCGTGATGACGTCAATCATTGTTGGCATGGATCGTATCCGGTGCTGGGATGATAGCTTTTTAGTTTCTGATACCACAATCTCGTTATTTTAGATTGATTCGAGCTCGCTCGTTATTTGAGTGTACAGGGACGGATCATGAGCTGCCTCGCCTCGGTCTTCCATCGTTGAAAATCTCTCACTCAAGCTCCTCTTCTGCCATCACAATGCTGAACGCGATGCTGCGCCGGAGCCGTGCGGACGGCACGGGGTTCAAGTCAATGGCCTCGTTGCCAGGTCGAACTCAAGTATCAAAGACACCGATAGCATCCCGCCGATCTCTATTCCGTTCCTTACACACTCCTGCTCGACGACCTGTCCCTCAATGGCGCACCTTGGCATTACCCTCGAGGCCGATCCGTTTCAAATCCGAAATCGCAGCTAAGGTCGAACCTAGCCGAGGATCTACTGTTCTAAATGCTGTACGCAAGGTCTTTACATACTGCGGATTCTTCATAATCTCCTCTGGGTTCGTAGTCGTGGCCTTCTTCCTTTACGATGCAAGTACATACCGCGACACTAGAGGTGGGGCAGACATCCCGGTTTCAGAATTGGCACTCAATCCCCGACGCGGAGGCCCAAAGAACTTGCCCATCGCTGATGTGCTGGTTGGAGATTATGATTCGGAGGCTATGCTTCGGCAGAAGGACAAACCTCGTCTGGTTATTCTAGGAACGGGCTGGGGAAGCATTGGGCTCCTTAAGAACTTGAACCCTGCTGATTATCATGTCACCGTTGTTTCTCCTACTAATTACTTCCTATTTACCCCCATGTTGCCTTCCGCTACGGTGGGAACTTTGGGTCTTCGCTCGCTGGTTGAGCCTGTTCGGCGCATTATTGATCGGGTCAATGGTCATTTCCTTAAGGGCTCGGCGACTGATGTTGATTTCTCTGAGAAATTGGTGGAAGTATGTCAGGTTGGCCCGGAGGGCGAAAAGAAGAACTTCTACCTTCCTTACGACAAGCTTGTTATAGGTGTCGGTATGTTGGCCCCATGGATCGAGGTCTCAGGTCGAACAATGTTGACTGTTCTCTATTTTAGGCTGTGTAACGAATGCACACGGCGTGAAGGGTCTCGAACACTGTAACTTCCTGAAAACGATCGACGACGCTCGTAAAATCAAGAATAAGGTGCTAGAGAATATGGAGCTGGCTTGTCTTCCCTCTACCACTGACGAAGAGCGCAAACGCCTGCTGTCCTTCGTGGTGTGTGGAGGTGGTCCAACGGGTGTCGAATTTGCTGCAGAGCTGTTCGATCTTTTGAACGAAGACCTACTCCATTCTTTCCCCCGAATTGTTCGAAACGAGATCTCTGTTCACATCATCCAAAGCCGCACCCACATCTTGAACACTTATGATGAGGCACTTTCTCAGTATGCCGAGGTATGTCTTCTTTACTTTCAACGGTTTCTTATGAAGTACACTCTGGTATTAACGCCTTGTAGAGTCGATTTGACCGCGATGGCGTTAATGTTTTGACCAACGCCCGTGTCAAGGAAGTCCGTGGGGACCGGGTTCTTTTCTCCCAGGTGGAAGATGGCAAGACCGTCATCAAAGAAATCCCGACTGGATTCTGCTTATGGTCCACTGGTGTTGGTTAGTACACGAATACCACTAATTCTGCTTAGTTTACTAGACATAACAGCCACTGACATCTTTTCAGCCCCCGCCCAGATTGCAGAAACACTTGCCAAAAAGTTGGAGGGTCAAAACAACAAGCATGCACTTGAAACCGACTCTCATCTTCGCCTGATTGGTGCGCCCTTGGGCGACGTCTACGCAATTGGTGACTGCTCAACAGTCCAGAACAACATTGCAGATAACGTCATCAGGTTCCTTCGCACCATCGCGTGGGAGAAAGGCCGCGATCCCGAGAAAGTGCAGCTCACTTTCTCTGAATGGACCGAATTCGCCAGCAAAGTGAAGAGGCGGTTCCCGCAAGCTTCGAGCCATCTCCGCCGCCTCGACGTCCTCTTCGAACGGTACGATAAGGACAACTCAGGCACTCTCGACTACGGCGAGCTGTCCGAACTCCTGCATCAAATCGACACCAAGCTCACCTCACTGCCTGCCACTGCCCAGCGCGCTAACCAGCAGGGCGTATATCTGGGCATCAAACTTAGCAAGATGGCCGCCGCCCTTCCCGGCCTCAAGGCTAACCACATCGACTATGGTGACCTCGACGATGCCGTCTACAAGGCCTTCAAGTACAAGCACCTCGGAAGCTTAGCGTACATTAGCAACGCCGCCATCTTTGACTTCGGTGGTATGAGCTTCAGCGGTGGTGTCATTGCTATGTATCTCTGGCGTAGCATCTACTTTGCCGAAAGTGTCAGCTTCCGCACGCGGTGCATGCTGGCCATGGACTGGGGAAAGAGAGCGCTCTTTGGAAGAGGTATGTCTGCTTGTTTCATTCTTGGTTTATTCATCGACGTTCATGCTTTGCTAATGCCTTCTCTGTTACAGATCTCATGAGCTTCTGAGGAAGCTGGCATTACTTTTCATTTGTTTTCTGTCATTACTTGATCTAGACATAGGTTCGGTCATGCTTCCAATTTTCGGCAAAAAAGAGGGTCTGGAAGTATTTATCCTGCTTTGGAGATACGCCCATAGATCTTGCTTGTGTTGCTTTCTCAAATACCATAGCAAGGTTTGATTTATCTCTGCGCATATTTGCGCTGGATCTAATGTGTGGATATCCGATTTCTTTGCTCCACTTGTTGCTGCATACCTAACCTAATTGCATTGTTTGTGGCTCGCAAGGCCTTGTCAAATTTAATCAAGTGATCTTTGTTTTGCTGCTCCGTATGATACGGACATGCTCTATGCATTAATTAGGAAGAAAGTACTTATGGAGTATTCATGTTGAAGATTAAAAGGCCATTTGTATTGCACGGAGTAGAGGGGTCTTCAAAACACCCATATTGGAGCCAATGATAGCGAATGAGATACCATCGCCGGAACACCTAAAAATGTGGATCCAAGACGCCGCGCTAGAAGAGCAAAGAAAATAGAAAGGAGAAAAGTCTGCGGTGCAACCAGCCGGGATATCCGACCGACTGTCAAGACCAGCTTGAGAGACATACTCGATCAACCAATCATTGGGTCAATGTCGCTGTTGTTGGACATCAGAGTGTCACGGATGTTAGTTGCAAGGTCATCATTACTGTTACTGTTGTGAGAATCGCCGATCAAGCCAATATCCAGGGTGTCTGGGATGTCTTTTTTGGCGTCTCGTGCCTTTTGCTCGGCATATGCCCGGGTTTTCACAAGATTCCGCAGCCGGGCCTCTTTACGAGCGCCCTGATTCTGCAGAATTGCCTCGTTGACTTGGGTTGCAATTTCTTTACGGAGCGCAGGGTCTAGGAGCGACGCAAGCGAGGGGGCCAGCTTATCACTGGGGAAGATCAAGAGAGCCAGGGTCCGCTCGAGATCTGCCAGGAACTGAGGATTTGTGGGAGCGCGCGGTGCCAGCTGTGCGGTTGCAAAATCCAGGGCGGGAGTGATGTCGCTGCCGGGAGTATCCATGCAGGTACGAATCAATTCAACCAGCTGTAAGCGCAATAGGGCAAAGTGCAACGAGGGGTCTTCGTCGAGGATCTATTGAAGTCTTGTTAGCCAGGGCACTTGACATGAGATGAGTGATAAGCTGGTAAGAATCAATGTTTGGCAGTTGCTCATACTGAGGACTGAAGATGTTTGTTTTTCTGCAAATGTCCCGGAAGGGAGTTTAAGAGTGGTGCATGAAACTTGGTATAATCATAGCAAGAAATGAAGCCAGGGAAGGTGAAAGACGCAGATGGGAAAAAGTGCTTACCTGAGGGTTCAGCTCGTTGATCTTCTCGACTGCAGCCTTGATATCACCTGAGTGAATAGCAGTTCGAATCTCAACCCGCTCCTGAATAGCTTCAAGATCCGTTCTGACTTGGATATTGGCTTCTACAGCGAATTTCTTCGCCGCAGCCGGATATCCATTGGTGATGAGGTAATCCATGACCAGATGATTTATGTCACTGCATTTAAAATATTAGCAACCATTGAATGAACAAATGGATGATTTTTTTGCAATGATGACGTGAATCAGATAGACAAGTCAAATAGTTTCTCCTCACATGTTTTCAGAGAGATTCCCAACTTGATTTTCAAAAACATCATGTCACACCGGTGGGGCAGTGGGGAGGAAGAGGAGTAACTCACGTTTTGGACGGCTTGACCCCCTCAAGCTTCCGCTCGAAGTGATGCCATGTAGGTGTCGCAGTCGAGGGAGTGCGAGACATCTGCAGATTGTTAAAAGGCCAGCAACCACGGGTGTCACGCCGAGAAGCATACAAGATTAGCAGACATTATGAATTGGATTGCCAGTCTTGGATCCGGTATGAAGCTATCTGTATAGCTGTAAGGCAACCCCAGAGACGACGGCCATGGGGAAAGGCAAATCGCTGTGTGGGAGAAGACCGGGATGGATGCGAAAGAGAAAAAGAATTGAAAAGCTCGCAGCGGAAGAAGTAGCTTAAGCGAAAGTATTACGCTAGTCCGAAACGGGATGCTTACGGCATCTCCCACTCCAGTCATGTGATGTGCTAGAACAACCTCGGAAATGAAACTCGACTAGTCCGCATTTGGCCTAGACATTAGGTAATTATCGTGGGTCCCCCGTCTTTCAAGGCTGTCACAATCGAAATCAGAGAGGGGCAGAGAGGGCCCAAAGATACCTACAACATACAGCGTTGTAGGGAGCCCCGTAGATATGGAGTCGGTATCACCTTTCTATTCTATGTCCACCGAGGTGCGATATGCTCCACCATGGCAAGACTTGAGCATCATTGGCGTCGCTGGTAGCTCTGGCTCCGGGAAGACTTCGGTGGCGATGGAGATTGTCAAGTCTTTGAACTTGCCCTGGGTGGTGATACTTGTAATGGTAAAGCTTGTGGACTCCGAGGCTGCTCAGTTGATAGCCTTTTGTTCTAATGTCTTCCATGCAGGACTCGTTTTACAAGACCTTAACGTCCGAGCAACACCACAAGGCCCATGCAAACGAGTATGACTTTGATTGCCCAGGATCGATTGATTTCGATCTTCTAGTGGAGACCCTCAGAGATCTAAAGAAAGGGTAAACTTATTGTTGTTCTTACTGGCGTTTTCTCTATTTGACCTGACTGGAAGGTGATACAGAAAGAAAGCCAACATTCCAGTTTACTCATTTGCCGATCACCAGCGGCAATCCCATACGACTACTTTGTATTCCCCTCGTGTGATCATTCTAGAGGGTATCCTAGCGCTTCATGACCCTAGAATAGTGGAGATGCTGGACGTGAAGGTATCCCGGCTGTATTGCTATAACTGCCCTTATCGGTGCTGACCCCATGGTCTAGATCTTTGTTGAAGCAGATATGGATGTGTGCTTAGGTCGTAGGAGTGAGTTACTTCGAGCTATGCTCCCTGAATTGCCACTGACATCAATTTATATAGTACTACGTGACGTCCGCGAGCGTGGGCGCGACATTGATGGAATCATCAAACAGTGGTTTGATTTCGTGAAGCCATCTTATACCAAATTTGTGGAACCTCAGCGCCCTATATCGGGTAAGGAGATGTGCAACTGTGTAAAATCTTGAAGACTTTTCTAATCTGATCACCAGACATCATCATCCCGCGTGGCATTGAGAACAGAACTGCTATCGGTATGCTATCCTCCAAAATGTCTCTTCCGAGAAGCGCGCACTAATCTTTTCAGACATGGTCGTCAAACACATTCAACGCAAATTACAGGAGAAATCCGACAAGCACAGCGAAGAGCTTCACAAACTAGGTCTGATTGCAGCGAAAGTAGACCTGCCTCCAAATGTGCATGTGCTGCCCTCGACGCCGCAATTTGTTGGCATGAACACTATTCTGCAGAATCCGAAAACTGGGCAAGAGGATTTTGTCTTCTACTTCGATCGACTGGCCTCGATCTTGATTGAGAAGTACAGCTCTCCCTCTTAATATGCTACTTGTGATTGCTTTACTGATATCATCATCAAAGATCCCTGGATATGACATCGTACATCTCCACGACTGTCGAGACCCCACAAGCGAACACATACCTTGGTCTGCATCCTAAGGGTATTGTATCAGCCGTGGCTATCCTACGTGGAGGATCATGCATGGAGACCGCATTGAAGCGATCTATCCCTGACTGTATCACTGGTCGTGTTCTCATCCAAACGAATAAGAGCAACGAGGAGCCGGAGTTACATTACTTGAAACTTCCATCCCATATTGAGGAGCATGCAACAGTCATTCTTATGGACTCTCAGATATCAAGCGGGGGCGCTGCACTTATGGCTGTTCGCGTTTTGATTGATCATGGGGTCGAACAATCGAGCATCGTTTTCGTAACCTGCGCTGCAGGTGAACGAGGACTCAAGAGACTGACTGCCGTGTACCCGAAGATCAATGTGATCGTCGGGCGCATTGAGGAAGAGGGAGAACCGCGCTGGATAGAGAAGCGGTACTTCGGGTGTTAACGTGTTCATATATCTGGTATTTATTCAAATATACACACATATTATACATAGTGTGTCAGGAATCAAGCGGTTTTATAAATGCAACCCACAATTGGCGGTGTCAAAATGATACTTCAACCAGTGAAAGAGGTTGGGGATACTTTTTAGTAATGGAAAGCAGAGCAGCAGTATTATTGATTCTTGGGGAAGGATTATCCACGGTTTTATAACTCTGGGGAGGTCCTATGGTCACCATGCAAAGCAGACCGCAATTCAACAACCCTGTAGGTATAGAACCCTGGATCAGGATAGATCGTTTCCTCACTTCATACTGGAGCAAGCTAGTTCCTGTCTTCTGAATTAACGTCAGATTGCCAAGTTCCACTACGGTGAATAGTAAAGAGTATGAATCTAATCTGTCTATCGCAACTCTTGCTATTCTATTCTATAACATCTTCACTATAACATCTTCAGCCTAACTCCTTGGGCATGTCACCATCTTGTGCTCCCTTTCTACTGCATATCTCCCGGAGAGGGGGCTCAACATGACCTTTTTAGAGAATCCTAGCTGATCAAAAGGCCTACCTACACATAAAATGCTGGAGAGTCTTTTCTGTGTTCCGAGGAACGATCCCTACCAGATATATATATATATCCAGCCGAGAGGTGCAAGTCTTGAATTCTCACCAGTCGATAGGGACCCCTGGAAACCCAATGCCAGTCTCAAAATCTCCAAGGGCCATAAAATATAACATTGTCAGGGTTACAGACTAAATGGTGTACGTACCTCCTACATCTAGGTACACATTTACACCAGGGCTTGTGAAACACTTCTTTCCAATAGCGAATCACGACACTTTCACGGACTATGTAGACTGGATACCATCCATTGATGAGCATTTACGGAGTGCTTTATTTATTGGGCAAAAACCACATGGTTAGAGTGACTAGAAAGAAGTTGTGTTGTAGACCATCGAGAAAGTGAACCCGACACGCCTGACCGCCTGACTTCGGCCGGCAGAAAAAAGAAATAATTTATCGGTCTCGATTATTCTCACTTGCTGAAATTGACGATCTCTATTGATATCCAGTGCTTGCACACATTCTTCTCCCGCGTGCTGTCGGTGTGTGAAGTATTTTTTAGGCGACCACAATGGCAGGCTCAGACAAGAAAAAATCCAAGGCCGGTAAGCCTAAAGGCGAAGCCGGTCCAGTGATCAGTATGTACAGCGGAAGCCCAAGATTCGATTTAAGAAAACTCAAGACCTTGATTACTGACTATTGTTTTTTCTCATTGTAGCGGATCCTCGATTTGCCAATATCCAAACTGATCCTCGTTACCGTCTTCCCAGCAAACGCCAGACTCATGTCAAACTCGATAAGCGTTTTGCGCACATGCTAGAAGATAAGGATTTCTCTAGTAATGCCGCTGTTGATCGCTATGGACGAAAGCTCAAGAAAGATGACACAAAGGAGAGACTCAAGAAATTCTACGAGGTGGATGAGGACGAGGATGAGGAGGATGAGGAAGAGGACAGTGCCGACGACGACGAAGAAGTCCAGAAAGAATTGAAACGGATTAACAAGGCCTCATATGATCCTGCTCGTGATGGTGGCTTTGGATCTTCGTCATCTGAGGAAGAAAGCTCCAGCGAAGAGGAAGACGAAGTGGAGGAGGAGGAAGATGAGATCGAATTTCCGGACAAGCAGCAATCGGATGTGCCGCTCGGCGAAGTGACAAATCGGATAGCAGTCGTCAATCTCGATTGGGAAAACATTCGTGCCGAAGACTTGATGGCAGTTTTCTCCAGTTTCCTTCCCGCCGGGGGGCGGGTACTGAACACCACGGTCTATCCTAGTGAATTTGGAAAAGAACGGATGGAAAGGGAGGAGATTGAAGGCCCACCAAAGGAGATCTTTGCTTCCAAAAAAACAAAGTCCAACGACGATTCCGAAGATGAGGAGCTTGACTCTGACGAGGAGGAGGAGCAGATTAAAAAGTCGATTCTCAAGACCGACGATGGCGAGGAATTCAACTCTACGCAGCTACGGCGGTATCAGCTCGAGCGATTGCGGTATTACTATGCCATTGTCAAATTCTCATCGAAAGATGTGGCAAAGCATGTCTACGATTTGGTGGATGGCGCCGAGTATCTCTCCAGTGCCAACTTCTTTGATCTTCGCTTCGTGCCCGATGAAACAGACTTCTCCGATGACAAGGCTCGGGACGAGTGTTCTCGTATTCCCGACGGTTACAAGCCTACTGAATTTGTGACCGATGCTTTGCAGCACAGCAAGGTCAAATTGACATGGGATGCCGACGATAAATCAAGAAAAGAAGCACAAGCACGCGCCTTCCGGGGATCGCGTCAGGACATTGACGAGAACGACCTGAAAGCCTATCTTGGTAGTGATAGTTCCGACAACGAAGACGAAGACGATGAGGATGGCGGTGTCGAAGTTGTCGATAATACTACAGGAGAAGCATCGACCACCAAACTTTCCAAGAAAGAGGCCGAGAGACAACGCATGCGTGCATTGCTGGGTCTGAGCGCCGAGCCTACCCGCACCAAACCGGAGCGTCCCGTTGGTGAAATGGAGGTCACTTTCACATCGGGCTTGGCTGGTGGCCATGGTAAGGATACCATTTTCGAAAATGAACCGGAGATTGAAGAAAGCACAATCGACAAGTATGTTCGCAAGGAGCGTGAGCGCAAGAAGCGCCGAAAGGACAAGCTTAAGGCCTCTAAGACAGAAGACGAGGTGCCATCTGCAGATGCTGGCGATGCAGCCGACAGCGAAGACAACGAAGCTGGCCCAGCCGAGGTGTCACAGCCACAGGAAGAAGATATGGGATTCAATGATCCCTTCTTCGATGATCCTGACGGAAAGGCTACAGCTGGCTCTCGGCGCAAGGAAGAGAGACGCAAGAAGCGCGAGGAACGTGCTGCCGAGGAAGCCGCTTCAGCTGCTCAAAGGGCCGAATTGGAACTTTTGATGGTGGATGATGAAAAGGTCAACATCAAACACTTCGATATGAACGAGATTGAAAAGGCCGAGAAACAGGCTCGGAAGAAGGGCAAGGGCAAGAAGAGCAAGAAGGTGGAACCTGCCCCGGCAGATGACTTCCAAGTCAACGTCAGCGACCCCCGTTTCACGCGCTTGTACGACACTCATGATTTCGCCATTGATCCTACCAACCCCCGGTTTAAGTCCACTTCTGGCATGAAGGCACTGTTGGATGAAGGCCGTAAGCGCCGCCGTACCGGCGATGACGCGGAGCCCGAGATTTCAGAGATTCGGGATAGCAAAAAGAAGCAGAAGAAGACTTCCAAGGAGTCCAGTTCTGAGGAGTTGAAGCGATTGGTGGCAAAAGTCAAGCGTTCTCACTGAGAACAATACTAGTGGAATTGAAATGATTGGATAGTTACATGTAATATACACCGGAATTCAATGCATCAAATTGAATTGTAAATCACGATCCCTCGTCTTTACATCAGGTATCTTAGCCACGTCGAAGTGCATTGTAGACACTGTGTCTGGGAATCAATGATAGTTTAGGGTGCCGTCTCGCGTGGACTTACTACAATGGAAGACACGAGAAGGCCCGGTTAAAGGACAGAAACACGCGGGGTAAGTAGTCAACGTGAATTGTAATCGTCTCGCCTGGGATCGGGGTGTTTACGGGTACAATAGTCGGGCTTGTTGAGAGGGTGGTATCTGTATTCTGTACGGAGTAGTTGCAGCATAATGGTCCCACACGAGGTGCGATTGACGGTGTAGAGAGTAGCACAGTGCAAGAGAAATCATTTCTGTCTAATCTCAAATTCAACACGGTCCAAAACCACACAGATCAACGCCCTCCGAGTAACACGATTCGTTGCAAACCCGCCTATACGGTGACACGCGGACAGTGAAAAATAGCGGCCGCATGACTAGTATCTGGAACAGGAGGTAGTCAGGTAGTGTTGTTACCAATGTGAACAGCTCTTGCCGTTTGGAATACCCTATAGTGATCGAGTGTTCATCGGTAAGGCAGTCTTTCTTCTCCATATCCCTTACTCTGGAGTTCATCTGGCAATAGCTTGGGAGCTCGCGTCTCTTCCATCTATGGGAAGTGACCAAAAGAGCGCTAATGTCCACCGTAGGCCCTGAGGCTGAGATCAGGTGACCCTCTTCACCGCCCTTTCCTCTCGCTCTCCACTGCTCCCCGGAGTGGTTTCTCGTTCAAGAGATTGGCTCCCTCAAGAAGCTTTGGGATTATTTCATTTGACCTCCTTGTTTCCTACAGAATTTTGAGCAAATTGTGGAGTCCTCATTGGTGCAAAGCCAATTGCCAATTGCTGATCCAAGCCCCACTGCTGCGTCTCATCCCACCTTCCACTCCCCTCACTCGCACACTCACTCCCTCTATAACGCTGGACAGTCCTCAATTCCTTCATCGTTTGATGATGATTCTTGCCTCGTTGAATTAAGCTATGGGTGGATGCAGCCTAGTTATTCCTAGCTGTCTGATACCCATTGTTACACCGCGTTAATCGAGCGGCCCGTTTTCTTTTTCTTTTCCCTGCGTCTTTAAGTACCTGTTTCCCTCTTGCGGGTTCCCTCGTTTTTATCCACAATGCTTGGCCGACTATTGAGTACCGCCGCGTCGACTCTGAACCCGGCGGCGTACTCTGCACGGAACAATGGAACACCTCTTGAGTCGGTGACTGAAGAGGAACATACCTCCGGTCTTCTTTTTCCCGATGCCAGCCTCCTCCGACGTACCCATGCCCATGCATACCCATTGCAAACCACTTTCAATTCACCAAATGCTTCGACCGCCGGTGCCTATGATGACCGTGGTGGAATGGAACTGGATCCAATCAAAGATTTTCGTGTGATCGTTGCACAAAATGCACTGGGTGACCGAGATGCATGTGTCTTACTTGACACGCGTGCTTCCGATTCATCCCCCGCCGGCCTTGGAATCGACCCTCAAGGAAACGACCAGTCCGGCCCTAGACATACCCGTGCTGTCTCAAGTCTCTCTCGTGGAACACGCCGCAATCTCCTTACCCAATCTTCACTCATCGAACCGAGTCCCCTCTCCGCCGCCGCAGATGCACGCAGGTCGTCACCGGCCGGTTCGGGTGCTTTCTCCCGAGCCCGAGGCCGTAGTTCCACATTGGCACCTTCGGGGACATGGCATGAGCCTGGTATCTCGCGACACCCCTCCGACACCAATGATACTGGCCTTCTAAATTGCATATTCGGCAGCAGTGCCTTTAGCTATCGTGGGTCATCCACGAAAATGCACATCATTTCCGCTGATGAAGACTCGGGAACTGGCGTGAATCCATCGTCTGCTACTCGGAGTCCACTCTCTCGGGCCTACACGACAGGGAGTCCATCGGGCCAGATAGGAGCATCTCGAGGCGTGGACGACAAACCACCTTCGAAAGTCACAGTTCTCCTGACTCGCATGTTCAGTGTAAATCTTCCCGAAGGAGCCGAAGCATCCGCTGAGCGCCATGACTATGCCAGTGCTCTTTATCAGGAGTCGTTACCTGAGATGGAGTTTCCGTTCCCGGATGTTTCCAAGCGTAAGAAGATCAAGGAGAAAAAGACACCCATGTACGCAGTCGCAATCACGATCCAGATTCCCTTGCTTGCACGCAATTATGGACGCCCTGTGTCAAGATTCAGCACACCAGGCCTAGACTCTCCTCGGCCGGGATTTTCAAGCTCGCTGGATTCTGACCATCGCTGGCCGGGTGGGTTCTTTGACGATAGTTTGTCTTCGGCTTCTCCTCCAGCTAGCCTGGATGAGCGCCTGGACTTGCTCGTTGATCATTGGGACGTTATCACTCGCACGCTTTCCCACCTTGAAAGACTTGTTCGCAACGAGATTCTATTCCTCTTGAAGAAGGTGGACTCCTTGTCTGGACCACACCCGAAGCCTGCCAAACCCCCCAATATGCAGCGGACCAACCAAACGATTGTGCATTTACCTGCAAACATTCTATCGGTCAATTCGAAACTTAAGGAAGAAGCCATTCGTAGCTCCCGACGGATCAGCCTTGCTCTTCAAACCCCGTATGTGGTTACTGGACAAAGTCGTTGGGGTGTCTGGCGGGAGGAAGGTCGTTCAATCGTTCGTGGTCTGGGTGACAAAGAGCAGAACTTCTTTTTCTTGGTGGTTCTAACAGCATTTCTGGGCAATCATACTGAGTGGCTCAACAGCCTTGGCCCGGAATGGTATCGTCGCCGCCATAATCAACAAAATAAAGCCCAGCAGGATGGAGAGCCTATTCTTGCGAAAAGAACAGTTGTTGTATGCCCGGACAAAATGACTGCTCGCCGTCTTGTGTTCTTACTCGCCGCTTTTTTGCCTCCGAAACAGCGCTTGGAGCCTCTGCCATCCCCACTTAGACCTGGCACATCGGCTTCCATGCGGGCTATCTCTCAAAGTCCACCGACTGTGCCTATGCTCCGCCAGGAGTCCCTTCGGAGAGCCATTGAACGACGGGCCCGTGCTCAGAGAATGATCATGGGCGATAATGATCGCCACCAACGATCGGTGAGCGTCTCATCCCAGGACACAGCCCAGCGGTCATTCGACGGAGCTGAAATCAATCCGCCGGCGGAACTTTCCTCGGCCTCGGCCCGCAGAGGATCTGATGCTCGTTCGATCAGACCCCCCGGCACAGGCATTCACCCGAAGGACGTCCGGGCCATGAATACCAGCGGAGCAACCACATCTATGACGACTCAGAGTAGCACTGTCCCTGTTCCACATTTTACCTCACAGCCAAGCCATTCTACCCAAACTAGAGCGGAGCGTAGCGCAGCCGACGGAAACGATAGTCTAGCATCTGAGACTCTACTGAAGAGCCTCCAACGAAGTGACAGCTCTGCGTTGACCACTAATGGTAGTCTTTCCTCAGGCGGAGGTCGCTGGGGAGGTATTTTCTCCGGTCTTTGGAGCTCCCGCCAAGGCTCATCGACCGAGAACAGTGAGCAATATTCACCATCTGAGGCTCGCAAACGCTCCGTCTCTACAATCGCAGGCCCTGCTAGGCGTGGGTCCACCACTTTGAGTCAAATGGTCAAGGAAGTGACGGCCGAGGATGGACATCGGCCCGAAACTGCTCCTAGTGGAAACATCTCAATCCCGACTGCTTCTGCAACCGCTCCTCACGACCCCGAAGCCATCTCACCAGAACCATCATCACTTAATAGCCAAGTCCGTGAATCACCTTTGAAGCTATCGGTTCGAGCAGATGAAGGCGTGGTGGATGTTGATCTTCCATTACCTGGTTTCATGTCGCTTTCTTCCTCCGGCGATTCAACTATTGCCTCGCCTAAGAAGACTCGAACATCAGTGACCAGTGTAGATGCAATGGCTTCCACACACAGCAGTGGCTCTGGATTCCACGCTGTGGCGAAGGATAGTGATGGCCCAAATTCCCATGTGGCTGGTTGGCTGAAATTTTTCCATGAGGATTTCTCGCTCCAAGCAGTCCGGCCTTATGCTGCACTTGAAGCAGAAATAAAACGAGCAATGCGAGCCGAACCCTCCCCATATATCCCTTCCACATCTGATGAGGACGGATCAGAGAGATGGGTAGACGTCGCGACAACTTTGATCGCAGACACTCGGGCTTCTACGGTGAAACGGCTCCGTTTGCGACGCAAGATTACAGTGGGTCACCCCTCTGGGACTCCTCGTACGCCTCCCTCGCCTGCCAATGCTACCACCCGTCGTTCTACTGGAGGGCCCTCGGCATCGCAATTCACCAGCTTCTTTTCTGGAAATGACAAAGCTCCTCATGGCTCTCCAACTGACGAACAAGATCAAAGCTTCGTGGAAGAACGATTCATTGAGGAGCCTGTGATGGACCTTGACGGAGTTTTGGTTGATGCTGTCGAGCGTGTGTTGGGACAGAGTGGCTACTCGTCAATGGCACAATCTCGTGCTCCTTCCCCCAATCGTGCTCGTAGAGCCGAAGAAAAGAGTGCCTCTTCTAGACCAGACGAAGCCGCTCCCATCGAAGTGCCCCGTGGTGAATGTCGTAAGATGGTGCTCGGAGCTCTCGAAGAAGTCGTCCGCATTGTTACTGCTGAGCACTGCCGTGAAGATGTCGACAGCGCCCTCGGACTTGCCGATCGCGAGCGAAGAAGAGCGCAATCAGGTGCCGATAATACCCTGCGTGAGGGAATCCGGAAATGGCTCCTTGATGTCGAAGAAGCTTGGTGATTTTACCTTAGCAGGTTTTCATTACTCTATCTTTGCTTATTCCAAGGTTGTATATCCATCTATTGCATTGTTCTTTTTCTTTCTCCCCACCGTTGTTTGATATCGCGTGATCTGATATCAGACCTGGAATTTGTATTCCTTTGATTGCCTTTCCTCCTTCCCATTACTTCTCTCTTCGGCTTTGCCTGTCTGCATTGCGACCTGTTTTGAATATGATACCCACCCACTTCATACTGAAGTTTAGCTTTGTTTGTGGGGTTCCCCCGCGTTTCTAATATGATAGTTGACCAATTTGACACAAATGACATTACATTCCGATTATTCTCTATTTGATCTGGACTTAGGCAACATACACCAATTTCACATCATGGCCGGTTGCCTCGACCTTTCCATCTGCAGCAGGAGACAGGCGGACAGTCTTCAGGATCTCGTCTGTCTGGGCCGAGTTGACAATCTCGACCGTAGTCTCACCCCGCAGGTGTCCATTGACCAGCAACTCAATTCCCGACAAGGCATCGTCCTCCGGAGCTTTGATTGTGGGATTGGTGACTGTAACCGAACCAGGACGGATCAGAATGGGCAATGTATCAAAGTCATGAGTCTCCGTATACCAACGACCAGACTCATAAAACTTCGAATGATCGAACCACGAGACCCATTTTCCTGCCTCATCATCAGAAGACTGCGGCACATAGAAAGTAACCTCGCCCTCCTCTGAGAACACCGGTGCAATAAGCAGATTTGGCCCAAACATGTACTGCGTATCAACCGCATACGTGTTGAGATCCTCAGGGAACTCTAAGAAAAGCGGCCTCATAAGCGGCGTGCCATCCCCATGGCCCCTCAGCGCCTCCTGTAGGATATACGGAGTAAGCAAGATCTTGCGCTTAACACAGTCTCGCAGCACGTCCGAGCAGTCCTCGCCATAGATCCACGGCACACGGAACGAAGAGGATCCATGCAGACGTGAGTGTGTCGATAGCAGTCCGAACTGCACCCACCGCTTGTACAGCGCCGGCGGGGGCGTGCCCTCAAATCCACCAATATCAGACGCCCAGAAGATATAACCCGACAGCATGAGACTCAACCCGCCGCGCAGCGACTCTGCCATTGCTTCGAATGTGCTCTCGCAGTCGCCGCCCCAGTGCACGGGGTACGCCTGGCCACCTGGCGCGGTGCTGCGAGCGAAAAGAAGAGCCTGGTTGTGTCCAATGCGGTTGCTCATCGTTTCGTACACGACCTTGTTGTACAGCAGGGCGTAATAGTTGTGCATGCGCTCGGGGTCGGCGCCGTTGTGGTATTGGATGCCCTTGACAGGGATGCGCTCTGCGAAATCGGTCTTGAAGCTGTCGACGCCCAGGTCCATGAGTCGCTCTAGGTGGCTGTTGTACCAGTCGCACGCGGCGGGGTTTGTGAAGTCCACGACTGCCATGCCGGCTTGCCAGAAGTCCCATTGCCATACTGAGCCATCGGTACGCTTGATGAAGTATCCGTTCTTCTTGCCCTCTGCGAAGAGTGGCGATGCCTGCGCGATGTATGGGTTGATCCAGACACTGATGCGGAGACCGCGCTCCTTGAGGCGCTTGAGATAGCCCAAGGCGTCGGGGAACATCTCTGAGTCAAAGTCGAAATCGCACCATTGATATGACTTCATCCAGAAGCAGTCGAAATGGAAGACTCCCAGTGGGATGTCCCGGTCATGGAATCCATCAAGGAACCCAGTGACTGTTTTCTCATCGTAGTTGGTCGTGAAACCTGTGGGGGAAAAAAGGGTCAGCCTTTTGGTTCTTTTCTCCCAAGGGATTAGTCAGATCTCAAACTCACTCGTAGTAAGCCAGAGGTTATAACTCCACGAAGGGACTAAACTCGGGCGTCCGGTCAAAGAAGTATACCGATTGAGGATCTCCTTTGGTGTAGCGCCATACACGACGAAGTACTCAATCTCCTCACCTGGCACAGAGATATTGACGCGAGTCGTACGCTCAGACTGCACCTCCAAGCTAACCTTACCAGGATGGTTGACGAAAACGCCATATCCCTTAGAGCTGATGTAGAATGGGATATTCTTGTATGCCAACTCAGATGAGGTGCCACCATCCTCGTTCCAGATATCAACTGTTTGTCCGTTCTTGGCTAGAGGTCCAAACCGCTCTCCAAGTCCATATACTTTCTCGCCAACACCAAGGTCCAGCCCTGCGAGCATGTATCCCTGACGCTCCGCATAGATTCCATCTTCATAGCGGTGCTTCTCGGTGCGCTGATCGCGCACGTATCCAATGGAGCGGAAGGACTGGCCGGTAAGCTTCTTGCCGTTGGGAGCGCGGAAATCCAGGTTCAGCTCATTGGCGGCAGTGTTGACGGCAAGATTGAGTGGCCCGCTTGTGTAGTTGAGTTTGTTTGTGTCCTTGTCGTGCTGTATTTTAGTGTGACCGGTGCCCTTATTCAAATGGTAGTGGGGACCGTTATCGTTCTGGCCTGCCCTGCATGGAGTTAGTCTAATCCGTTGACATCGTCGCATAAAGTAACATCTCTGTGTTGAGATCCTGCGAATTGGGTGCTCACCAATGGACAAGCTTCACACCGATGATTCCCTCCGATGGTGATGTGACCTGTGCGGAAACAGTTGCTGTAGAGACCCTGTCAGCTTTCCGATTATATACCCTAAGATGCTCAGGAACACACGGGAGTTTAGGGTATCTCCACGGCTTCTCTGGAGCTTGTTCAGCAGTAGATTGACCGATTCGCCTTCAACCGAGAATCGCTCCACGTTGCTCATCCATTCGATGCTAACACCCTCCTATAAGATCCGCGGTTGCATGTCAATATCCATTCGATCATAAACACCACCGAAACAGAAGAGTTCAATTTACCTGCAGACACCACATCCCCGCAGTGAACTTCATCTTGATGAAAAGATGAAAAGGGAAATCTCAATTGAGGTCCTTTTTTCTTTTCTTTTTTGAATGGGCTTTGGGGGCTATCCCAGAGATGTGTACTAGCTGTTTTTTTTTTCCACCTCCAGCTAGACTGAGACGAAGAAGCTGGAGAAGAAAACAAAAAGAGGAAACGACCAGGACATCCAAGCTCTTATTATCCTACGCCAGCAAATCCTGGGGAAGGCCAACCTGCTTCATTTGACGCGGAGTAGCCCCCGCGATGGCCCCATTTTGAATAGCGCACGTTTGCCCGCAGAGAGCTCCGCTATTTTCTGGAGCTTTGGGGGGCACATTAGGCGGGGCAAAGACTCCGGTTGGGGATGCAGTTTTAGGATTCAATATCGACCAACCGGAGCTCAGGAATGCGATGTCGGCTGAATAGCAGACAGCCGGCTAAAAGGGCTGGTGGCGTTATCTAGCGCTGATGTGATCCTATATTCAGATAGGACTGGGTAATATCAACTTCCCCTCAATCGAGGCCGACATTGGACATCATCCGGTAATGGTGAGAATGTCAAATCAAGTGTCTTGGTTTCGTGGCCGCTTTTGCTTTGGATGAAGAAGAATATAGCTAATATCGCGTATCATTTAGGTACAAAATCATGAGAACATCAATGGGTATCTTTAAATGGTTAGATCAAGGGTCGTAAGCTGCCACTCCTGGGGCTTGCATTGTGATTCAGACTTTCCGCACGAGCTCTGGCGCGCGTAAATTCCGGGGACATCAATCCTTCGCGCGAGTCTTGACTGATTCGGGACAAACCCGGCGGTGGCGAGATATGATGAGAAACCACGCTGGCGGGAAGCTCCAGCGACGGAATCGAGGCGTCCATTAGGTTTGTGGTAACCGGCTGCACCTTAGTTGACGATGGACGAATGTAAGATTCGGAGTAAAACTGCTGTAGCTGGGCCGCATCATGGCAGAACTCAAGTAGGCCGCTCAGGATGTTTTCAGGGGCGCGATAAAGGCCCGCAGAGTCAATGTTGGGATACCCTGATGATGGGGTAAGTGGGCTGCCGATGCTGCCAATGTCAAGAATGGGTCTGGTGATCGGCGACAGCCGAGGCGATACACGGTCAAGTCCATCGTGGTTTGGTGCGCGGCCACGGAAGTCGGATCGATTATGGCCCTCAAAGCGGTTCGCGTCTCGACTAGGGGTGGTGCGAGTGCTCACTAGCCGATTGGCAAGGATGAGGAAATCGCCTTCGTCGGTGACCTGGGCGATGAGGCATCCGCTTCGGTGAATGAACTGAGGGTAAACATAATCGGGCTTTCCCCATGAGTAGTACACTTCAACATCAGCTGGGAATGCAGAACAGGCTTCGAAGTCTAGCACAAAATCGAACTTCCGTAGTATGGCCTTCTGGTAATACAGGCGATCGGGCGGACCCGGTTGCGCAAACGATGCATTGTTGAACACAGTATGAAGGGGTCCCTTGGGCGGCGGGACCTTGAGTTTGACCCGATAGGGTTTCCGGAATGGCTGCGTCTTGTCAATGGCACAGCCTTCGGAAATCGGGACTTGTACCAATTTGAGCCCAAATTTGTCGGCAGTCGAGGCCCAAGAAAGTACGGTATCCTCAATCAATTTGGGGGTGGTGCTCATCCAGCTGAGTTCGATGTGGAAACAGTTCTCGGGATTATGCAGGCGGTCCCAGTGAAGGTCAATGACTTCTGGTCGATTCGACCGCTTGCGCGGATCAACGTCATACTTCATAGATTTGGACAGCATAATGGCGACTTTGTTTTTCGTCTTGGAAGGAGTATTGGGGGTCTGCGGTATATGCTCGTCGATGCTGTCCGATCGAGCCTTGAGGCTGGCAGGAGAGTCCTTTGCAGTGCCAACGGCGGGTGTTGACGGCATCGACTTGTCTGTTCGAAGCTGAGGGAACCAGCTTCCTCGAGACTCTGGACGGGTGACACGATACTCTGCACACATTTGATAGAAGTAGTTGCCATCGCGGAAATTGTGTCTCTTTTCCACGTGCTGGAACAAACCATGTTCAATCAGTTCGTTGCCGAATTTGACTGCTTGGTCGCGAGTATCAATATCGCGTATGTTTTGCAATAGCCAGGTTGTAAATTCAAACCCGATGAAGCAGTTGTAGTGTAACCTCCAATGCCATCGTCGGTCCATCATCCGGACGCCCTTTTCGCCTTGGATGATCTGCGCCAAGGACGAAAGACTGATACTAGATCTGTCCAAAAGCTCTGACTCGGGCAGAAGCTGAGCAGGGGCGTTGTCAAGCCCTGGATCAGTAAGCAGCAAACGATCGAGTTCTGCTGTAACAACCTCCGATGGATTCCGTGTTTGGTACATGATGTTCAAGGGATTTTGGTCTCGCTTAGGATTCGACGTATCGAAAAGTTTTTCTTCTGGCGACACATATTTGTACCGTTGCCAGATATGGGTCAATTGGCTGATTCCTAGCAAATGAATTTCTTCCTCGTTGTCCTCGTGGGAAGACTGCATATTCCGCCTAGAGTTGGCGTGAAGCTGGAGCGGGATCAAGACGTAACGAACTCGCCAGAAATGCAGCTGCTGGGCCGGGTTCTGGAGATAATCTCTATGACCAGCCACGTAATTGTCGGCATAGTTCCAGTTGTACTCCTCAGAAGTCGGGTCGAGCTTGATGTTTTTCACTTCGTATTCTTCACTCATTATTGTTTTCATGGCCGGTTGGTAGAGAGTGTAGGAAGGCCTTTTGGGAGGAGTGAGCACCGCAGAGTTTTGATGCGTGAAGCGGGTTACTTCAACTTCTCCTCCTTGTATACAAACGAGTCGGTGGATCGTGTTGCCTTTGGAGAGGAACACCGTGAGCCCATCACGCTCTATACCTCTGAAATCAAATACATTCAATGATTCAAGGGCGGGTTGAGCGGAAACTTCAGCTACATGCTTTCCAACAATGATTTGGAAGCCGTGAGAAAGTCGCAGCGAGATCATTTCTCGCAAAAGTACTCCGCGTGTCTTCGGTGCTTCAATGCCTTCGGAATCTTCATTTGGGAACACACGGTATGGTGTTTGGAGATAATCCAAAGCGAGCTCGCTGGCTGTTGGAAATTCTTCCGTTGTCAATGGAAGCACTGCGGGAGACTTTAAGCTCTTCCACTTTACTACAGCCACATGTGGGGGGCGAGGATATGCATGTTGCCAGCGGCCAAACCAACTGGTATCTCGCAGCACATCTTTGGGGGTATTGCATGGGTTGACCGATCGGACCCATGGAGACAAAGCTTTACTTGGGGAGTTTCGCGTAAGAGGCTCGCGTGAATTATGGGTGAGTGTAATCTCAATCTTGGGATCGTTCGAGGCACCTTCACGTTGATGCTGACCCACTACATTCGCTGTTGTCTCCGCTGGGAATGGTCCACGGGGGTCCGCATGTTCTGGTTGTTCGGACTCCTTCGAAGGAATTTTAGGAGGTATTTTGATGGAAATCGGTTTAGAAAGTTTTTGAGAAGACTTGATGGGCGTTGCAGGTGTCGAAAGTGTCTCGAAAGCGGTTGTAGTCGATGCTGTTTCTGATGGGCTCAAAGAAGAAATACTCCTCGCATCAGAGATAGATCCAGCGGGGGTTGTTTGTTTTGTCATGGGCATAGCACTAGCATGTTCCACATTGATCCCTGTACTTGCTGAGGCTCTTGGAGGAGTCGCGCTTAAGCCTCGAAGCGCGAAGCTGATCGTCCTCGAAATCCGCGAGGCTATTGGCACAGGTGTCTTTTTCAAGGCTGGCTTTATAGGAGAAATGCTTTGAACAGAGACAGGGCTTCTTGGTGTGGTCATATTTGAGTCAATTCTTCGAGGTCCAGAGTGTAAAGAATCATTCTCATCTGCTGGATTCGTTTCATGATGGCGCAGGCGCGTGATGGAGCGAGCAGATAACCTTTCATGCACCCCGACACCAGCAGCTTGAAATTCCGTTTCACTAGGCCGCTTTGCTTTGGAAATCTTGTTGACCTGCCGTTTTGGAGAAACAGCAAAGATATTATCGTCGTAGTGGTCCATCCAAGTCATCACTTCCTTCCGTGAAGTCCGCGGATCTCGGATTTGCAAGTCATCCTGGTCTGCGTGGTTCTGAATGAAGGAACCCGGACGCAAACTATCACTTAGTTGCGCCTTGAAGGATGAAGGATTTGCAAACCGCGCTTTCGGTGCTGCGCGATTGGCCGCAGTGTAGCTGGGCCAAGATCCACGCAGCCTAGTTGTCCCGCGCCCTTCAGTAAGATAAGGAATAGTAATGTTTGCTTGCTCACTTTCCATGACTCCCATCATTTGGATTTCATACATACGTACTCGCGGCGTGAATGCTTTGGATGGCCGGGTGACAGTAAGGGATATAGGGGCATTGGGGTCCTTTTTCAGGATGCGGCGGGCCTCGCGGTATGTTTCAGGGTTCCAATAAGAGATGTCGAGCCAATGAGGTATACCGAAACTCCAGTTTTTGGCTTGAGGTTTCGCCCTTTCCCTTATCCTGGTTGCAGAAAGGTACGAACTTGGAGAAAGATACGACGATCTGCTCACAACGCTTGACAAGGAATGATGTATTTCAGGAGATACCCTCTCCGTGTGAGCTTCACCCGGTCCAGTCTCTGCCAAATCTCCAAAATGTCGCTCCACTGGCTCCCGGTATTTGAATAGTGGCACTGAATGGAGAGGCATCGGGCTTAAGCAAACTAGGTCAATCGCTATGCCCCGATTTGCAAGTGCTTCTGTTGTAGAAGCTAAAGACTCGTAAGACACCTCAAAAACGCCGCTACCCGGCGTAATGACGATAATTGAGGTACCAGTGTGGACCATGTCTCGATCGATATGATCGAAAGCCAGGTGAGCGGAGGCGAGGTGAATAGCCTCTAGGATATTCCCTCGCAGAGCTGAGGTGGGATGTCCAGCAATGGTCGCCATGTTCGGCTTGGAAGGAGCCTTGATATTGCTGCCAGGTGCCACATCAATGTCATCCGTTTTTAGCATGGAGACATCTCGCAAAAATGTCCTGAATTCTTTTTTCAGCTCGTCTAAGATAGTAGTCCAATGACCGCTGGCCATATCATTCACCACCACGCGATAAAAATCTCGGGTCGGGGCTTTGTTTGGTCCGGACTTGGTATTCAAGTTCCCAGCGCTAAGTTTAGACTGGCTTAGATAGTTGGGCATGTCATATTCCACTCGAGTGAACATCACGATGGTCACCAGATGTTTTGCGTCAGAACCGGCCCATCGTTTGAAGAGCTCCGGCAGAAAGCCATTGATAACTCGGCTGAATAGAATATCACCAGTCCCTTCAGAATCAAAGTCCCACATTTCTTTTGACATCTGAATGAACAAAACATATTTCGCGGACTCGCTTCGGAAGATAGGGATCGTTTGTGGTGAAAAGTACCCCGAGAGACATTTCTTTTCTCGGATAAAGATGTTCTTGACCGTGGCTTTGATGCTCCCCATAAACATGATTTTCTGTCCTTTGTATATTATTTTGTCTGATAATTCTGACATGACAAGTCTCCACATATCCGATCGAACCATGTATTGATCACGAAAGGCGATGTCAACATGAGAGGCCGCACATTGATCTCGGTCCACAGTAGACAATACAACTTGCGTTCTGTTCTTAAAACCAAAGATGTTGGCAATGTTGTTGGTCACTGAGATCTCTAACTGAGGGTGTCGAGCTTTGATTTCTGGTGGGAGGGCTTTCACCACGAACAGACAGCGACTTTGCAACGGAGTCTTGAATTTTGAGGTACCATCCGCCTGAGACGCCAAGTTTAGTTCGGCATGGCTCTCACGAGCTGCTTTCAAGGCTGCCTCTGGCTTTAAAGTGGAGTAGGCAGAATCGCCCGGTGCTCGCACCGGTAGGATCTCGACGACATCGCCGACTTGCACTTCAGTTTCGCCGAGAGCCGATGGATTCAACAAGATCTCTTCACGGGAAAACATCTCATCGTGCACCCAAAGCGCACATTGGTGTCTTGCCCAGCTTGCTGAGGTTAATCTGACAGTGCGCTCATCTGTGGTTTGGTCGTGCTCATGATCACGGTTCGAGGTCTCCAGTGAGTGGGTGGAGCTGCTCTCCAAGCTCGCCGCGCTCACTTGCCTTAAGTGCGATCGTCGCATGGGCCCCCGCAAAGACATTTTTATATGTCTTGATGCTGGTAATTCATTGAACCCGGTCAACTCAGATATCTGATCATACCCTTGAGTTCTTGTAAGAGATAGCCTCTGCAAAGGGGAGATATGACGGTCACGTGGAACATTCAAGTCACATGAGTTTTATGCCTGAGGCAAATTGTCAACCTCAACTATCCATGCCTCATACAAAACAACCATTGTTCTTGGGTATAAACCGACTTGACCTGATGGACTTGGAATGTATAAATTCTTCCTTTTCCTTTTTCAGTCCTCGGAGATAAAAATTGACGAGGATGGTGGGATTTCGGCAAACAAATGGAGTACGTAACTGCGCGTTCCCAGTTGTCTGAAGCGAAAGCTTGCAAACCTAAGTTTCCATACAAATATTTTTTCAATTGATCTGTTGATGGATATTTTCTAGATTCTCCCAAGTGTTAGCCAGGCGCAGAACTTGCAGCGTGAGTTGTTCACTATCTCGTACTCCGAGCTGATTAAACTCCGAGCAAAAACCGTTCCATAATAATGGGTGCTTATGATATTAGCGTGTTGAGTGTTGAATCCTGTTGATGTAAACAGTAACCCCCAATCCCTGAGTTTTCAGTATCGCCCTCAAAATTAAATGCCTAGTGTTCTGGGCGTGAATCTTTTATCCTCCTAATCTTGAGTTAACTAATTAGATCCTTTCACTCTACCTCCTCGTTCTCTCCCATTTCCAGCACCAGTTCCAGCACCAAGCATCAGTTCCGTTAAAATCGATTCTCAGCTTAAGAGTGAGATCATCACCGAGTCCCCGCCCAAGCGTACTAAGCCCCAGCAAGCCGCCTAATCTCCCCCCGATGCCCTCCAAGATCGATCTATCCACCGAGAAGAGAAGCGTCCCGTTTCAACTTTCGAATATAGATTATCGTAGGAACATAGACAGAGACGAGAACGAGGATCTAGACAATACGTAGTAAGCGTGATGGTATGAAAATGTACCATTTATGGGTCGAAACCCCTACATTTTTACCGTGGCAAACCTCTCCGACAGGGCCTCATTGGATCTATGTCCTCCGGAGTTGATTTCCGGGGTGCCTCGCGCCCCCGTTGTTGCGTCTCAAACCCAATCTGCACGACACCTCTTTTGTTCTCCCAACGCAAAAATGGCTGTCTCCAATCCGCTATCCCCTTTTTCGTGAATTAATCTCATTTAGTGATCCAGTACTGTTTTCGCCAATTGTCCTCAGGGAAAAGGCTAGAGTAACGGGCACAGTCCTGACAGACCATCCCGATTCCCGGTTTTTAGACACATTTGACCTTCCAGATGTGACTTGCCAGTCCCCGTTGAAATGCCCAGGGAATGAATCAACCCAATTGATTATAGTCTTTGAGGTGCAGGCTCATGTGTTGATGCATTGTCACGCGGACTGCCCGTGCCGTGAAACCCTGGAGACTGCTTCGGCAAAGCTAAGCGCCTGGAAATTGACCGAACGTGTCCAATTAAGGCTTTCTCTTTTTAGTTGTGATGTTGTTATTGACCTCGGGATGGTTCTTTGGTTGGTGTCAACCCTCTCGGTGTGATATAACGAGGTGGCACGTCATCTGTGCTTCTAGGCGTCATGTGAAGCACAGCTTGCAGTGATATCTGAGCACATGTTCGTATCCACCTGTCGCCATCCAATACCGGGATGAAGAACCAATCTTTCGATCATATATGGATCGTTCGAGACGCCGTGTTCAGGATTCCATTGCGAACTTCCAATGGTCTTGTTTCCGAAATGCCTCGCAAATCTAGGGCCAGTCAGAGAATAGAAATGCGCGATGTCTCTGAGCTATTCATCCCCCAGGCTATAAAGAGCCTTGGTCCTCAGCCATAGCCATGGTTCTGCCACAGGAATCGTTATCGCGATGACGGCACATTCTTCGATCGAGGACTAATCTCATCTTGTCTTCTTTCAGGAGCATATATTATGATTGAACCGCACTTATTGCTATAAACTCTTTCCTGGCATACCGTCAACTGCCCCAAAAAATCCAGTACCATGCAGCGACTATCTCGTTTTCAAGGCCCGTGGCTCAGCCAAAATCACTCCCACGGATGGGATAAGGGCCATTTGCCTTTATTTCTTTTTTCTTCGTTATTCCCGAGCGTCGATATAGATTGTCGAGTGTCTTGGATCGTCGTCTGAGTTCGTCGAGCAAAAAATTGCGGTGTCTCGCTCGGCCTAGTGGTGCTTCTTATTCAGACGATGTGAATGAACACCAGACCATGCATCTTACTGACCATACTCCGGTGTATATCGCGTCGCGTTCGTGTTATGGTGGATGCATCTCCGTGATGCGAGTGGGAAGCTTGAACCGGAGAAGCTGATAAATAAAAGCGTCAACAAAAGTTATCCTGCAAAAAAATCCCATCCGTTTCAGTGAAATCCTCGTGCTAATCAGGTGTTCACTCACTAGGACGCTTTTGAGCCATGACCACGGTCTCTCATGACCATTCTGCTGAAGCTGACGACCTTTCATTGCTGTCATGGTCAATCACCGTCAAGCACCATCACTTTTCCTCACATGCAATGTCACCGGCTATGGGCCATTACCGCCCCGCTCACAGCCGGTCTATATAATGCAGTCAGGATTCTCAAGCAGATAACATAGGACTCCCTTTCCGACCAGAGTATCACGCAGGCTTGGCTTGGAAAAGGGACACCTACCAATAACAATGACCTCTGAATGAGTCCGCCAGTCTTCGTTAATATCGACCTTTGAATTTGTCTGTGAATCCAAATTCGAGTTGGCAGCGTATGGAGATGATCTGTGCGGCTTCGCTGGCTCAAGGCCAAACGGTTGTCCACCCCCTTCCCTTCCCCCAAAGTGAGGCAAATCGAGGCGTTAGCAGGACAATGGGATTGGGGGAAGGGAATCAGACCTTCAACCCAGGTATGTCGTATGAGTCAATATTTCCAGGGCTCAAAGCGCCAACACGAATACACACGCTTTCTAAAGAGTTTCGAATGGAGGGAAAGCTTGAGAGGCTTCCTCCACGCAAAACCCTGTTTTGATCAAACAATATTGTTTCAGAAAACGAATACTCCGTGTATTCTGTCAGGCACTCAAACTTTGAGGAGAGGTAAAACAAATGCACACAATGCTTTCAGAGAGATACCCTCACCGAGAGTCGGAATTGTGATGGTTCCCACGCCGACAAAAGGCTGAATGACCCCCGAGTTCGGAACGTGAAACGATCCCACCATTCTGTTCTATCAATCTGGAGGTATTCGAGGGCGACAAGTGTTTAAATCTTGGAGACTTCGGCTTCAAAGCTCCCAATCTACCCGTACAGCTTGTACAGACTACTCCAACTACCAAGTATGTGCGATTCCCACTGTGCATGCAACGCAACGCATCCACATTGATAGTATGGCACGGCCACTCGCATCACAAGAGGACTAAACAAAACTCCCCGAAGCAGTCTCTCGGCTTGAATTGGCATTTCTCTCTTCAATCTCGAGCGAGAACGATTCCCAAATGAAAAATACCATCAAAGTGCCATGCGATACGTCTATTGGTCTTCCCACGTCGAAGTGGCGAACCGATCGGCAAAGAGCTCCAGCATACCACAGGGCTCCATTTCTGTCATAGCTAACTCGGAGAACACCCAGAATCAGAATGGTATACTGCCTTGTTTTTTCTTATTATTAATATGGTTCCCCCCATGCTGTGCAAGGAGCGATCATTCCTTCCCGGAGGGTAGCTGTTACCTTCAGTGTGGCTTAGAAACAATATCCCGCTAGTGTCTCACCCAGTTTCCTCTTCCTGTGCCCATCTCCTTTGATTGAATGTATATCCGCCAACGATATGAGTGGGAACTTCGGGGACTCCTTTCCCAAACATCCTAATCCGGAAAAAGCCCCGATCAATCACGACTGGGGCGTGTCTGTCTACCCACAACCGTCCCCGTTCAATTTTGCAGCTGCCGAGACTATACCTGCTCGTGAAGGTCCTTCCAAGCCCAACATCAGGCATGTGAATGCTAAAGTGGCCATTCCCCGGACTTCGCAGCCCAGTAGTTGGACCAGCAGTGGTCGAGTCAGTCGGGCCTGTGAAAATTGCCGTGAACAAAAGGCCAAATGTAGTGGCCATCGCCCAGCATGTCATCGGTGCCAGGATGCCGGGGTCCGATGCTCGTACGGCGATCGGAAAAGGGAGAGGATGATGAAGTGGGTAAAAATCTTCTCAGTCCCACCCTTTTTCTAACCACCGGATAGGCAACTGAATGATCTGACTACACAAGTTGAAACTTATGACGCTTTGCTACGCAATCTTTATCCCAAGCTCGGTGCGTCCTTGGCCCGACAAGTGGATCAAACCCTGAGAGACCTCAATTCACGCCCTCTCATCGCCCAAGCCAAAGTCCCTTCCCCTGTTTTGTCCACTCCATCCAACAATGCACAACATCTAAGTATTCTATCTTCCAGTGCAGATGTGAGCTCTATGGTTGCTTCCTCGGGGGCTGTAGACTACACCGAAGAAGACTTTAACCGTGATGAGAAAGTGCAAGCGGTGGGATTTGTGGGCGAACATTCGGAGATGGCCTGGTTGTACAGACTCAAACGCGACCTTGATCGTGAGACTTTCAAATCGATTAAAGAGGTATCTGAACGCCCTCCGATCTCATCCGTGACCTTCTTCCAAGATGATTCGGGAATCTTGGTTTTCGACGATATCGACCTCGCACGCCGTCCTCCACAACACATCGCTAACGGACTCATGGATGCTTACTTCCATGTTGTTCATCCTGAGTTTCCGATCATTGGAAAGACCATATTTTTAAACCAGTATCGATCCTTCTATATGAATCCGAACGTGCGACCTGGTAAACGCTGGATTGCGATGCTGAACCTGGTTTTTGCCATCGCGACCAGACACGCCCTTCTTGTCGATCAGCCCCAACCGGATTGCGATGATCATCAAACTTATTTTGAACGGGCATGGAGGCTTAGTGTGGGCAATGTGCTGCTAGACCATCCGGACTTGCAACAAGCACAAGTGGAGGGCTTAGCTGCTTTTTACCTCTTGTCAGTTGGGCAAGTCAACAGGTTTGTGTTTACTCTTTTTGTCCCCTCCTTTCTCTTTCTACGTATTCATATCTGATCAATGATATTTCATCATTCAGATCATGGAGAATCATCGGTCTTGCGATTCGATCGGCAGCGACCATGGGCCTAAACATCCGAAGCGAAACCGAAAGCATCACGCACTTTTCAAAGGAACTTCGATATCGGGTTTGGTGGGCACTGTTCATGCTGGATATTTGTTTGTGTGAGATGACTGGACGTCCACTTAGCACGAGGGACATCTTCTGCACCACGCCCCTTCCTGTTCCCTTTCAAGAGGAGGAATTTTGCGATGAGCGTGTGGTGCAGGTTATCACAAACCAAGAAAATCGAAATGCCTTCTTCACTTCTTTATTTATCAATACTCCTATTGATTCACCGACGGAGGGTGTGGCTCTCAAATCCCCAGCGCAGCAGGGGAAGGGCAAGGGGAAACAACAAGAAAGACCGAATCAGATGGGGGCCATGGATTTCACACCTAATACTTCTCTGTGCTTTCTGTATGCGGTGGATCTAGCTCATATCTTGAGAGATGCTATCGATATCCTGTATGCTCCTGGGTCAACACGGCAGTCATGGCATGATATCGAAACAGCCATTTCCATGCTCAACAATCATGCGGACAACTGGTTATCTCGTCTCCCAGCGGAGTTTCATTTCATAACGCTAGACAGAACCCACCAGTTTGTGCGGCAGTGTGTTAGCCTCGCTTTCAGGTTCTATGCCACGAAGTTGATAATATTGCAGCCCTGCTTTCGCCGTCTCTCTCAATCATCATCCGAAGCAACGTCTCCGGGAACGCTGTGTGATCAAATGGCAGCCATGTGCGTTCAGATGGCAGGCCAAATGGTAGATATGCTGCCCGAGGTACCAGATTTGGATTGGTTGTATGGCGTCACTCCGTGGTGGTGCATCCTGCACAATATCATGCAGTCTACTACTATTCTCCTCACCTGGCTGTTCATGCGCAGCCATCTCAGCCCACCTAATCCTGCTGATATTATCAGGCACATACAAAAGGCGATTCGCTGGTTGAAAGAAATGTCTACGAAAGACCCCTGCTCGCAGAAAGCCTGGATTGTGTGCGTGGATATTCTCTCGCGGCATGGCTTGAAGTTCGGGTTCAACCTCGACCTCGAACTCTAGGTACTGGTCACTCCACGCATCTTCTCAATGTGCTTTATGTAGTTATGAGATCTTTATACAAGCTCCAGCTTGGCTGATGGAATAGTGCTTTGAAAATGTGTGTTTTTTGTTGTTCCCTCTGCTGGCTTCGATGAGATATGCCATTCATGTTGTTTTTATCACATATCCCTCGCTTTGCTATAGTTGGATACTTGTGTGATCATTTGGTTGCAATTTCGGTTTTCATCTACCAGTACTTTACATTGAGTCGACTTCATCTTACTCTAACAGCTTACACTTTGCCAAAAGATTGTTCTTTTGCAATTCCTTACGGGGGTTTCTCGTTATGGAGGCATACATGATAAAGTGAGTGTCTTGGCCTGCACATCAGCTTCAAGCACTATAACCTCAAATGACTTACCCCGGCTAACATAATCAAAATTCATGACATGTGTACAGATTCTCCGCCTCGTTGAAAAAGGTATCAACTGGACGTAACAGTCCAAGATCGATATCCGACTGCGCCAGAAAATCCTGCATGGTCGGCTCTAGAAACGCCATCTCAGTCGTGTATCCACTAACGGTGTCTCCCAAAGGATAATTATATGCATCAATGCCATGGCTGTGGATTGGCTGTGTGGTTGTGGCAGAAGCCAGGATATCGTGTGTTGTGGGCATCACCGACGCCGCAGGTATAGATGCCGATGTCGATGTCGATGGGTTGAGTGGCAAAGTGCTCATGGAAAGCGTCGTAGTCGTTGTCGGTACCGATTCCGACGATGGCCCGGATAGGGCCGGTGCAGCAGTAGAGGGTACATTACCACTTGCGTTAGTGTTGGTAGAAGAAGAAGCAACTTCCCCACCCGTAGCGAGCCCAGCATTTCCGTGACCCAGCCTCACACCTCGATAGGCCTCCAAGCAAATCTTCACTTGTTCAAGATTATGGTAGAATTCTGCAGCAGCCAAATTCCCATTATCGGTGATCGAGTGTAGCAGATCCAGCGCCGAGTCGAACCCTGTCATATCATTGGGACTCCCAATCGGAACGAAGCTGGACATTGCCAGAATCAACGCGGAGGAAAAGAGGTAGTGGGCGTGGAAATAGCCGAATGTCGGCATGGATCCGTTTATCCACCTTGTCAGGATCATGGAATGGGAATGTCGCGCCGCATGAATGCATGCTTCGCTTAGGGTCAAGACTGGTTGTGATACGGATGCATTTTCGGTCTCGGTCTCGGTCTCGCTTCCGCTCAGGGTGTTTGTATTAGCGTCATTATTGGGATGGGTCTTGTTTGTTTTGCTTAGGATCATCAAAAGGTGCAGAAGCGTAGGGCGGGTAGACAGGATCACACATTGGTTGAAAGCCATGTGGAGGGAGACGATTGGTTTCTTGCTCGATTCCAGATCTTCCATGTTCAGTCTGAGGGATTCCGGGAGTGTTTCTACCCAGTGTTTCAGGGCTTTCAGGAGCTTCTGGACGCGTTGAAGGAAGGTCTCTTGGTACTTCCGGCGGCTGTATAGTCTGGTGATTGTTTCGCCAACTATTCGTGCCAACTTGATGTTGGCCGTCATATATTCTGTGTCGGAAAGCTCTTCTTCATGGCGCCACTTAGGGGAGATGGTCGATGGCATGTCAACGTGGATGTCATCATCGAGGATTTGCATTGGAAGGCCCATTTTGGATCCCCACATCCGATCGAAGATATAGATCGTCCACCATATTTGAATGCGGTGCTGACGCTCAACTGGATCAATCAGGTGTGATTCTGGGATATTGTGATTCAAGCCAATGGTCAACCCCATTCGCATAGCGTTTCCGATGAGGATGTATGCCGAATGACGTCGATTGAGATAGTACGAAAAAAGAGACTTGAGATATCGTAAGTATTGTATTCAGCGATGGTCCATATTGGGTCACTTACCAACAGCAGCAAAGTTTCCAAGTGCGTAACACTGGTTCTTTCTGGTAGAACCTGGACCAACGCTATTGCTCGAGCAAAGTACGACGTGCCTGGTACCCTGGTCCCAGAATTGGGCTCAGACCGAATAGAGTACGCCTGTCCAAAGGCGAAAAGGGCAAAGAACTTGCACTTGTTGACTTTGCAGTCAAAATCATGTGTCTGGTATATCTCTTCCAGCTTATCTAACGTTGACTTGCGCATCATAAGGTGGTACACATGTCCGATCTGGTGAATTGCTATCCGGACCAACAACCGAGCATGGTGAAGACTCGGCCATTGGATATCAGCTTCGTTCGCCGCCGCGATTTTTTCTTCGCGCTCATACTGCGTTCGGGCAATATGTGGCATTGCACTATTCCCCGTCAAGAAACGCCGGAATCGTGTTGCGAACGCTGAACATGCTGCCTCGCCGATGTAAATGGGTGGCGAAGATGGATCATACCGGTGGAACCAGGCTCGATCTCCGATCAATGGATTTTGAATGCCGTTTCCATCAGAGACTTCTGGTTGTCTAGAAGCGGCTCTGTTTTGACATCAGCATGTAGGGCTCGTGGAAGAGTCAAAGAATGTTTACCTCTGCGCCGTGTCATTGATCTCGGCGACCCGAGCTGAGGCGATCGATCGTTCCTTGAGCCGCTGATTTTCTGCAAGAATCTGATCAAGGTAGCTGATTGGAGTAGATTAGCTTTAAGCCTAACAAGTGTCGCAGACTAGCTTTATCAAATACAAGCTCCCTGAAGGCTTGGGCTTAGCGGTGACTTGGGGGCTGCATACTTCTCGCTCACTTTCACCTGGCGATCACGAGTAGCATAGGTGCATTCGTCGGGGAGACCTACCGCGCGACATTTAGTACACGGCTGGTCTCCGGAGCATTTGATTTTATGTGAGTGGCATCTTTGACAGCTGTGCATGTCGAACGTCAGTGTTCGGTGGCTTCGGCATGGGGTTTTCGGAATGCGCACGCGACAAATTTCCTTCTTTGGGTCTCATCGCCCTCCTGCTCTTGCCCTTGTGTGATAGCACGTCTTTTCCGTGTCATGTTTAAGAAAACCTCTCTCTATTATCGGGCGGACTTTTGGAAAGAGAAAGACTCACCCGGGTACGGTCGGCGGTTAGAGGGCATTTCCCGAGGTCTCGGCGATGTTAACATCTGACCGAGTACGGGGGTTTTAGAGACCATCACCACAACCTGGTATTGGGTCTTGTTCTCAAATGCATATAATTTTAGGGGATTGATAATAAAACATCCCTCCCCTACTAATCAAACATCCCTTTCGCTAATTACACATCCCTTTCGCTAATTAAACATCCCCCTGCCTGATTTCTACCTAATTGCTGCCTAAAGATGCCTGAAGATGCCTGAAGATACCTGATAAAATGACACCCCCCCTAATATTATATGACCTTTTCTACCTAAAGGTATATAATAAGATGACCCCCCCTCCTAATATCACATAACCTTTTCTACCTAAAGCTATATAATAAGATGACCCCCCCCTAATATCATATGACCTACTCTACCTAAAGACACCTAATAAAATGACCCCCCCTTAAACATCATATAACCTTCTTTCTACTAGTTCAATTTCTATATATTTTGATAGTGGTTTATATAGTAAATAGAGGTACCGCCTATTTTAGTGGGTTTTAGTGATTTTAAGAGGAAGGCAGTGAAAACAGCGGTAAAGGAAGCGGTTATAGACGTTCTTATTTTTTTAAGGGGGGTCATCCTATTATATACCTTTAGGTAGAAAATGTTACGGTATTTCTTTATTATACTATTTTGCCTTAGGCTCCCTTTTCCTAGACGGAGGAGACCCCTCCGAATACCCCACGATGTCGGGATGGAACTAATATGATCCGGTCCCGAGAAGCGGGGAACCTAAATCATAAAAGGAAGACACCTATAGGAAAAGGGAAGGCAAGATTTAGTCTTATAACTAATATAGAATCGAATACCCTTCGTTCTAACTACGTATCCCTCTCGTATTATTATTCACCTAGTTAATAAGTACTACCTTAATAAATAGTTACTTTAATAATTCTAAATCTTCTTCTTTAACTACCTAAAGAAATAATAACGAGATAGAGTTTACGATCCCGATAGGGTAATAAGGAGATACCTCTATAAGAAAACCCTACTATCTACGAGATAGAGGAGGGAGAGATCTAATCTTTATTAGGACTCTTAGAAGTATCTACTACTACTAATAGAGATAACCGATAACTCTCTAAAACTACCCCGAATCCTTAGCGAAATAAGGATAATTCTTAAGTGATCCTTAAGAAAGAAACCTTCTAAGCCCTTATAATAAGGATTAAATAGCTTAAAAGAGTAGCCGAAACACTAATATATCGTAGCCGGATTCGTAGTAATTTACTAAACCTACGTAGTTAGGAAATCCGTTTTAAGAACTCTAACTTTATAGAAGAATTCTTAATCTAAAAAAGAGAAGACTAGTTACTCGGACTATATCTAGAATTCGAAGGAGTAAGTAAAAAATATAATACTAAAAAATAAAAGATCCTTAGTACTCTATCCTATATAAATAGGAATTACTAATAACTTTAGTATAACTACCTAGACGAAATACCTTTAACTCTAAGCCGAATTATATAGGGTTTATAAGCTTATCTTAAGAAATAGACTCTATCCTTAATAAAAAATTCTATAAATATATAAGCTACTATTACTAACTAAATATAAAAGATAATCTAATAAAATAATTAAGATCTAAGAGACTTTTACTATAAGTTAAATCTCTTAGAAAAATATTTCCTAAAGTAAAGCGAGGAATAAAGAGCCTTTACCTTTTTCTTAAAACTTAATTATAGACTTTAAGCCTATATCTATAAATATAATCTAACTCTTCTAAAAACTTAGGGGGAGATAGTCTTTATTATATTAAAATTTTAGGAGCTTTAAAACTAGAAGACGAAACCTAAACGAAAAGCGACCGAATTAGGATAAAGAGACCTAGATATAAAAAAGAAAAAAAGAAAGTTCGAAAAATATAATAAAAACGAAAACTCCTCTAAAAAAAGAAATCTAAAGAACTTAAGATCGAAAAGGCACGGAAATCTTATTAATAAAAAGATAAGAAAGAAACTTACCTATTATACCTATTAAAGTAAGGATTACTTTTTAAATAAATATCTAAACGACTCCCTAATAAAGAAAATAAAAGTATAACTAGTAAAAATAAAAGGATCCTTAACGAAATAGTAGGGAAATAAGAGCGGGTCGGAGTAGATTCCCCTACTCCGACCCCTTAGATCGGAACGACGATACGCTTCTATACTCCGATCTTAGTAGGAAAAATTAAAACCTATATAGACCTAGATAGTTATACGGAAGTCGACCTCGTTAGTTATAAGTTTATAAAAACTTAAAAACTTTAAAAAACGAAACTTATACCTCCTATTATTAAAGTAGTAAGACGTAAAGAAGTAACTACGTATAGGGTATAGAACGTCCCTATAACTATTATAGATAATAGAGGAATTACTAGAACGTTTATACGATCCTATATTATTATCGATAGAGATCTAAGGATTTTAGGTAGTTTAGTACTACTATTAATAATAACCTTAGTCGACTAAAAAATTAATCTTTCTTTACTAAATCGAAAATAGTAGTTTAATACCCTAAACTATAAAGCTATAACCCTATATTAGTTTATAAAAGAGTATAGGAACTATATATATATTTATACTATAGTAAAAATACTTAAAGAAGTATAGCTCCTATATAAAGAGGATAGGGATATAGAAGAATCTCCTAATTTACCTTCGGAATTATAGGGATTCTATAATATCTTCTCTACGAAAAACGTACGAACCCTTCCCTTAAATAAAGTTATAGACTATACTATTAATATATTATCGGGAGAAAACCCTCTTTATAGACTAATCTATCTTTTATTCTAAAAGGAACTAAAAGAACTTTAGGAGTATATTAATAAAAATCTAGAAAACGGACGAATCCGACTATCTAAAAGTCCCGTAGGAGTACTAATCCTCTTCGTTCTAAAAAAGGATAGCGGATTATATCTCTATATAGACTACTAAGAGCTAAATAAAATCTTAATTAAAAACTAGTACCCGTTACTACTTATCTTAGAAATTCTAGACTAATTAGCGGGAGCTAAATAGTTTAGTAAAGTCGATATCTAAGATATATATTACCGAATTTATATTAAGAAAGGAGATAAGTAGAAGACTATATTTCGTATTTAATATAGGTACTATAAGTATATAGTTATACCGTTTAGACTAACTAATACCCCCGCTATATTCTAAAGTTATATTTATAATATACTAAGAGACTACTTTAATATAATCTATATAATATATCTTAACGATATACTAGTATTTTCTCTAATAAAAGAATCTTATACGAAATACCTCCGAAAAGTTCTCGAAAACCTTAGGAGAGCTAGCCTATACGTAAAGGCCTTAAAGTATATATTCTATTAGGAAGAGATAAAGTTCCTAGGATTTATAGTAGGTTCGAAGGGCGTCTCTATAGACCCCTAAAAGTAGAATCTATTAGGAACTAAGAACTCCCTAAAAGCTATTATAATATCTAAATATTTATCGGATTTTATAACTTTTACTATTAGTTTATACTATAGTTTTCGTAGATTATACTCTTATTAACTTCTTTACTAAAAAGGTTAAAAAATAGAAGAAAACCTAGATAAGTCTAGCTTAATATCTATAAAAAACTTACGTTTCGCCGTTTAATTATAATGTTTTAGTTACTAATACTACTATACTATTTTAACCTAGAAAGGGATACGCGATTAGAAACTAATACTTCTAATAAAGGTATAGGAGGGATTATATCTTAGAAGAATAAAGATAGGAAATAGTACCCTATAGTCTTTTAGTCCTAAAAGTTTAGTAGGGTTAAACTTAACTATTCTATCCTAGATTAAGAACTATTCGCTATCGTTTACTTATTTAAATATTAGCGATACTATTTAGAAGGAAGTATCTAACCTATAGAAGTTCTATCCGATTATATAAATTTATAAACTTTTATAAAGTAGCTAAAGCTAAATAGAAGATAAGTAAGATAATATATATTCTTATCCCTATATAACTTTTTTATTAAATATAGACTAAAAAAAATAAATCCTATAGATATATTATCCCGAAAAGTAGATCTAAAACTAAGGGACGCCTTAGTAGAAGATCTACTTAGACTATTACGTAATAGAATCGTTATTAGAATATTACCGAAACGGAGTATTACTATAGCTAAATCGCTAAGTATTAGTGATTTATATACCGGTAAATCCTAGTTTAATCTAGAATAGACTAGTATAAATAGTAACGAAGCTAATATAGAAGTAGCTAACTAGGCTATATAGGAAGAGTTAGATCGCGACTAATAGATACCCTATAAAATAGTTAAGTATATATACCGAAACTAATCCGTATATATATAGAAAGTATAACTAGACCTCTAAAATCTAATCGAGAAAATCTAAGATAGCGATCCTAAAATACGCCGCCGAAAACTTACTATTTCTTAGTTAAAACTAGGTAATAAAGGTTAGGGCGTCGATCTATATAGTATTATAAGGTATAAAGAAAGACTCTATATCCCCGTAGGGGAGAACTTAAGGAAAAAACTCTTTAGTCTTTATTATAATAATACCCTAGCGGGATATTTTAGTAAATATAGAATATTAATATTACTATAAAGATATTTCTATTAGTAAAATATATACTAAGACGTCGCGGAATATATATCCGAATATATAGTATATTAAGGAAACGTAGCTCCGAGGTATCGGCTATATAGTATACTCGGAATACTACCGATTCCTATTTAACTCTTCGCTAAATTATTAATAGATTTTATTATAGGATTACTACCTATAATTTATAAAAATAATATAGTAGATAGTATCTTTATTATTATTAATAGGATAATAAAATAGGCTCTATTTTTTACTATTTCTATATTAATTAACGCCTCCGAGCTTATAGAGCTTTTCTATATAGAAATAGAACTTCGCTATA